CGAGAAATGAATTGGTAAGATGCAGCAACTGATTTATAGCCGTGTGCTGGCCCAAATGAATCACTTGCGAAGATGTTCAGCGTTTCAGCACTTAATTTTTTTTTAAATTTAAAAACAGAATATTTTTCTGCACTGTATGCATCAACAGAGATCTTTAAAGCATAAATTGTAATTGGTTTCATTCAGCTTTGATGCTGTATTTTTTTCTGATATATCTTCACAGAGTACATCTAGTTGGTGCACTGTTATCCGTACTACCGTATGTGTAAAAAAAACATCAATGCTGTACTTGTGAAATTCTTTTTCTCTTCAGCATGAGTTTGCTAAAAGGAGAGAGTGATGGGTTCAGGGAGTGAGGGGCTGGGGGGGAGTACTAGCTCAAATTTTGGTAGCTCACATGTGAGCTCTGGGGAGAGGTCTGACCTGTGGATGACTCCATACTTTACTCCATATGTACAGTGTTTGTACTTACTGTACTGTACTGTACTGAATGACCACTCTGAAGGTGTCCTGTTGTTCACTCAAGCCACCTAGATCCCCCATTGGTACAAGTTCCGAAGATATCCGCGCTCGTTCTTTAGTTGCTTCGTAATCGTCGGACGAGAAGAGTCTGGGAGTGTGTGTTATGCCGTACTTACGCTTCCCGGGTGCGGTAACTGGAAAAAGTATTGAGTTCTGTATAAGTTTCTGTTGAAGTTTTTGTCGCGTATTTCCTGTGCGTACACGCGGTGAGAAACAGAACCACGGCACCTGAAATTCGATTAAAACACATCATCGAACGTATTTTCTTTCGCATTGCGTTGCGTTACACAACACTTCCGAGATGTGCTGATTCAGAAGTTCTTTTATGATCATTTTCAGGAGATCTGAATTATATCCGCTCGTCACTGAGAACGGCTCACTTCACTTGTGTTTTTCTTCGTTTTCGAGCACTTGGGAGTGCTCAAGAGCGAAGCCCGGCAACATGATGGATGGGTCGGACTCGAAAGCACCCATTCGGCTTGCGAAACGGGTGCAATTCGGTATTTTGAGCCCGGACGAAATTGTGAGTTCTTGCAATTTCTGAAATTGAATGTTGTAATTATATTCGCATTTTCCGTTTTTTTCAGCGGCGAATGTCGGTTACCGATGGGGGTGTGAAATACACAGAAACAATGGAAGGCAACCGCCCCAAGCTGAACGGACTGATGGATCCTCGACAAGGTGTGATTGATCGTGCATCTCGATGTCAAACGTGTGCCGGAAACATGACAGAATGTCCCGGACATTTTGGGCACATCGACTTGGCAAAGCCCGTTTTTCACATAGGATTCCTTACGAAAAGCATAAAAATACTTCGTTGTGTGTGCTTCTACTGTTCCAAACTGCTCGTAAATCCCGTGAGTATATTTTTTCCTCCAGCCTTGCGCATTATGAACATTGGTGTTCCGTTTCTCTGCAGAACCATCCGAAGATACGCGAAATCGTCGTGAAATCGAAGGGTCAACCCCGCAGAAGATTGGCGGCAGTTTACGACTTGTGTAAAGGCAAACGAATTTGCGAAGGCGGGGATGAAATGGACGCGAACCAAGAAGAAGGGGACGTGGACCTGTTGAAAAAGCAAGGTCACGGTGGTTGCGGTCGGTACCAACCGATGATCCGTCGCACTGGACTCGAGCTGACTTGTGAATGGAAACACGTAAACGAAGATTCTTCCGAGAAGAAAATACAGCTGAGCGCCGAGAGAGTGTGGGAAGTTTTCAAGAGGATCACAGACGAAGAGTGCTACATTTTGGGAATGGATCCTACGTACGCTCGTCCGGATTGGATGATCACGACGGTTCTTCCTGTTCCCCCGTTGTGCGTTCGCCCTGCAGTCGTCATGTTCGGTTCTGCCCGCAATCAGGACGATTTGACGCACAAGTTATCTGACATAATCAAATGCAATAATGAGTTGATGCGCAACGAAACAGCCGGAGCCGCTGCGCATATAATTTCGGAGAACATCAAAATGCTTCAGTATCACGTGGCAACTCTGATTGATAACGACATTCCTGGTCTCCCGAAAGCCATGCAAAAGTCAGGCAGGCCTTTGAAAGCTATCAAATCGCGTTTAAAGGCAAAGGAAGGTCGTATTCGTGGGAATTTGATGGGCAAACGTGTTGATTTCTCTGCGCGTACCGTCATCACGCCGGATCCTAACTTGAGAATCGACCAATTGGGTGTTCCTCGTTCTATTGCCCAAAATTTGACCTTCCCCGAAATCGTGACGCCCTTCAACATTGATGAGTAAGTTTGTTCCATACTGATTCGATTACTGAAAACTAAACGTATCTCTGAAGCTTGCAGAGGCTTGTGAGGCGAGGAAATTCGCAGTACCCTGGTGCCAAGTACATCATTCGTGACAACGGTGAAAGAATCGATCTACGTTTCCACCCGAAACCGTCTGATTTGCATCTCGCAGTAGGATACAAGGTAAGGTTGCACGCTTAATTTTTTCAGGTGTGACCAGTTTTGCGTGAAGAGATGAAAAGTGTATCCACAAAATTTTGAGACTGAAGCTCGAACCAAGACTTGATTATCATAGTCCAAAGCCTTTTAGTTGAACTTTTGAACTCGTAGCATTCATGAATTTTTGAAATTTTACTCAAAATTTCCGAACGCGCAGAGGTTGGAATAAAACCTACGGAAGCGCGTTCTTAAAAAAAAGTATTCAACTGCGTTACTGATTTCTTCTTTTTTTTTCAGGTTGAAAGACATGTTCGAGACGGAGATTTGGTTATTTTCAACCGTCAACCCACTTTGCACAAAATGTCTATGATGGGCCACAGAGTGAAAGTGCTTCCGTGGTCGACATTTCGTATGAATCTTAGTTGCACGTCGCCGTACAACGCAGATTTTGACGGAGATGAAATGAACATGCACGTACCACAATCTATGGAAACCCGAGCCGAGATCGAGAATTTGCACTTGACCCCTCGGATGATTGTCACGCCGCAAGCCAACAAACCCGTCATGGGTATTGTGCAGGACACTTTGTGTGCCGTGAGAAAGATGACGAAGCGTGACGTTTTTCTGGAGAAGGATCAGATGATGGATTTATTGATGCACTTGCCGAGATGGGATGGAAGAATGCCGATCCCGACGATCATGAAGCCAAAACCCTTGTGGACAGGTGAGTTCTATTAAAAATAATTTTTCCAGAAAATTTTTAAAGGCCTCATTAATATTCGTGAACGCGCTTTTTGAAGAAATTTTAACGCAATAACATTTCCATAGGCATATTTTTCAACGTACAGTACTGTACTTCGCAATATTGCAATTGTGTATGGGTAAGTTACGAAAATTTTGAAGATTGAGAAGTTCAAATTTTAAAATAAAATTATCGCTTTACTGTAAAGTTTTGGACATGCAAACGATAAATGAAGAAAATTTGCGAAATTCTCAGCTTGAGGTTCGCCTCAGCTTTACTTCGATTCCCCGATGTTACTGTAGATTAAACATCAGCAAACTGCTGAGAGATTCCTCTACTTCCATCGCTTTTTATATTCTGCAAGTTGACTCAATTTTCGAACCCATCTTCCCTGATTTAATTCGCTAAGTTTCAAAATTTCTCTCTTAGTCGGCTTTCGGCAGCGTCGATTATTGCCGCCTCGTTTGTAAATTATATATAATTGAAGATGTAGCGCATGTTCCTTTTCGATTTTTCTGAAATGCTGATCTGCGACCTGCTCTTCCTTCGCAGGAAAACAACTTTTTTCCTTGATCATACCTGGAAACGTGAATGTGATCCGTACGCACTCCACTCACCCTGACGACGAGGACGATGGTCCGTACAAATGGATTTCGCCTGGAGACACGAAAGTTTTGATTGAGCACGGAGAACTCATCATGGGTATCTTGTGTAAGCGTACGCTCGGTGCTTCTGCGGGTTCATTGCTGCACATTTGCTGGCTCGAGCTGGGACACGAGATTTGCGGTCAATTCTATTACCAGATTCAGACCGTCGTCAACAATTGGCTTATGATTGAAGGCCATTCCATTGGTATCGGGGATACTATTGCCGATCCGCAAACGTATGTGGAAATTCAGAGCACGATTCGAAAAGCCAAGGAAGACGTGAATGAAGTTATTCAGAAGGTGAGTTGAAGTATTCAATTGTTATGGATTACAGGTGGACTCTCTCTCTCTCTACAACTATCTTGTCTCCCACGATTTTCTCTGTGAAAAATGTTTGTTTAATCCCATAGGGTTCCTAACTCATTTCATTTGGGCTCTTTACAGCGAAACTTTTTATATTTCCTCGAATTTCGTTATTTAAAGTGCCTTCCTTTATTCATTATTTTCGCAACAGTGATTTTCTAATTTATTTATTTTTTTAAACAGGCTCACAACGATGAGTTGGAACCGACACCGGGTAACACGTTGCGTCAAACCTTCGAAAACATGGTCAATCGTATTCTCAATGATGCCCGTGACAAAACCGGATCGTCTGCAAAGAAATCCCTCACGGAGTACAACAATCTGAAAGCTATGGTCGTTGCGGGTTCCAAAGGTTCAAACATCAACATCTCCCAGGTTATCGCCTGCGTGGGTCAACAAAACGTGGAAGGCAAGCGAATTCCATTTGGCTTCCGGAAACGAACCCTTCCGCACTTCATCAAAGACGACTACGGTCCGGAATCTCGAGGTTTCGTAGAAAACTCTTACCTCGCCGGATTGACTCCTTCGGAATTTTATTTCCACGCCATGGGAGGTCGTGAAGGTCTCATCGATACTGCCGTGAAAACAGCTGAAACTGGTTACATCCAGCGTCGACTCATCAAAGCTATGGAAAGTGTTAGTGTGGCCTATGATGGCACAGTTAGAAACAGTGTTTCCCAGCTCATCCAGTTGCGATACGGCGAGGATGGCTTAGCTGGAGAATACGTAGAGTTCCAGAGCTTGCCGACGATAAAACCCTCCAACGTGGCTTTCGAGAAGAAATTCAAGTTCGATCCGTCGAACGAGAGATACTTGCGAAGGGTCTACCGCGAGGAAATTGTGAAAGAAGTCATGAGCAGTGGCGAAATCATCGGAGCTCTAGAGCAAGAATGGGAGCAACTTAACAGGGATCGAGAAGCTTTGCGGAAGATCTTCCCGACTGGTGAAAGCAAAGTCGTGCTGCCGTGCAATTTCGGACGCATGATTTGGAATGCTCAGAAAGTTTTCCGCATCAACACGCGACTACAGACAGACTTGAGTCCTTTGAGAGTGATTGTGGGTGTGCGAGAACTGTTGAAAAAGTGTACGATCGTGCAGGGGGAAGACAATTTGAGCGTGCAAGCGAACGAAAACGCCACGCTTTTGTTTAGGTGTCTTGTTCGGTCTACGCTGTGTTCGAGGCGAATGGCAGACGAGTTCCGACTGAATGCAGAAGCCTTCGAGTGGCTTCTCGGTGAAATCGAATCCCGTTTCGTGCAGGCGATGGTGGGTTTTTCTTTCCTATTCCTCTCGTTTTGCGTACAACTCACAAGAACTTGCGAAAAAATTTAACTACCGTATTTACGCAAATACCACGCGTAACAAGAAAAAAAAACACCTTTTTCCCTATAAATCAGTACAAAAAATGAGGTGCGCGTCATAGTCTGCTACAAAATTTCAAGTCGTATTTTTAAAAATGGAAACGTTTCTCTACATTTTCAAAATGTATTGAAAGATATCTTCTTTAAATATTACATAATTTACATGAAAAAAAAAATACTGTAATTATTTACAGGCATCACCGGGTGAAATGGTAGGAGCCTTGGCAGCCCAATCCCTTGGAGAACCCGCGACACAGATGACACTCAACACCTTTCACTTCGCCGGTGTGTCTTCCAAGAACGTGACCTTGGGTGTGCCTCGTCTCAAAGAAATCATCAACATTTCCAAGCGTCCGAAGTCCCCGTCGTTGACTGTGTTTTTGACCGGAGTCGCCGCTCGTGATGCCGAAAAAGCGAAAAATGTGCTCTGTCGGTTAGAACACACAACGCTGCGAAAAGTGACTGCCAACACCGCAATTTACTACGATCCTGACCCGCAAAATACGGTCATTTCCGAGGATCAGGAATTTGTCAACGTCTACTACGAAATGCCAGATTTTGATCCGACGCGTATTTCACCCTGGCTGCTCCGAATCGAGTTGGACAGGAAAAGGATGACTGACAAGAAGCTGACGATGGAGCAGATTGCCGAGAAGATTAACGCCGGGTTCGGAGACGATTTAAATTGCATTTTCAACGACGACAATGCTGAAAAGCTCGTATTGCGAATCCGGATCATGAATGCGGACGAGCAGAAATTTCAGCAGGACGAGGAGGAGGAGCAAGTGGATAAAATGGAAGACGACGTTTTCTTGCGCTGTATCGAGGCGAATATGTTGTCAGATATGACGCTACAGGTTCGTTTGCAATTTGCATTCCCCACCCTGATTTTTCGATAAAATAAAATGTCATTGCTAAAATGATTACCAAGACCGAAACTGTTAGACTTATTAAAATAAATCCTGGTTGCTCAGGTGGACTCTCTCTACAATGAAATTCTGGGGGCGAGAAAAATTCGTTGTGAAGAACCCCAACTCAAGGGGTAGGAAACCCTATGTGGCCTATGAGTCCAAAGTACATTTGACAGTAGAATCTGGTTTCAACGAATCGCGTAAAAAGTAAATGCTCTCAAGTCTAAACGATCCTGGTTTATTGATCCCTGCCCAATAGCCGAAATGTTATTTTAACTTCGTTTTAATGAGAGAGTCGACCAGTATTTCAAATTTATCGTGGTCAGTATAATCAGTTCGTTGATATCAGCTCTTAATTTTGGATAGAACTGTAAAATATCCGACTGCGTGTAAATCAGCCACCCTAGTTTCATCCTGGTATTTTTTTCATTTATAAAGTTCTAAATTAAGAACAAACAAACATTCTTTTGAATATAGGGCATTGAAGCCATCGCAAAGGTGTACATGCACTTGCCAATGACGGACGCGAAGAAACGGATCGTGATAGAAAAATCTGGGGAGTACACGAAGATTGCGGAATGGTTGTTGGAAACCGATGGAACGAGTTTGATGAAAGTGTTGTCTGAACGCGATGTGGACCCAGTTCGCACGTATTCAAACGATATTTGCGAAATTTTCTCCGTGCTGGGAATCGAAGCTGTCCGGAAGTGTGTGGAGAAGGAGATGAACAACGTACTGCAGTTTTACGGACTTTACGTCAACTATCGTCACTTGGCCCTGCTGTGTGACGTGATGACTGCCAAAGGTCACTTGATGGCTATCACTCGTCACGGGATCAATCGTCAGGATACTGGGGCCTTGATGAGGTGAGAATTTTTTTCTCATTTTGCTCAACATTTTGATGAATTTATTTTTCAAGAGCTGCAAGGGTTCGTATCGTGATGCAGTTCGTCTCTAATCGTTTCAATCCCGGAAAGCTTCGCTTTTAACCTTTTATAGAATAGAATTGTTCGGAACCGCGACTGTTTCGTGTTCATGACATACCCTCATTCACTAGGTTTATAAGTTTCCATCGATGGTAAGGTCCACCTCCTTTTTTTTGCTTCGTAAACTGAAACAGTTTGGCCTGCATATTTGAGATTCGCCTCCGTCTCATCAAATTCTAACGAATCAGAATAGTTAAAATCAGAGATGGTTCTCCTGATGCCAAATCTCCCCAAACAGACGAATATTCCAGATAAAAATCAGGATTCCAGCTCTTTTTCGTACAAACGTGTGAATGCTGGTATGTAGGGATGTGTCTTGAATTAATACACTTCTTATTGAAAATAATCTGTTGGTCGAAAACAATACAGTACAATGTTTTTCCTGAGAATCGAAGACTCCATTTAATGTAAGGCGCAACATGATTGTTTATGAGAATAATTTTCAAAATTCAAATGCGTTTTACACTTGGATGAGTACATCCTAAATTTTTATACATTTTGTGTCGTCTGAGTTCTATCAATTTACTTCAGGATGTGTGCCTCTAGGCAAGTTAATGTGGGATTTCAGTATGTGAATGTGAGGTCAATATATCTTAATCAACGCTTATTTTGATTGTTTTCGTCTGATACAAGCCTTTAATTCTGAATTGCAAGATCCGAGATGGAAAGAAAATAACCTTTCCTTTTTATCAACTCATGACGATCCCCTTGATTTTCTTCGCAGATGCTCATTCGAAGAGACGGTCGATGTTTTGCTGGACGCTGCAAGTTGTGCGGAAGTGGATCCTTTAAGAGGAGTCTCCGAAAACATCATGATGGGCCAGCTGGCTCATATTGGCACTGGTGCATTCGACTTGTTGTTGGATGCAGAAAAATGCAAGTACGGTATGGACGTTGCTCCTGCTGTTGGTGGAATGGGAATTGCCGGTCCCGGTATGTTTTTTGGCGGCGGTATTTCTCCGACCGCCACTGGTGGGATGACTCCAGGAATGACTCCGTTTGCTCAGGTATGTTTCCCATACAGTGTCACTTATTGTATTCATTCATTGGAAAGCGCGGGAAGTGTTGCTTCGAATCCTATTCATGAGAAATTGAGATCTTTTGGCGTACTTCGTATTTTAGGTCATTTTCAAGGTGATTTATCGTCCTCGACTTCGGGACGTTACAGTATTTTTCGCTATTCGTGCATAGGTGTCGCCCTCATTATAAACTAAATTTGGCCATAGTTTGTGATGCAGGCGACGTCGAATCAACATGAGACAGCAATGCTATGCTATTTTTTTTGTTCAAAAAGAACTTGAATTGAATTTACTCGTAGGTAACTGCAATATTTCGAGTTGATGGATTTTTATTACAAATTGTTTTGCAGGGTCAGACGCCTGGTTATGGCAGCGTTTGGTCTCCTGGACTCGGCAGTGGAATGACTCCTGGAGGACCAGCTTTTTCACCATCTGGCTCGAGCGATGCATCCGGACTGTCCCCAGGTTATTCACCAGCATGGTCGCCTCAGCCTGGTAGCCCGAGCAGCCCGGGTCCAGCAATGTCTCCGTATGTGCCGTCACCCGCGGGTGCCTTGTCTCCGAATTACAGCCCTAGTTCGCCTGCGTATGCTCCAGCAAGCCCAAGCATCACACCTTCGAGTCCTGGGTACAGTCCGAGTAGTCCAGGTTATTCTCTGAGTAGTCCGCATTACTCGCCGAGCAGTCCGCAATATTCGCCGACAAGCCCAAGCTACAGTCCAACCAGTCCAAGTTATTCGCCGACGAGTCCGAGCTATAGTCCGACGAGCCCGAGTTATTCGCCAACGTCTCCGAGTTACAGTCCAACGAGTCCCAGTTACAGTCCGACCAGTCCTAGCTACAGTCCGACAAGTCCGAGTTACTCGCCTACGAGTCCGAGCTATAGTCCTACGAGTCCGAGTTACTCACCGACGAGTCCGAGCTATAGTCCTACGAGTCCGAGTTATTCTCCGACTTCTCCAAGCTACAGTCCGACTAGCCCGAGTTACTCGCCGTCTGGACCGAGTTATTCTCCAACCAGTCCAAGCTACAGTCCGACTAGCCCGAGTTACTCGCCGACTAGCCCGAGTTACTCGCCGACGAGTCCGAGGTACAGTCCGGCTAGTCCCAACTATTCTCCGACGTCGCCGTCGTTTTCTCCGGCCAGTCCGAAATATTCACCGACTAGCCCTAGTTACTCGCCGACCAGCCCGAGTTACAGTCCGACTAGCCCGAGTTACTCACCGGCCAGCCCGAGTTACTCTCCAACTAGCCCGAGCTACAGTCCAGCTAGTCCGAGTTACTCGCCGACTAGCCCGAGTTACTCGCCGGCTAGTCCGAGTTACAGTCCGGCTAGTCCGAGTTACAGTCCGGCTAGTCCAAGCTACAGTCCAGCGAGTCCGAGTTACAGCCCGACTAGTCCGACTTATGCCCCTGGCGGCGGGGCGAAATACAGTCCGACGAGTCCGGGATTCGCGCCGTCGACGCCTAGTTACAGTCCGTCGAGTCCGACGTTCAGTGCGACGGAAAGTGGGGAAGGGAAGAAGAAGAGGCGGAAGAAGTGAGTGGCTCCGATTATTTATGGGGACCAAGACTTGACTTGTCCCCGAAAGGTTTGAGCCATTGCGCGGAAAGATGTGAGAAAATTCAGTAAAAAGTTCCAGCTTTTTTGAAAATAAAAGTTAGATTAAATCGGTAACGGAGAAAATGTTCACTCTTTCACGAGTGATTCCTTCAGGTTTTATTTTTTTCAAAGGAAGCTTCATAGAGATGATTTAACGCTACTATTGTATTTCCGGAAAAAGTTTCGTCATCAATTTTTGATAAATGTTGAATATTACTCGAATTAGGGAATCATGCAATTCATGGCAGTGATTCGGGTTGTTTGTATTACCTCGTTAATATTCAAAAATTATGAATTTAAAAAGCGAGTGACACATAATAAATAAAATGAAGTTTTGCGATCGATTCAAGGTCGGAGATCAATCATATGCATTGATGGTCCTCGTTTCTGATGCTTTGAATTTGAAACTAAATTTTAATATAATTTAAAATATCGGTATTAAACTACTTAGACTAAAGCTCCCTCGTATAAATTTTTTATTAGCGTCACTTTATTTTTTGAAGAAATTTTGATTTGAAAAGGGGCGGTTGGAATGCAGCGTTGAAATGAAAGTGCGGTTTTCGTGTGGGTTCTGTTTCGAAATCCGTCTTGTGAAATTAATTGATTCTCCCTAAGTTTACAGGTGTATTTAGTACAAAAAACAAAAACTTTTACCTCTTTCGAGTGAAGGGATTTTTCGAAGATAGGTCCAGTTCTGTCTTGAGCTCAACTCAAATCTGTAGAGAACTTCTCAGGGTTGGTGAAGAAACGCGTTGAGTTTGACTTCTGGGTCTGATTTTATCTCGTGGTTCAAATCGTGTCCATTCCTGGCTTCAAGAGAAATCTTGGGATTTTTTTAAAGCTTTTCTCCCGGGAGAATGAGAACAAATTGAAGACGAAAAACCTGTTGGTCTCAGTTGACTCCCAGCCATTGCTACTTTTCACTTTCGGCATACTGAATTTTTTAATGCGATGTTTTTTTTTTTCATTCGTTTTGCGATCATGACGAATGTGTTGAATATTGTTCAAAGAAATGCATTCGCAAGTTTGATGAATGATTCTCGTGACGCACGGTATTCGCTGTTTTCCCCCGCTTGAAGGTGGATGTTTTATACTTGCAACAAAAGTAATGACGGCGAGTTTCGGTTTGTCCGGGAAATAAAAACTTGATTGACGCTCTTTGATTGACTCTTGGGCTGTATTTTTTTTTTCGTGTGTTATTTCTATGAATGATCTTATTTTTTTGTTGCAGGTTTCGATTTTGATATTGCGGTGAATGTTGATGTTGCAAAGATCCGAGAGTGAATTTTCGATGCGTGATGTGTAGAAAGTGACAACTGGGCTAGTGCGAAAATTCAACCCGGCAATAGCTGCGAAAATTCGAAAAGCAGGAACAATATTTTTGTTGGTTTTCTGGTTTAAAGCAAAAAACAAAGGATTGGAAAGGTCTGATTTGTATGCTCTCTTTCTAATGTGATCGGTGACTTTCAAAACAAGTACTGAAGTGTACAACTGTCAGCTCATCAAGCTGATGTCGTGTGCACGTGGTATAAATTAAAAATAATCGAACCTTATCAATGTATGTCAAAAGTAGTTATACTGTACTAGAAAGAAAATGGATAGGAAAATTCTGTTCGTCATTAAGCCTGATTCAATTCTTTATGCTCTTTCAGATAATTACGCGGTTGTTTTATTACAAATTATTGTTTGGTGAGCAAATTTTGATTTTCAACCACACAAAAAAAACTATGATACGGGTCTTACGCTGTGATGGGTTTTCTGGCGAATTTCTTGTCAAAATATCAAGTATTACTTGACAGGATGTGGTGCTCGAGTAACTACAATAATTACATCCGCATCTTTTGAGCCCCCTCAATAATTTTTGAGAAGTGATCAAGCAATGTTCCTCTTGAAGTCTATGGAAAACTATGATTATTCATGCACATGATTTGACATATGTTCCCTTCTTTGGGGAGTAATTACGTGGCCCCCCGTAAAGGTGTATGAATTCTACGTTTCGTTCGTCAGTCTCCCTCAACCCAGCATACCACTATTCAAAACGTTTTCTTTTACACAGATACGGAATAAATTCTGTAGCATTAATCCTGTTTCGTGAAAGCGCTGTGAAATAAAATGGCGAGCCTGGAGGATAAATCCATTTGGGAAGGCGAAGAGGCGCTGTTGGAGGAGCTGGAGCGGATGAGTACAGACGATGTGATCGCACGAACGCGATTGCTGGACTCTGAGGTGAAGATCATGCGCAGCGAAGTGATGCGGATTACGCACGAACTTCAGTCCATGAAGGATAAGATCAAGGAGAACACGGAGAAAACCAAGGTGAACAAGCAACTGCCGTATCTCGTGTCGAACGTAATCGAATTGCTGGACGTGGATCCGTTGGAGAACGGGGAGGAAGAGGGTGCCAACATTGACCTGGATTCGCAACGAAAAGGTGGATCAGTTTGGTTTTTTTATTAATTTTTTTTTCCTCCCGTGCAGTGACCTTTTTTTCTGTGGCGAGAGGAAACTAACTGCAGAAGCGACTCGATTTCTTCAATTTCCGGATGTGGATATGAGTTGTAACGCGAATATGCCAGCAAAGAAAAGGCACTGTATTTTGAATGTAAATTGTAAGCTTTGATTTACTGTTTTGTTCTCGGTATTTTTCCGAGTCTCCTGTTTGATCCGAATGACTCTCTAAAAGTAAATGACACCTTTTGTTCCTCTGGGGGAACGGATCCGAATGATTCGAATCACTAGATCGTGATTCACGAACAAACGTTGGATCAGTTTTCTTTTTGCTTTGTTCGTGAAATGGATTTTTTTTGTAGTTAGAGGAAACTGCAGGAGTGACTCAAATTCTTCCATTTCGGAAATTTGACGGTCTTCGTGAAATACTGAGGAACAGGATACGCTAGCCAAAAAGAGATTTTAAGGTAGATTACGGCTATTCGAAAGACCACAGACCGGACCTAAAACAAATGGTCCTTCATTAAGCTACTACAGGAGCCAGAAAGACAATCGGATTACGCATAACGTTTTGCACGTTCTGGCCGATGCTATGACATTTTGTTTTGCAGGTATCGGTTTTAATACGAAAAAGGCACAAGTTTGAATTTTAATTTTAATTTTTTTTGTAGTACAGTATACGATTTCAAGTCTTTTTCTCACCCAATGTTTGACCCGAACGGCTCTCAAAATGACACATTTTTTTGTTCCCGGAGGAAGAGAACCGAGAAATCCGAAAAAACGACCTAGTTTTTGCCTTTTTTTCGAAATATATTCTGTTGAACCACAAACAGAACTTGGCCAAAAAAGTGAAATACAGGACACCTTCCTAAGCACCGTAACTCGGTTTGAAATAAAATCCTTATGGCTCTAGTTTCGAACAACATCAGAAACCCACTATTGCCCGTAACAACCAATCTCGTTAATTCTCAGGAGTCTGCAGAAAATGGGCCGTGTAATGAAGTATTGTGGAAACTGAAAAGAATAATTCATCCAAGTTTTGCATCAGTTTTATTCTCCAATTCTCTGGATAATTGTGGATCATTTTGGTGTACAGTATTAAGCTGCAAGGCGTCAAGAAGACTGATGAAACCCGATTTTTAAAAATCTTGAAAAAAGTTGAATTCAATTTTTTTTTAATGAAGTTTCGTGGTTTTACTTGGGATTCATATAATTATGATGGACTAATTGAAAAAAACGCCCAAGAGAGAAAGTTTCCCCAGGCATTCGTGCTTTTCGTGCAAAAATTTAAGCTTCACGCTAACTTGATTATTCGTGAGCAGCCAAAGAAGGAAGCTGGAGTCCTTCTTTAGAGCAGAGGTGCTTCAATCTTCTTCACAGGCGATATTTTTTTTTTGAAATCCGTTTATTGATTTGAAAATATTCTTAATCCTTGCGGTTGGTCCGTGTTTGTTTCTTTGTTGCTCAACAGGAAAATGCGCCGTGATAAAAACGTCGACTCGTCAGACGTATTTCTTGCCTATGATCGGTCTAGTGGACGTGGAGAAGTTGAAGCCCGGTGACTTGGTTGGTGTGAACAAGGACTCGTACTTGATCCTCGAAACTCTGCCTTCGGAGTATGATTCACGCGTGAAAGCCATGGAGGTTGACGACCGCCCGACCGAGCAATACTCGGACATTGGCGGTCTCGACAAGCAAATTCAGGAGTTGATTGAAGCCGTCGTGTTGCCGATGACGCATAAAGAAAGGTGAGAAACGATTTTTTTCTCTCTCTCTCTCTCTCTCTTCGCGGGATTTTCTTCTCATCCTCGTGCGAAGGATTTTCAACTTTTGTGTGGGTTTTCCCACTGAAGAAAATCGATTTTTTCCGGGTCAGGTTTGAGTGTGTGTGTGTCATAATTTTTCAACTTTCTTGGAACGTGCGACGTCATAAACGCGCCGTTGTCTTTTGTCTGAAAGAATCCAAGTTCTGGAAATTTCGTTGTCGTTGCGAAGTTGTTCGCAATTTGGAAGCGAAGAAAAAAACACTCTAAGAAATATATACCGTAAGATTTTGGTCAGCTGAAAATTCGGCTGTTTTAAATTTAGTTTCGCGACAAGAGAAAACTAGGCTTTCCAATTTAATTCAATGACTCACTGTTATTTGACAATTTATGAATGAAATCAGTTTTTGATTTCCTGTTCTTTTGTCGCTGTCCGTTTAAGATTTAGAAATGAAGAGCATTGTGTCTCAGGGTAATTATCTAGGCTGAGAATTTGCCGTATTGGAGATTTCTCCAGCAAAAAGACGGCTGTTTAAATTCGTCAGAATATTTGCTTTTTGGCGCCCCGTCGTTTTTGTGATTTCAAGAAAAAAGTGGCCCCTTTCCTCGACTGAATCGGCCTTTTGCAAAATCGATCGAGCGAGAAATTGAGATAATTGAAGCACTTCAATAGCTGTAATGTTTTCATTTCGAAACCGAGCTTTTATCCAATGCTTTTAAAGATAAACGTTGATTTTGAAAGATATTTCTACCGCATTGAGGCGTGACGACTCTCCACAAATTTAAAAAAGTTGTTCTATTGAGAAATGTAAAATTATTCTCTTTTCTTATACCATACGGTATTAGATTTTTATAAAATTCTTACCTGAAAAGGAATATTTTGTACTTTTTTGGCCGAATTTCCTCCAGCTCATTTTTTTTCGATTAGTCGCTTTAAAACCCTTCGCATTTTTATTTCTTTTCGCTATTCTGAAAACCCATAATAATGCCACAAAGGCCTCTGTTGTAAAGGTTATAATGTCAGTTTTAACGTATTAAGGTTTTGGGGGGTAAGTATTCGAGTTAGGGAGGTTTATTATGCATTTTTAATGCGTAAGGGAATTCATCTAGTCTGAAAAAAAATCCGACATTGAAAGGATTGACTTTTGGAGGTCCAACTTTGCATGTTATTTCAGTATAATGCATTTTCTGGTTATTGCGAGTTTGTGAAACTGGGATTATGTAAAAAAAAATGTACAAGCTCATGTACAAGAATATTCTGTGCATACAATTTTCCTCTCCCCCGTGTATCGCCTGAATATCCCTGAACTCCTTTAATAAAAAATTATTGGCGTAGAACCGATTTATGTATTTTTCTACTTCGTAACAATATTATTTCAGAAATCGTCGTACAGCTTGTGGTTATGCGCATTTTACTGGTGAGGGGCAAAAGGTTCACACGGAAAGTGTACTACATGGGCTAATTATGACTGTAATCGTCCGGCTCTTTTTTTAAAACATTTATTTACGGTTTTTGTGCCCTCGTTAACTTTGTGGAAGTTCCAGTACTTTCGAGNACTGGTGAGGGGCAAAAGGTTCACACGGAAAGTGTACTACATGGGCTAATTATGACTGTAATCGTCCGGCTCTTTTTTTAAAACATTTATTTACGGTTTTTGTGCCCTCGTTAACTTTGTGGAAGTTCCAGTACTTTCGAGCGCCCTTCCAAAGGGAAATGCGTAGAATTGACTGTGATGACGCATCGATCAGAGGGCGGTTCAATTTAAAATACATTTCAGTCGGCCATTTTTTGTTCGCCGGAACCTTGATACTTTATTACTCTGGTCATGAATTTCTGCCGATTCCTGCATTGAATTCGGTGCCATGATTATTTTTCGTGTGAATTGGAGAATTTGAGCATGAAAATGTCTCTGAATCGGCATTCATCGCGTTCTTGGTGGATTCCATTAAATTTGAAGAGCAAAATCCCGTTTGCAGAAGCATGATTAAGTACTATTCATTCCTCCGTAATGAAGGAAGTGAATGAGGAAATCATGACTGAAGTGTTGAAAAAAAATCTACGGAATTGATTCCAGTGGATATTTATGCTAAATTGTATCCACTGAACAACATAATTTCGTATACCGTAATTGACTTTAAAGGGCTTTTACAGTGATTCAAAACATGATTCACTCACTCAACGTCCGACATTTCAGATTTTTCTCATGTGATTGACATAAACTTTTATTCACTTTCACATGAAGCGATCTAAATTTTTTTTTAGCTTTCTAGCTGATCATGCGTATTGAGAATTTAAAATATGATGAAAAACTAGAACCGCGTTGTCATGTTTTTCTGCACAGTCTTCCAATGCTTATCTTTTTTTTTGTAACACCCTTTCCTTCTCGATTTATAAAGGACTCACGATTATGCGCCTCTTACTTTTATATCGAATACTGTAACTGCATTAAGAAACCAATCGTAAAACATGAAAAAAAGAGCTTGAAGTAAATGCAGTCATAAAATATATACTGTATACTGTGTATACATTCCTAGAAAACATCCTGTCCTGAAATGAATAAAAAAACTGTGCCTGTTATCATAATTAACATTTACCCCCACAGCAATTACATTTTGTACATGACCCGTTCTTTTTTTTTAATTCTAGTTTGTAAACAAATTTTCTATGAAGAAACAACTCTTTCCTTTTTTTTAATCATTCAGAAGACGAGGGAAGAAAATGTACGGCACAGCAGTTCCTTTTTTTAAGAAGGAAATTTTGCTTTGAACCGGATGTTTTTCTGTTTTGTTTAAATTTTTGTTTAGAATTTAAGAAAATGCGGCGAAGTTCGAAGGAAAGGATGCATTTTGAAATATTTTTTGTCTCGGTTTTCGGATGTCAGCTTGTGTGTGTGTTTTTTTTTTACCTCAGGAAATAACCTCGTGAATTCATCCAAAAAAATTGCCCGTTTGTTTTTTCTTTCTTCTCCCTACTGAGCCCAAATTGTTGTTCGATTCTGGCTTTTCCCAGCATTTTTCCAGGTTGATCCTGGGAAAATTTCGCGTCATTTCATGCGTCGCCTTTCTTTTCTTGTATCGTTTCCAGATTTGAAAACTTGGGAATACAGCCCCCGAAGGGCGTCCTGTTGTACGGTCCCCCGGGCACCGGGAAAACCCTGATGGCTCGCGCTTGCGCCGCCCAAACCAAGTCCACTTTCCTCAAGCTGGCCGGTCCACAGTTNTCATGTACAAGAATATTCTGTGCATACAATTTTCCTCTCCCCCGTGTATCGCCTGAATATCCCTGAACTCCTTTAATAAAAAATTATTGGCGTAGAACCGATTTATGTATTTTTCTACTTCGTAACAATATTATTTCAGAAATCGTCGTACAGCTTGTGGTTATGCGCATTTTACTGGTGAGGGGCAAAAGGTTCACACGGAAAGTGTACTACATGGGCTAATTATGACTGTAATCGTCCGGCTCTTTTTTTAAAACATTTATTTACGGTTTTTGTGCCCTCGTTAACTTTGTGGAAGTTCCAGTACTTTCGAGTGCCCTTCCAAAGGAAAATGCGTTGAATTGACTGTGATGACGCATCGATCAGAGGGCGGTTCAATTTAAAATACATTTCAGACGGCCATTTTTTGTTCGCCGGATCCTTGATACAGTACCTTATTACTCTGGGCATGAATTTCTGCCGATTCCTGCCTTGAATTCGGTGGCATGATTATTTTTCGTGTGAATTGGAGAATTTGAGCATGAAAATGTTTCTGAATCGGCATTCATCGCGTTCTTGGTGGATTCCATTAAATTTGAAGAGCAAAATACCGTTCACAGAAGTATAATAAAGTACTGTTCATTCCTTTTTGACGAAGGAAGTGAATGAGGAAATCGAGCATAATCATGACTTGAGTGTCAAAATAAAAATCTACGGAATTGATTCCAATGAATATTTATGCTGAATTTTATTCATTGAATAACACAATTTCGTATACCGTAATTGACTTTAAAGTGATTCAAAACATGATTTACTGACTCAACATCCGAAATCTCAGATTTTTTCATGTGATTGACATAAACTTTTATTCACTTTCACATGAAGCGATCTCAAGTTTTTTTTTTTTTTTTAGCTTTCTAGCTGATCATACGTATTGAGAATTTATAATACTGTATGATCAAAAACAAGAACCGCGTTGTCATGTTTTTATGCATGGTCTTCCAATGCCTATATTTTTTTGTAACACCCTTTCCTTCTCTATTTATTAAGGACTCACGATTATTCGCCTCTTTTTTTTATATCGAATACTGTTACTGTACTGCATTGTGAAACCAATCGTAAAACATTTAAAAAAATGAGCTTGAAGTAAATGCACCCATAAAAGGTATACTGTGTTTACATTCTTAAAAAACATCCTGTCCTGAAATAAATAAAAAAGAACTGTGCCTGTTATCATAATTAACAAGTACCCCCACAGCAATTACTATTTGTACGTGACCCGTTCATTTTTTTAAAATTCTAGCTTGTTAAACAAACAAATTTTCTATGGAGAAACAACTGTTTCCTTTTTTTAATCATTCAAAAGACGAGGGAAGAAAATGTACGGCACAGCAGTTCCCTTTTTTCAAGGAGGAAATTTTGCTTGGAACCGGATCTTCTTCTGTGTTGTTCAAATTTTGGTTTAGAATTTAAGAAAGTGCGGCGAAGTTCGAATAAAAGGAGGCATTTTGAAATATTTTTTGCCTCGGTTTTCGGATGTCAGCTTGTGTGGTTGTTTGAAAAAAAATGGAGTCCTTTATTGGAGCACTTAAGTAGGTTTTTTTAACGGGCAAACAAAAAAGAAAGAAGAGGGATGACTCGGGTTTAACAACAAGCTAAGACCGAAAAGGGTCGTAAAAAGGTCCATGATCCTGGGAAAATTTCGCGTCATTTCATGCGTCGCCTTTCTTTTCTTGTATCGTTTCCAGATTTGAAAACTTGGGAATACAGCCCCCGAAGGGCGTCCTGTTGTACGGTCCCCCGGGCACCGGGAAAACCCTGATGGCTCGCGGAACGCGGCGGGTTTGGTTCAGGTGAAAGGAGTTCGACCGGCCAGGTGTCAACCAGGTCTACAAGTAACCGCTACCGCGCTTCGAGCACGCACTGCGGAAGCGCGACCGGTTCCTTTTCCGCGGCCGAATCATTTTCATCGACGAGCTGGACGCCATCGGTACCAAGAGGTTCGTTGGCGGCTTTCCCTCATTCGTTCGTTCATTTCTGCTTGTGTGGTGGTGGTGGTGGTGGACGCTGTGCGTTGCAAATTTTTAAAAAATCTCTCTCCCCCTCTACACGGACTCGCGTTTCAGATAATTTACAGCGTAACACCCTTTTCAAGAAGAACAATTGAAGTTTTTGGTGTGCGAACGTGGCTCCCTCTACTGATTCACGAGTGAAGAAGAGTGTTGAACATCGTCTTCATGTTTCAAAAATACGAACAATTATAGGCTCTCTACAACGATTTTATCTGTACAAGGATATATCTTTTGATACCATAGGGTTCTCTACCTATGTTACAGGGGTTCTTTACAACAATTTTTTATGATCCCGTGAATTTCGTCGTAGAGAGAGTCCGTCTGTAACAGAATACGTGACAAATGAAAACGCTTCAAAAATAACAATATCCCAGTCCAGTGGAACGTCAGACTGGGATGTGTTAGTAATACTGAAGAAGATTATCTTTCTTCCGAACGTTTGCTAACAACGAAGTCGCCCAAGACAAACGTCGCTTCCTTCAGGTATACTTGAATACTGTACAGTAAAATATCAATATCTTTACCATGAAGCCATTGGGTCTAATAATATAATGTAGATGTGTTGTTATTGAAAAAAATGCGTTAAATAAAGAAACTCAAAATAACATTGTGTATATGGGACGGGAACCGAAAAAACGAGTTCTTCGTGAGGAATAATTCGTTAGGATTAGATTATACTGTGAATTGAAGCTTTACTCATTTTCGTGTTTTTAAAAAATTTATGCAGCTACTTTTTTCAGGCTTCCAGGACTCTCTTAAGAATTTGAGGGTCTGGAAATTCATCAAATGTGATTAAATAAGTTGCAAAATCTTCCAATTCTTTCTATGATGTTATGAGTCAAATGTTTTCAAAGACAGAATCCGCGCGGATATTCCTTGAAGGTGTTGCATTTTCTGAAATATCCGCTAAACAACTCAGAAACCAAAAGTAGATATTAATCCTAATCTTGAAAAGCGGGTTTAATAAATATTTGCGAGAGATTAGCCATTTCATGTAGCTATCTTTACAATACTCATTTAATGGTCTGTTCTAAGGGTCTGGAACCAATCGGGCTTTCCATTTGAATTTTTATGACATGGTTAACCTAGTTTTTGGATATCGAGACCTCACATTAAAAGAAAAAAATATCAAGTCTGATCCTTTCCTGCGAAAGAACGGATTCGTTCACTCTACCGTGTGCCTCTCAAGTGGTTGCGCTTGGGCAGTTAATACTTGATATTTTCCCTGTTGGGCACGAATGTTATTTCGGACGAGTGTTACGCAAGTGGAGGAAATTCGAATTGCCGGTGCGAGTGAAGAAAAACTTTCGTAATGCATGCACAGTACAGTACTGTACTGTACTGTACTTTGAAGCACTGTACCGGTGGGAGCATTCTCGGAGGAATCATTGTTCAGTACTGTACATTGGCTGCTCTCGTAACGAAAGTATTGTAATCCATTCCTGGGTGTGTTTCGTCATGCGGGATTTTTGCAATGCGAAATGCGATTTCCATTGGTCAAGATGTCAGTGTCCTCATGTTTGGCCTTTTTTATGAATTTTTTTTATGGGAAAATAAGTGCCCCTATGTCGAATTGTCTGCAGGTTGAAGTGTCCGCATGTGGGGGTCTCACTGTATTGGTGTTGCATTGTAAATGATTCAACCCGTTCTGGACACTCACCGAAGAGCCACAATCAACCTTTAAAACTGTTTGTATTGGATTGCGAATTTAAAAGTTTCACGTGTGAAATTTAAGTAATTGAGATGTATTTATGCTCTAACCTTTCTGAATTTCACAAGAAGGTAAGGAGAGGCAAAATTACGGTGAGAACCCGAGATGTGGATGTAATTGGTGCATGAAGAGTGTCCCTAAGTCGAAATATCCCGAAGTCGAGTCTCATTTTCCCTTAGAATTAAATCATAATTTTTAATTGGTATTTTATGGACAAGATACTCATCATAATTCCATGAAAATAAAAATTATCTCCCAATTTAAAATGATTCTATCAATATACTTCAGCACAAAATGGACATTTTGGGGATTTGAATACTGATACCTAATTGGTGAGAGAAATGCCCAAGAACTTTTTGTATGTCAATTTTAGGGTTGGAAATATCTGTTTCTTGTAATTTGGCCTGAAATATATTTGCAATTTCATCACAAAATGTCCCTCTGTTGAGTCAGTGTCCTCATGTTGGGCTTTTTTATTAATTTTTTATGAGAAAATAAGTGTCCGTATGTCGAATTGTCTGCAGGTTGAGGTGTCCACATGTAGGGGTCTCACTGTATACCCTTTATTCTTACTCTCCTCAATTTTCAAAAAAATCATGAATTTTTTTCGAAAACTCTTTAGTTTTGAGCATTTTTGAGCCGAAAAGTTCCGTTATTTGAGTCATTTTTTCCCATTGATATTTTCCTTGTGCAATTTGTTTGTTGTGCGGGTCTTTCCTTATGCAGGGACTCATTGTGCAGAGCTATTCTTTGTGTGAAGCATTTTTTCCTGGTCCCGTCAGAACTTGTGTTGATGTAGAAGCAACTCTCGTAGGACAATATTCTCTGCGAAACGCAAAATTTTTCTATTCGATGAAGTGCTCCTTTAATTTTGTCTTTTAGGGACTCTTAAAACGTTAAAAATTAAATTCGAGTTGAACTGTCTGCAGAACTTCGTATCTAGAAGGTGCTGAAACATCGGCGTTTTATTTATTACACTAGAAGGTCAAATACAAGTTTAAATGGTAATAGGATTAAATTACTGTATTGCTTTAATTAAATCGCGTTTACATTGAAAGAGCCAAAAGCGTAGAACATGACAAGGAACTTGCCTTTTCCAATCATTGAGTAGCAAATTTTCATTACTCACTTTTGCTCATGATTTTTCCCGTAATAATGATTATCGCGAGTTTTTTTTTTCTACTTGCGACTAGCTAGTCCTTTTCACGATTAAAATTAATTGCGGCGCTTCCGCATATTTCATTTCATGTTGAGGGAGATTTATTTTTGGCCAGTTGGAGATCGGAGGGGATTTCACTGTGATTAATTTGGTCATAATCACTGAAAGTTGCGTGATATCCTTCAGATAATGATGATGCGTGTGGAATGAAAGTACTGTATGTTCCGGTAATTTCCGCTGCTGAAAGAGCGATTTCATCTGCACGAAAAGCGCTCTTTTCGAACTGCTGACAAAAACTTTATTAAAAGTTTTACGCATCACGAATTTTGCCGCTGAATATAGATGAATTGTGGTCCCTCTTGTCGGGTGCAGGAGAAAATCCCGTGGAAGAAAAAAAATCCCGCGATGCTGATAATCCCGTGTCCTTGAAATTTCTCGCGGGGTTCAAAAATCCCAGAACGTGAATCTTTGTATCGAAAAATCCCCTTCAATAACTACAAAAGTCAATTGATTCTACAGAATTTCGAAATAATTAAAAAGTCTAGCTGCAGTTTGATGGAGATTCTGTATTTAATTTCGTCAAATTTCAATGTAAAATATTCAATGTACAACACAAGAAAAACAGCATAGAAACAATTTTTTTTTTTAATTCATCGAGCTTTTAACTCTAAAAACTTTCTGAAAGAAAAAATGCACTGACGTTCTAGTCCTTCTATCTTGTCTTGACATTTGAACCACTGTTCCATTCCATAGTCACTTTTACAATTATGTAGTCCACAGGATTTTCGTTCCTGCAGGATTTTTCGACCCCGCGAGATTTTTGGACCTACGGGATTATCTTCCTTAGGATGTTTTCAAGCTGCGGGATTTTTTCTCCTCCGGGATTTTTTCGTGGAGCCCCCTCTGTCGTATACGACCCGAAGATCGGCTGCTGATGAAAACGCATTCAGCAGTTGACTTTTGATTAAGGATGGAACCTGGTATTTCATTACGTATGCTTTCGAAAATTTCGATATTTATTAACCCAGAGAATTAGTCAGCTGGAAATTTGTAGGAAAGTAGTGCGTTTATGTGTGATGCTGAGTGTTCGCAAAATAGGGAAGTCATGTCCCTTCAAGCAAAGATTGCTGGGATGCAATCTTTTTTAGAGATATTTTTTGGATGCCAAAAACCCTGAAACCCTGCACCAGACGTAGCAAAACTCTGCAGGGGTCTTAATTGGGCCGCGGAATCAAAACTATTTAAATACTTTTGGTGGCCCGAAAATCTCCCTCACCATCCCTCGGGAAAGGATTCTGATCCGGACTGGAAACCAGTGGGAAATTACACAACAAAGTAAAGTTGTAAATCTTGAAAATGTCTGCGCAGATTCGACTCGGAGAAAGCCGGAGATCGGGAAGTGCAGCGAACCATGTTGGAGTTGTTGAACCAGCTGGACGGGTTCTCGTCCCATCAGGACATCAAGGTTATCGCGGCCACGAATCGCGTGGACATCCTGGACCCGGCCCTGTTGCGATCCGGGCGTCTGGATCGGAAAATCGAGTTCCCGGGCCCCAACGAGGATGCCCGTGCCCGCATCATGCAGATTCATTCTCGCAAGATGAACGTGTCTCCCGAGACCAATTTCGAGGTTCGTTTTTTTTTTTCTCAAATGTTTTCTTTTTTTTTATCCTCCTGTCGTTTGGCCAATTGCGTGTCAAAAACATTTCTCGTGCAGTGCGAAAGTCTGAATTTTTCCGCATCGGAAACGTCGAGAAAGTCCGAGCAGAAGTGATGTGAAATTTGTAAATATTTTCACGTACAAAAAGAGTTTCTTGAAATGAGGATTCAAAAAATCCAGAGTCATCCAAAAGATTTAGTTTTGAGTGACTGGATATGAAATTGGAATACAATTGTGACTACCAGCGACATCTACTCATGGAAGAATCGTTTTCGTCCAAATGGACTGAATGAGGAAATGTAAATTATGAATTGGTCAACTCTCTGCGCTGTAACTTTTTGGGCGGCTCTTACCAGTGAAAATTATGCCCAATTTCAGTTAAAATTTCAAGTTCTGCATAACGTTGAAGAATTTGCGATGCAATCTGAACTTGTTATTTCCCGCGAAGTTGAGAATGCCAACTAGGTCATCTGTAGAATTTTTTAAAGCTTTATTTCAGCTGTATAGAACTGATAATTAAAAAGATTGAAATAGATGTTCTACTCGGTTCTCAGTGTCCTAAGCGACCAATCAATCTGAAATTTGGCACACTTAATTTTTCTCTTGCTTCATAAATATTGTGTCACTTTTTGGAACATTTTAGAGAATAAATGTGTATTGCTAGCGAAAAGTTGAGTTTTTCCTTCTGTTTTCCATCAGTCTTCTTATATTTCATTTTGAGATTTTTTTTAATCGTGATATTTTTTCTTTAAGTTTTGGGAGGAATTGAAATACTCAACTGGTGTGGTGTTGCAAAAATAAATGGCAGTACTATTAAATTAGTCACACGGAATCGAGAGAACCCTAATTCTCAGCTGAATCTTCTTTCATTTCATCTCTGTGAGAATCTTGAAAGACCTTGGTTCTCAAGTTTCTTTCTAAGCCTTCAAGGCTACATTTTTATTGCGAAATCCTGTTTCTGTTTTTTGTCCTTGGAGGACAGTTTTCCTGTTTTCCAAATCGGCCAGAAAATGTCACTTCCATTTGAGCTCTTGTGTGATACACTTGAAGATTTGCGCAAAAGACTGTTTTGTTTGTGAAATCTGTCATTTCTCGAAGTACACCAACGTAAAATAGGGTGAATATTCACCCCGGTTGCAGCCCGACCGAATTCTGCGTTTTTATTTTCCCAAATATTCTGTAAACCAATCAACTTTTCAACCTTCTATATTTGTGGAGAATATATTCTTGACATGTGGTGCCGCGGTAAAATTATGTTTTGAGGTTTGAAGTGGACTACCTATTATTCTATTTTCAGCGAACAGTCCATTATCCGAGGAACTACTGTCTATTTTGATTGTGTAATATAATATGACGATATGTACTGTAAAATAATATTGATCATTTTTTTTCAAGAACCTCGGAAGTTATTCAACTGAATGTCGATCTATGAGGAATGGTAAATCCGTTCCAGATTCCTCATAAAATTACTAAAATTTCTTGAAAAAAAATCGTATCTTACATTGAATATGAAACGACTGCAAAAATGCGTGAATGAATTAGACGATGCCAAACACGATATACAAGTAGAATATAAAAACGTTGCTGTCATTGGAGAACAGTGATTCTCTTTTGCTCGCAGCCACATTTTCTCAACAAACGACCGAGCCACGATTATTCGCACCGATGCTTCGCAAATGGAGGTTGAAAAAAAGGGTCACTATCCCATGACCTAAAATATAAGCCTATTCGCCCTTTATAACCTCGATTCGTGGGAGAAACAAAACAGCTCCATATGATCTTGTGGCACGAATCTCTTTCCGTGAACCTATTCAACCGTCGAGGTCCGTTAGGTCTCCGTGAACGATGATCTACGAATTCTACGTCGTTGTGGGTTCCGTGGCTTCCGGTCCTGGGTGTAGTTCATTTACTTTTCAAGGCTCTTCTTCTTTCCTTGTTCCTCTTAAAAAAAAGGTAAAACAAAAATAACCCATGTTTCTTGTCGGCAAGATGGAGTTGGCGTCTGCTTCTGTTTTATGCTGAGTCCCCTAGGCCTAGGGTGTCTCTTAAACTTGACATGCTGTATAATATCGTGTAGGATCTGATTCTAAATCATTCGTCATGACGTTGCTTGAAGTGGGAAGTAAGAGATATTTTTTTTTCTACTTGAAGAAATGTTTCTTGGAAAGCGTAGTCTCATCAGTAGGGTATGTGTTGCTGGTATCCGTTCATCAGTTACCGGATAGTACTTTTGCGTTTGTCAAGGCCGGCGACTTTTTATCCGTTTCCTCAGTTAACTTTATTACCGGGTTTTAAATTTGTAGGTATTAAATTTCCATTTATTCGTTCTAGAACGGTCGAACCATGGTCTGTGGATTTTTTTAAGGTTCCTGTGTCAGTTCCAGATGATTTTTAAGTAAAACTCCAGAATTCGGTTGGGCTACAACTGGTGCGACTAAACACCCTATTCTGATGTTTATGTAATTTTCTGAACTGTTTGAATAAAAACACCAAATTTGCCAAGTACTCTGGCAATTTTTGTAGTACTTCAGCCCGAGTAAAAGTGAAGTCCCTATCTTGGGATTTTGGGAAGAAGGGTTTTCAAGGATGTGGAATATTTCCGCTGAGATTGTTGTTGTTTTGATGTATGATTTCCGTTTACAGTTTCTGTTTCTTGCCGTTTTAAGTTTCTAAAGATTCGAGGATTCTATGACCATTTGGTTGTTTCTGTTTCCTGTGAGAGTTGGGATGAAACCCAATTTGCACAGAAGATTCCAAGGACAATTTTTTGCAAATCACCAAAACTTGTCCTTTTATGATTAGGTGTAGAAACAAATTTGAACACTTGTGCTCTCTTTGATAAATTATGTCAAAGATATAAGCAGACTTGATAAATTGCTGTTTTCTTCAGAATGGCTGACTAAATTTGTGACACCCTGTCTGAGACCCTTGGAAACAATTCATCAAAAACCTATCCAACTCCAAGGCTTTCCCCTCAAACCTCCATAGCTGGTATTTTATGGAGGCCTTTTAACTACAATTTTATTTGCTCAAGAAAAAGAAACGCAAGAAATGTAACTTGATGCTCACTTTGTAAAGAAGTGAGGGACTAAATTGGCAAATGAACCTATGCCTCCAAGTTCAGCATCCTGCCAACTCATTTATGAACCAATTTAAGACCTAGAATATTACCAATTGCCATACAGTACAGCATCATGTAAATTGTTTTCTTCCTAACAACAAAAATCCCATTCACCTAACTCGATTTTTTTTTTTGTGGTACAGTACCATGGAATTTGACTTGGAGGAGGTTCAGCATTGCAAAGTTCACTGCGTAATTTAATGAGTTGCTTTATAGCGAAATTTTCGCGACAACGAATCTATTTTACTGTTCCCAATGGCTTTTTTGTAAGACTTGCAAAGATATTTTATTGTTTGACATGTAATATTGAATAAGATGCACGATGTGTGAGCAAAAATTTTGTCCGCTGAAGTAAGATGAACTTCCAGTTTATGAAATTTTACCAGAATCACGAAGTTTTGTTGGGTTTTTACTTGCTTGCATTTTCCCCGCTTAATCTTGTTTAAATTAATTCTTGAAGAATTATAGATTATCATTGAAAATCATTCATCATTTCCTTATCAATGAAATTGAGAGTTGAACTTCGTTCTTTAGAATGTCAAACGATTCTTTTTCACAAGACTATTGGTAAGAAGTGATCATGTGCAGTATTTTAACCGAAAATCGAAAATGCCATCGAATAGAAAACGCTTGCTAATTTTTGTTATTGCTGCACATTTTTATCTTTGTGTGAATTTCCCTCTGACGTACACGATTTAAGTGAATTCTTCGTGGTAGGTTCTTTTGTTTTTTGTTCCCTGTTTAAACGAACCTGGCGAAAATGCAAGTAAAACGTGCGTGAAGAATAAACAAATTCCCTCAGTTTTCATCTGCCGAAATCTTTTCCAACTTCCCCACATTTCAAAAGCCAGATCGCGGAGTCAAAACATGCGTTTGGAAGTTTATGAAATCCCGCAGTGAGTTCATTCCTCTTAGGTTGAGATTTATTTCGTAAGTACGGTAAGTAATTGCAGTCGTATATCGTTGGCTCCCTTGATGCCCAAAGCAAGCACACAAATTGTAGTACCGGATTTGTTCCCACGAAGCCAGTACTTTACTTTTACATTTTTGTTTTTGTTCCAATTTGGCGGTTAACTTGATATGAAATCAAGGCTGGTAAAAAATAGGTTGTAAAATCTCGACGTCACGATAGTTATAATGCGTTTGCATTAGACTATTGTAAAAGTTAAAAATAAGTATTATTGGGCATTTCGTTATACCGTAAAACTGCGGTGGGCTGCGGAAAGAAAAAGTTATTAAAATACGGTGGAGCTAAACAAAAATACGACGAATTTCAAGGGACCAGAAAAAAAAATTCGCTGTATTGATGTAGAGAGAAATTTCTTCGATTCTCTCAAGGTTGTTGTGGTGAGCACTTATCTGCACTTTTTGCTGTTATTTTTGCAGATGCAGTTGAATTCGCTAAAAATCATTGCGAAAACAACGTGCTTTTATTAAAGTTCCAGAAAAATTTGATTTTGGGAAACTTGCAACGAGCTACCTGTGCATGAGCAGTGCAACAAATCGGGCGCATTCAATGCTGAAGTGACTGATTTGATGCATATTTTTGTCATTTTTATGACTCAATAACAGAACCAAGCTCACCTGCAAAATTCTTGACTTTCACTCACTCAGATTTGCATTAATCATCGAGATGATTTCTCTTTTGCTACCCAGAATACTTTTGTATGCGGCTTTCATTTTTTTCGAAGAACTTTACGGTGTCTTGGCACAAGTCGGAAGCAATGACTGCATGCATTCTGGTGACCTAGTTTGACCAAGTTGATAAATACAGGTGATGAGAACTCCTCGATGTGTTTCTTGAATATCTTCATAAAGTAATTGAAATATTTGAGTGAAGGAGTTGCTGAAACCTAGGAAATTTTATCAAGAACACAGGCACCAATGAAGCTGCTGGTTGATGAACAAACTAGTCGGGTTTATTTTTTCCGAGAATTTAAGACAACAATTTCATCAAAACTGATGCACACTCATGGTCCACAGAGCTCAAGGCTTGCGTATTGAAAATATGAACCAAATGTTGTTTTATTCTCAACTCGGAACTTTTGGGCAAAGTTTTGCACGACATTGAAATGAATTGCATGACTGACTTTCCTATTGTTATCCCTGGAATCGTATAAGTGTACGTGTGTCTCCTTTTATCGAGGGTTGGAATGAACAGCTAAGAAAGTCTTTACAATACGAAAATAGTCTTTATTCAATAAGCAGTATATGCACACAACAGTGTAACCAAATAACCACAAGACACAGGGATCTTCAAGTAATCTATTGGGACCTGATACCTCTGATACTAAATGACTCCTGCACTAAAAGGCCTGCCTTCCCTAATCTGACCAGGGGTTCATATACCGCGGATTCAGGGGTAAAACCAGGAAGGGGAAGGACACCTGTGTGCGCATGTGCAGGTGTCTTTTTACGACTTCCACGCGCCGGGGGTTATTACTCAGTTAGGGGGTTGCTATGTGTGTGTCGTTGGGGATGCACGTGTCGTTTAGTACACGTGTACTGGGATGGAAGATTATTAATATATTCTTTATATTAATGTATTATCTCTTCCAGGTGTTATTAATAACACCGTATTCTTATATCCGCAGTGATGCAAATATTCTCGCATTATTTTGGGGAATTATATCACATAATTTCCTCCCATAACAGTATCCATCCCTTTGCAGGAATTGGCGAGATGCACGGACGACTTCAACGGAGCTCAGTGTAAAGCTGTATGCGTAGAAGCTGGTATGATTGCGCTCCGTAGACAAGCCACTATAGTAACTCACGAAGACTTTATGGATGCCATCTTGGAAGTGCAAGCCAAGAAGAAAACCAACTTGGATTACTACGCCTAGGTCTATCGTACATTCACGTTTAAAATAATAATTATTTGGCAAGCAACTGAAAAAAAAAATCTTTCCAGTGTAAAGTGAAAAAGTTTTTTGTTTTGATTTTCTGCGAGTCCTGTGTGAGGGTGGAAATGGAAACGAGTGAAACAAGCTGGTGGTTAGCAGTTCTTTGGAATACAGTACGTCATTCGGAGCGTGAATCGAATTGAAACGGTTGCTAGGTTGTGTTTGTGTCTGAGTTTGTTTATGCGTTTGAGTTCCCTGTTCTGAAGTGGCTTCTCGTTGAAGCTCAGTCGGTTCTGAGCGAAGCTTCGCTGTAATAGTTGCTGTGGTACCCGAATCGTCGATAAAACGAGTTAATTCAGCAATGAGTGTGATTCCGAATGGAGATGTACGAAGAGACCGTGTCAAGGTACGTATATTTTCGAATCACGAATAATTAAAATTTATTTCATCTTATACTCGTCCGTAATTTTTGAAATTTTGGGCTCGTGTCGTCTGAGTAACGGAAGTGATGAAAAAATAACTCGGATGGACTCATCTCTACAACGAATTCATTTTATTTTTTGGTCACCAAAGGTTGTCCACTCATCTTATGGAGGTTGTCCTCGACGAATTTTTTTCTGATCCCCTGCATTTTTTTGTAGAGAGTCCACCTGTACAACCAATGTCAAGCGTTTTGATGATTCAGAAAGCTTGAAAGATCATTTTGTATTTGTGTAATTCATAAATGAAAGCGAGCCTTCGAAGTTTACATTTTATTTCCCTCGCATTCGAATGTGCAGTTAATACGTATCATGAACGGTATGTTTTTTTTTTTAGGAAATTCAGAAATTGCTTTGTTCGCAGGTGTGAAACTTCCGGAATTTTTTCTTGCAGAATTTAACCTAATCTATACACGTTGAAGTGCGGAATCAATTATCGAAAGTAGAGCCATATGAAGAGGTATAAAGTAATGCAGGGTATTTCCTTAAAATAAAATGGATCGAATCAACATTGTGAAGATATTTTCAGCCCTATTTCTGCAACGTGGTTGAATTATGGAACTAGACACTTCTTAGGTAAAGAAAAAAATAAGCTTGGCAAAAGCGTCGATATATACTTTCGTAACTGTAATTTCTGCTTTTTTTAAATAAGGGATTAAACATTGCGGAATGGTTTTACAGGCTTATTTAAAACCTTATAATGCCGTTCTGAAAATAAATTTAAATTGTTGTGCTAGACACTAGTATGTCGAATTCTAGAGAGGAAATTAAACTTGGCAAAAACGTCGAGGATGCACTTCTGTGGCGATAATTTTATAATTTTGGTCATATATTGTATATGTATTATTTTTTCGAGGGATGAAGTGTTGAAGCCGCGGCAATGCGAAGGAGACTGGTTTCACAGACTTTCATGTCGTTTTGAAAATGAGTCTGAGACTTTTTCTTTTTTTCTTCCGCCTAAAATTACGTGCTGATTTTCATTGTGATGGCAAGTGCCAATTTTTTCCCGTTCTGCGTGAATGTGGAAAAATTTTCATTGTGTTTTAGGTTGATGATGACTTCGGTTTCGACGTGGAACTTTTCACAGTGCCGCGGCAATACGAAGGAGATTTGTCCAAGGTTCTTATTCCATCCGGGCTGATTGCGGACCGTGTCGAAAAGGTGGCCTCTGATATTTGGCACGACTACACTCGGAGTTCCGATCCGGAGTCTGCTGAAAGCCATGAGCTCGTTGCATTGTGTGTGCTAAAAGGCGGCCACAACTTTTTCGGGAAGCTCAAAGCGCAGATTGCGACCATGAACAAGTTTTCGAGGAGCGATGCGTTGAGGGTTGAAGAAGAGTTCATTAGGATCAAGAGTTATGTGGTTGGTATTTTTTTCCGACGAATCGAACTTCTTTCTGTGGTTAGTTTCAGTCGGACGTTGGACTTCGTGGTTCCTCATGAATTTAATTATTTTTCTGCAATATTGAATGTTTTCCACAAGCAAACAAAAAATTACTTTAGTTGAATTATTTAACTTGTAACTGGTTAAGAAATTTTCTTCGTCGCAAATTGTATAAAAATCGAAAGTAATTCTGGGAAGATTATACAATATATGTAGCTTTTCGTGAAAATCGAGAAAATAAAATGAAAACCCTCAATTTCCAACTGTCCGTTGTTTGTAGATCAAATTGCGTTGAAAACCTTCGAGTTGAAAATGAAATTGAAACGAAATTTAGAACTATGTCATATTTTTATGTCTTCGTGCCCAAAATCTGCTTCTGAATGTGTATTTATTATGTTTATTTCGACTCCTGCTTGACTTCTTTTCTGCTCGAGTGTCTCAGTTTTTGAGACTTAGCACTTTGGAAGAAGTTTTTCGCCATTTTGGCTGCTTCTTCTGGTACTTTTCGAACGGCCCAGTGACCATCATGTGCCATGCGAAAATAATTCGTTGTATTTTTTGAAAGATGATGCTTAAATAGTTAGATTTGAAGTCGAGCCCAGATTCATCCTTCACCCTTCTTATATAATGTTGCTCGTAGAAAATCTTCCAAAATGTCGCACAGTTGTGCTCTTTTGGCTTTCACGAGACTTTTTTTGACGGTAGGTGATGAAGTTTAGGAAATATGGTGAGCAGCTAATTGTAATTTCAGCAGTAATGTTTAAACTGCGATGTTTCAACATTGATTATTGAACTTCAAAGCTCGAGTTCTCCAATCTGTTTTCAAAAAGAAAGGTCGATCTAATTCGTCGTGAATCTTATATTTGCGTTAAAATCCATGCCGTCATGGAGTTGATTGAGAATCAACATCCTTCAAAGCGTCGAAGGATTTTCTCTTCAGAATGAATCCAGCGGAGAAGTTAGATTGCTGGATCCAGAATCCTTGAAAACTGTAACCGGAAGAGATGTGTTGGTGGTAGAAGACATTGTTGATACCGGACGAACAATGGAGAAGCTATTGGCAGAGATCAAAGCTTGTAATCCTTCGTCGGTGCGAGTCGCGAGTTTGTTGGTCAAACGGAGAGACGGAAATCTTCCGTCTTATATTCCGGACTGTGAGTTAATCGTCATGAAAGTTTTGTGCCATTTTTCACGCTTGCCCAAATTTTTTTCTTCTTCAGACACGTGCTTCGAAGTTCCGGATCATTTCGTCGTCGGATGTGGCCTTGATTACAACGAAGTATTCCGAGATTTGAATGTAAGTCGAGTATTCTGTAAGGGGGAATGCTTTTGATTATATTCTAGTCTTTTTTTTCTTCTGATCAGCATATCTGCATCATCAGCGAACAGGGAAAGAAAAAATATAGCGTCTGAAGCATTTCTGCGATGGCAAACAAATGGGCATTTCCATTTAATCTGAGATTCCGAGGGAGCAGCAAAAAGTATTGTACTCCCTTATTTTTGAAATGCAAGACAAAAATGGGGTTGAAAAAGGATTATGGTTTGCTGATTTTGATTGTTTACTGTGTTTGTGTGATTTACATTTGCCATGTGCTTTTCAGACGAATGGGTGTATCCGAATTTGTTTGCCTTTTGCTTTAATTTCGCGTGAAAGAAATGAGTTTCCAGTGTTCTGTCTGTTTGGAGGCCTTCGATGCTAACTGTGACATTTCTGCTCTGTCTTGTGGACACGTCTATCATTCCGAGTGTATTTTGGACTGGATGGAAGAGTAAGTTCTTAGAATATTGTCTTACTACCGTTTTCTCTGAAATAACGAGACTGATCTTGGAAACAATTTTTTTTACCGAGAAATTGCACGAGAATTAGTCTTCAGGACATGTCTTGAGGAAGATGCATGCCAATCTGCAAAATACCGAGATTATGGATGCTAAAAAGTTAAATTTAGTCTCAAACCCCATCGCAAATCTCCGATATTTTGTTCTTGCGTATTCTGATTTTGAGTTCGAAAATCAGAGGAACCTAGTTATTTCACCACCTTACAGATGGCGCACCTTTCAAAATGAATTAGTAATTATAAAAAGTTAGAGTTGAAGGTCAAACTGGTCAATGGTGAGAATTGGCACAAATATTAAGGTCTGTAATTGAGAGGAGATGTTGCGTTAGTCTGTTGTGAATGCGATTAACCTTTGTTGCAAAAGGGTTTCCGAGAACTGTGTGCTTCAACTAATTTAAAATTCTATTTCAGAAAACGCAACTGCCCGAAATGTCGCAGAACGGCGTCCTCTACAAGTGTGCTGAAACTTTATTTCGAGATGGCTGATGATGAGCAAGTCTCATCTGTACTCTCAGAAGAAGACACTACAGTAAGCAGCAGTAGAACATCTGACGACGTTGATCAGGAAATCCAGAAAATGTGAGTTTTGATTTTCACGAAACCCTTCGGTTCCCAATTAATTCAGCAGTTTTTCAAAGATAGACCTGCACGAGTGTCATTACTTTTTCTTCTTTCTTGCAGAACTACGTTTATTGAGCGAGAGAAGGGCGCATTGTCAACGAAAATCAAGACCTTGAAGGAAAAAAATGCGGCATTGAAGCGAAAACTGGAGCGTGCTAAATCGCAGCGAAACACATTGCGTGGAACTGTGCTGTCTTTGCGACAAGAGCGGGATTCTCTTCGTCAGCGAGTTCGCACCTTCGGTAAGACGTATCTGGAAGCCATAGACCGATTGAAACGAGCCGAAAAGAGACGCGAGGGACACAAGATGGATGCCGTGCTTTCGGTTGACGCAGTTGTTGGAGACCAGGCTTTTAAGAAGAAGTCGTGTGATGAAGAGAAAGCTGTCGAAGGGGGAAAAACCAACCGAAACAAGAAACTTATTCTTCGCATTTTCTCAAAGATCAAAGCGTAATTTTTTTTTATGGATGTGGAATTCTGGAAGGATTGATCTTCCGAAGGGGTGTTGGCTGTGACGATCTTGCCAATTATTTAGGTTTTGCACTTTTTAGGTGGACTGCTTTGTAACTGGCTCAATGAAGAGGTCTACTGATACTGTTTCGTTTTCGGAAGATGTGTATGAGTCGACGTTTCGATGTCAACGTTTAGTGAATTTTGGAGGTTGTTACTGTGACCGCAATTCTCGTATGTGAAGGAAACGTTTGAATAAACCCGCCGTTTTGCGATTCCGTGTTGATATTCTTTGTACGGTATTTTTTCTATCATATCTTCGCTTACTTTATTTGGGCAAGAGTACAGTACTTCCTCTGCATTCAAGAGCCTAATGTGATGGCAAATTTTTCACTGTGGAGGCGCGTTCAACTAACCCTCCTCAGGCTTACTGCAGTGTTCCCGCCAGCGTGAGTGTTGGCAACTTCGTAATGATGTCAACAAGCGTGTCGCGAGCGAGTGAAGACAAATTTTCTGGAGAATAGATTAATTTCCTGAATCAGAGAAATGATGTGTAGTTCAGAGACGTCATATTTCTTGACGGAGGTCGTGATATGAATCGATGCGTTCTTATTTTACCGTGGTCAGATGCCTAGCGTTTGGAATACAACGTGATTCATTTTCGTGGAAGAAGGAATGAACGAACTTCCTGTGAGTGGAACAATCGCCACGCTGAAGTCATCTCATTGTGCCTATCCTAGCGGGATGTGCGGAGATTCCGCGGAACACATGCAGTTGATCTACTGTTGTTGCTAATAAGACGGGGTTTCTCTGTTTCAGACCTGAATTTTCCTACTTCGTTTTTTATTTTCTCAAGTATGTCATTAACGTTCGTGAAGATCCTGCTCGTGATCATCGGTTGCATGTGCACCGTGGAAACGCGAGAACCTGACCCGCCGAAGTTTGCGTGTCCATCCGAGAAGAGTTTTTTAATTCACCCGTGCAAGTGTGACAGAGGTGGAGATAAGGGCATTTTTATATCTTGTACGGACACAAATCTGGCGACCATATCTATTGGACTTCAAAACATTCGCAAGCCAGTGGAGGTGTTGCGTATTGAACGCCTGCATGCTGAAGTGTTATATGGTGACTTGTTCAGCAAGTTGCGTGTGGTTACGATAGAGATCTTAGATTCCGATGTGCGGAAGCTCGTTGGACAGGATCTTTTCCACGGAGTGAATCGTACCTTGGAGGTTTTACGGATCATCAATACCCAATTGACGGATTTTCCTTCGGATGCCTTCAGTGTGCTCTCTCGTCTGAGAGTGCTTCAAATTCACGGCGGAAATCTTTCAAAAATTCCATCCGATGCATTTCAAGGGCTGCCTGAACTGGAAGATCTTGCTCTGTCTAACCAAGGATTAGTGGATATCGAGAAAGAAGCCTTTTCAGGTTTGCCCAAACTCGAGAAGCTTGATATACATGGAAACAACCTGGATAAGCTCCCCAGAGGCATTTTCAAGGGACTTCGGAGCGTCGCAAATTTTGATATTTCGCACAACTCCTTCTCCTCATTTACAGGAGATACGTTCGCCGAACTCACCAAGCTTACTTGGTGTAATGTTTCGCACAATGCGTTACGTGATCTCGGCCGTGGCGTATTTGCGAGGAACACGCTTCTTCGTGTTCTCAATATGGAGCACAACAAAATCAAAAAGATAGGGTAAGAATGAGCTCAAAATTTGACCTTCGTTGATCTGACGAATTTCTTCTCATCAGGTCAAACGATTTGCGGACCATGAGATTCATCCGTAGATTATATTTGAGTGATAATGACATTTCCGAAATCGGAGCAGCAGCCTTCGGTCCGATTGGACGGATAGGCACGATCGGTTTAGCGAGGAACAAAATTAAAGCTCTTCCGTTTAAGGCGTTCAGTGAGCTCAAGTATTTGGAAGAAGTTGATCTGAGTGGAAATGAACTACAAGTACTTCCTGCATCAACATTCATCGAAGTTACGAATGTTGTGATAAATGCTAGCTACAATGAGATAAACGACATCGAAAACGGAGCATTTCAGGTTTGTGTGGATTTCTCATATCCGTGTTGAAATTTTACGATTTAAATCTTTTCTAGGATTGTTACAACATATCCGTGCTCGACTTGTCTCACAACAAGCTGACGGAAATCTCACCTCGCGCCTTTGTGGGTCAAGTTGACTTGACCGAATTGCACGTCCAATTCAACTTGCTCAAATCTTTGAAAGACATTCCCTTTGGAAATTTCTCAAGCATAACTTTCGTCAACGTGTCGTACAATGAAATTACGGCGATCCCTAAGAAAACGTTTCCACCCCGATTGTATGCATTGCACACTATTGACATGTCAAACAACAAATTAGAAACGATCGAGCCTTCGGTCTTCACTGGTTTAGCTGCTTTGAGGAACATGAACATGAGTCACAATAACATGGAGGCTTTGCGAGCTGCTGCATTTGGAACAATTCCCACTTTGCTGGAGTTGGATATGAGTTGGAATCGTATATCGCGTCTGGCCCGGTAAGTTGTTTAGTCTATTTTCGAGTTGAGACAATAGAACACCCGGAAAAGATTTTGATGTTTTCGCAAGAAAACATCAAAAACATCATGTTTTCGCAAGAAAACATCAAAAGCATCATTTTTTTTTGTTCATTATGCCCTATTTGCTCGCGTTATTGCTCTATACACGAGAAAAACAAGCTGTCAGTTCTGAGTAAATGAGTTGATCTTGTGCTGAATATGCATAAGGCACTTCAAGATGAGCTTTTGGTGAAGGACGTTGAATGTGTGCATGAATAATGTACAAGAACGAGGGGCGTCCAAAAAGTACTGTAATTGTGAATGCGGAAATTTGTGAACCGTACGTTCGGTTATAAATTTTATTCGGTTATTTTTCACAGATTTTTGCAATTGCTTTCCTATTTTTACATCATTTGACAAGCTCAGTATGCGTTTGATTTCTCCTGTCCCGCTTATGAACAATTTGAAGTATCAGAATTAATGTATAAGAAATATCAAACTTAAGGTTGATATTTCTATCAATTTTAAGTCGTGAATCTAATGAATTCAATTCGTGATATTTTATAATGGAGCCTTTTTATATCCTGAATTCATCTCTCTTTTGTACAGCAGTAAATTCAGCTAAATATTACGGTTTACCTTCCCAACTTTAATTCCGATAAATGTCCAGTAGGCAACTGCCACCGTCATCACCACTGCCACCGTCAATTTTTGCTTTTCCTAAAATAACCCCAAGTTCCGGAAGCATTCGTATGTGATGGTCAGTGGATGAAATACTAATTTAATTTTCAAAAAAATGCTTCTTTGTTAAGGATTATTCATCGTGGATTATTTCTGAATTATCACCCCGTGAATACTTCTTTGGCCTGGAAACTCCGTGCAATACAAATATATTAGGAGTTCAAGCAAATTGGTGCCTGTTTCTAACTTCAAGTGATATAGCTGATCTGTAAAAATCAGTTAAAACTGCACAGTTTTATTCAAAGCAAATGCAAGGTTTGAAGCTTTCAGATGAAGGCTACATATTTCTTTGTCTTCCTCTTGACCTTTCTCTCTCAAAAGGTAATCCTAATCTTTCAAAACCGTCGCAAAGAAAACCCAACGCCACAATTTTGTAATGCATGGCATTTTTGTTTCCGCGCCCCTCGAGATTTTCAGGTCTACGGGATTTTCGAGCCGTGGGATTTCCCCCACCCCCCTACGGTTTTCTCCTGCACCCTTTTAAAAGCAGTTCATGATAAACCCTCGCGTGCTGAATTTGAAATTCCTCATTCCCTTGTTTACAGGTCTGCATTTCAAAACTTGCCGTCTTTGAGGCAGTTGGATCTTTCGCACAACGAGATCAACTCCCTGTTCGGTTTACCGCTCTCCTTGAATTCCTTGAAACTGGGTCACAACGCAATATCCGAAATCAGGCCACGCTCTTGGCCTGACATTAATTCTCTGCTTTACCTGGAATTGCAGTCCAATTTCATCGGTGACACGCTCTCTGGCGGTTCTTTCGCGCATCTGAACACATTGAGGTGAGAGATTCTCATCGTTGCTGTCGTTCGCAGTGTTGGTGAATCATTGTGTCTGTTTTGTCCCAGGGAGTTGAATTTGGCGAATAACAGCATAACGAGTGTTCCGGTAGCAGCTCTGGGAGACCTGATCAGTGTGCAAAGCGTGAATCTCGATGAAAATGCCATAGTTTCCTTGGAGAAGCAAAGTTTCGGGAAGCTTTCTGCAGTGTTTGGAATTCAGCTCGCGTTCAATGGACTCAAGAGTATCAGCAACGGCGCTTTCGATGGACTGTTGACTCTTCAGGCGCTTAATTTAAGCCATAATAGTCTGGAAAAGATTTCGTTGGAGGCGTTTAGAGGACTGACGTCCCTGGGATCTTTGGACCTTTCTTACAACAAGATTTCAGTGATGGAAAACAAAACGCACGGTCTCTTGGATCCCCTTCTTTCAATCAAATCGGTAAGGTATTGATTTAGCGAGTTTACGAATTCTCTTGATTTTTTCAATAAAAACTGTGTGTGCCCCGTTTTTTTTTTCGCACTTTTTTGCTCATTATTATTCCAATACAGTAATGAAATGCAAACTGTCGAATGAATGCGTTCAAATACTTGTACTGTCACATTGCTTTTGTCATCCAGGGAATGAAAATCGGGTGGGCTGCAAATAAAAGGAAGAAGTGAGAAACAGGAAACGAGTTGGAAAATAATGTTAATTTTAATTTAATTTCTTCACGGGAAAATGGAAAATTGGTATTCGGCTGAAAATCGGGCACCTCGTAAATATGGTGCAAGCAAATCTAAGACGAACTTTTACTTGCTTATCGAAATGCCCCTAAAATTTGCAAGTATTTTACAAGGGCAATTTTTACAATGTCAATTTTCTGATAATTGAAATTAACATAGCAATGTTATTTTTCTGACAATTGAAATTAACATAACGATGTTATTTTTCTGATAATTGAAATTAACATAGCAATGTTATTTTTCAAATAGAAGTACTGTGGTTAGATGAAAAGCATTAACAGCTGCTTTCATAAGTTTGCACTTACGGCCGTCTTTTTTTTTAATAATGCTACGTTCAAATCGTACATTAGAATAATTTTGAATGGGGTAAAAGATTCCAATGAAAATTCAATGATTTGAGTCATTTACCTTTTGAAGCACATCATAGACGAGCATTTTGAACGCGGATCTGAGTCGCACTTCCGATGAGTTGGAAAATGAGAGAAATCAGTCAGTCCTTCGGAAAAATATATAATTATTTTTTCCTTTTATTTGAATGCAGTTAAATCTGAGCCACAATGGAATCAGTTTCGTTACCGAGCGCATGTTTCCGTACCACAAATGGATTCCGTACAAGCTCCGTGATGTCGACTTGAGTTACAATACTTTACCGGTCATTACCGAAGAGTTAATCCAAAGTATGCAGCACGTTCGACGACTTGACGTGTCTCACAATATTTTGAATGAAATCCGGAAAGGTGAGGCAGTTTTTTTTTTTTTACCTTTTTGTAGAGGAGAATTTTAGATTTTAAATATTTTCTAGGTGTCCTTCCGAAGTTACCTGCTCTGAGAGAGCTTGACCTGTCTAACAATGAGTTGACACACTTGGACTCCAACGTTGTTTCTTCCCCAAACATGACTGAATTGCGATTGTTGAATCTTGCTGACAACAGCTTGAGTGTTATTCCTGTTTCGGATATATCACTCATGCCGAACTTGACGGTACTGAATCTTCAAAACAACAGACTCTCAAAAGTAGGTTTCATCGGCTCGTTCGCTGAGTTGCTCTCAGAAGAATTGAATGATTTTTATCTTAATCAGATTCACAGCGAATTATTACCAAGAATAAAAAGCGGCCTCGAGACGCTTTATCAAGGCAAGTTTTTTTTTTTTTTAATTTAGATGCTTGATGTTGATCGTGTTTAATTTTCAATTATATCGTACTCTATTCAGGAAATTTACCGCATTGTGATTGCTCGTTGCGACCATTATTGCATTGGTTGAAAACTCTGAACCCTTCGCAACGTTGGCCGTGGACGGAGGTGGTGTGTGACACTCCTGCCGAGACGAACGGTCAGACAGTGGCCAGTTTGGATGACGAAAATCTCCCGTGTTTAGTTTCCAGAGACGAAATTGATTTCCAGCCAATTCCGGATGTTCGATTCAGGACCATCCGAAAGTGAGTACTGTTCTTCACTGTATGCTGGGGTTTCAGATAATAGACTTGGTCCTTCTAAAGGAAAAGTTTATTGACCCGAGTCATTATTGAAGAAATTTTCAATTAGTAAACTTTTGATAATCCCTCGCGAAAGTTCTTGAATTTTATAAGTATTTCGAAATTATTGAACAGTAGTTTTGTAAACTAGTGTTCCCCAACCCGTGGTCCGCGGACCAACGTTGGTCTGCAGAAGTTTTTTGCTGGTCTGTGCGAAATTTTATGCTGCATAGTAAATCTAGTAGCAATGAAGTCTGTTGTTTTTATCGGAAATATTGGAAAGACAATCGCAGTTGTCAGTATTTGATGAGGAAAAGTTGGCTGTTCTCCTAATAGCAAGTCTGACAAATTTGCATTTGCTGAAATTAATTCTTTTAATTTTTTAAATTCTGAGAAATCATAGGTGCATCATCGGTTGTTAATTTAAAAAAACAGAAACGTTTCAAATGCTTTCCATGAAGTCTTTCCAGCAAATCGTTTTCGATTCTGCAACAATTTTATGAAACTTTGCTGGTCCGCAAAATATTTTGTGGAATTTCCCGGTCCGCGGACCCACAAAAGTTGGGAAACGCTGGTATAGAACTACGAAAAAGGATGAAAAAAGAAAAATTTTTAAACCAGTAGGAAATTACACTCTTTTTTTAGGTCGGTGAATGGACTCTATGTCAAATGGTACGTCAGCGAACCATCGGAAGACATCGGAGATTTTTTAGTTTCTTTGGAACCAACTGAAGAAAACGATGATTCCGAAGTCGCGCAAGCAACCGTGAATTACCGAGAAAGACAGTATTTTATACCTAAGGTTAGTGTTGACCAGCTCAAAAATCAGAAGGTGTGTATCCAAGCGTTTGGAAGCAATGGTAAAAAGAGGAACGGAAGAACGTGTGAATACGCGTCGAAGGAATTGATCCCAGCAGTGAACCTGGGAGATCCTGAAAAAGCAATTGAAACTGCTGTGAAGGAGAGTGAATCTGGGGTTGTACATGTTGCGGGTGTGGGCAAACGTGTTGAACCCATTTCTGGGTTCTTGTTGATTTTAGCGGGCCTTTGGTCCATTTTACGATCTTAGGATTCCTGCTCAAAGCAGTGTGTCTGACTGTGATGCTTAGAGCTGTAAATTCGCTTAGCCAAATGTTTCTTCCAAGCTCTGAAAGCCGTGCTACCATTTTAATCTGAGCTGGAAAATGCTTGTGATTCTGACAGGTTAAATTTTGGGTTGTAGTAATTGGTTATTTTCATTTTAACGCCTGATGTTCTGATTGCGGGATCTTCTTTGTTATCATGTAGATGTCGCCTGAAAACGTGCTTGTTACGTTTAATCGGGTGTGAGTTAGGTTAGGCTGATTCAGGTTAGTTATTTTTTATACCAGGTGAGGATTAGTTGGGTCATGTTTGACTGGGCTATTGGTTGGTGTTCAGGCGACACGTGCATGACATTCCAGAACGCAAGGTTGGTCGTTGAATTGAAAATTGCCTAATAATTGTTCCAGTTGAGAAATTGGGGAAAATGGAGGTTATTTTGTATGGGGATTAGAATCAGGGATGTCCGATTCTTCCGTCCGTATTTTTTTTTTAGGAAAGGAATTCTTGCCTGTTACTGCGGTGATCTTTGCTGTAATGTGATGGAAATTGTGCTTTGCTATTATTTTTGCAATTTTGGGATTTAGGTCACTGGGAAATTTTAGATTTTCTTGATGAATTCTTTGATCGAACCGGGTATGAACACTTGTTTTTTAACCTTTTATGAGCCATGCCATGGAATGCTTCAGTACAAAGGTATTCCTGGGAACCTTATGATTCGGAGGTTGCAATCTCAAATGCGACGGGAATTGCTCATGGTTATAAATTTGCTCTTGTACGGACATGCGTTATTTTTTTTCTATTTGGTGCTTTTTAATTTTTATTTTGCACACATTTCACGTCTTGTTTTCTTTTCAGAATCAGACTTTATCTGTGCGTTTCAGTGTTGATCTAAATGAGCCGGTGTTTCAAAAGTGAAGTGTGCGCGGAACTTTTTAGGAAAATGTGGTGCTTTCGTTTGATCTGATTTTGAATCGTTGTATGTCCCTTGAAAAGTTTGAATGATCATGTCGCAAAAGAGCAAGTATCAAAAAGACCGAGCGTACAAGAAAGAACGAGTACTCATGTCATAAGAGAAGTACAGTATACCAAAAAGCTGCTTGCGATAAAGATTATTTAAATTTCGACCTACAATTTTCTCAACCTGCTGTTTCAATCCTTTTTTGTTGATCCTAAATTATTTGATACCTGCTCTTCTCGTCTGTTTTTCAATACTTTTATGAGAATCCCGTTGCAGTTCGATCGAAATATTTCGCTTCCAGACCCGCTCAGAAAAAACGGTATTGTTTGTTCAAGATTCGATAGAAGGTCATTTGATTGGAAGAAGGGATTTTTTATTTGTTAACTTGATTTGGCTTTGTAAAAATCATTCACAGGTCGAAATAATGCTCAAGGGCACATCGTTGTTTTTTCTGTGCCTTAAATTGTGTTCCGCGTGAGACAAACGAACGTGGAGGCATGAACCAGTCGTTCATCCTCCACGTCGCTAGCCTTCGATTGCGGAGGAGCTAAATGCCGATTCAGAACGCGAAATCATCTGAGTCGGGTTACATGTTGAGAGAAGACTTGAAGTTATTTTTGTTCAGTTTTTAATTCGCCTTTTTCTTCGGAAACTGACCATGAATCCGTACGCTACCGGCATGTCCGACCCCAACTACCTGGGGATGTACGCGGATCCCATGATGACTGGGCACTCTGTTCAAGGGTTCCCTGATTATTCTGCCGCCTACGCTTCCGCCATTTCGTCGTCGAATCAGGAGTATCAGCAGACGCAGTCCGTTATGACGGATGGTGGGAACCATTTCCCGGTTGTTTCTACAGCCTTTGACAACCACGAGGAGCTATTGTGGTCTGGGAATCAAGGGGTGAGTTTTTTTTTATGGATGCTGCGTAAATGTTTTAAAATTATCAAGCTTCTGGCCTTCCGTAGGAATTTATTTTTGACATTTGTTGAAATTTCATTATTTTCGCAGCTAAAATTTCTCTCGGTATTCAAATACAGTAGTTCAACTTGGAAACTACAAATTTTGTATTCGAACTTGTTGAAGCATCCCGTGATAGAGCAGCTACCCCGAGGAACCGCCAATTTAATTTGCAAAACCAAGCTACCCTGAAGATTGAAAACCCCGCTAAAACACCATCTACCAAAATTATTGACAACTCAAATGTTGTATGCACCTGTCGATAAATTTTATTTACCCCACCGTAATGATTCAAGTTTTTGTGAGATGTCTCTAGTTATAAAACGTGAACACATTGAAAGATAACTTAATTTACTTCTTGAGAAAAATAGGATAGATGTAATTTATGTGCTACAGTATATATCGGGGATATTTTGATGGTTTTCTGGAAGAATAAGAATTTTATTTCATATCACAAGGGTTTCACCATTGGGCGCGACCTTCGTCATTTCTAAATTAGGTATGACTTTTGAAGAAAATATACATGAAATAGCATGTAATCTTGGGAGGTTGTGGAATTTTCTGATTTTTGAAAAAAAAAATTCCATTTACTGTATGATGTCGAAGGACTTTCCAGTTGTGGCCCAAGTTATCCACCCATGTCACAGGTTGCTAAAATTTGTATTGAAGGGATTTTGAACAATCTTTTGAAAGGCATGCAAACGTGGATCCAGTGCTGAATTTTGTACCAACCAATCATGGTCTCTGATGTGCAATTTTTTTTATGGGTTAGAAGTAAATTAACTGAGGAAAGTTCCAGCAGTTGTGTATAAACCTAGTTTTATCGAAATTAATAATGCCCCACTGATTATTCGGATGAGGGCTGAAAAAAATGAAGTAACTCTTGGGGAGCCATAAGCTAAGTTCCCTTTCGATTCAATGTTTTGCTTTTGATTTTAATTTCTTTAAATTTTCCATGCGCTCATTGAAATGAATTGAACTTTTTTTTTTCAGGGACACGTGACATCCTACTATGGAGTACACCTGCAGAAATACACATCTTTCCAAGTGCACAACACTGACGAGGTTCGGGCTTTGTTGCCCCTGAACTCTCCAACCGGTTGCATTCTCGCACTCATGCCCAACACTCTGAGGTGTCAGCTGAAACGAGGGGTTCCTGTTTTCACTCATGTGTCGAAAAGCACGCAAGACATGTGCAGCATGTTGATGTCACCCAGGGAAACGGTTGTTATCGGAGGACACACCGACAAATTGGTCGACTTCGATCCTGCCTACGGGAAGGAACTCCGCATTGTGAGTTTTTTTTTTAGAGAAAAAAAAATTTTAATATGATATTGCCTTGAGATCCTCAAATTTTGTGTACGACTGAACTTTCATTCCGAGCACATTAAAGGATACTGGGATAAACGAATGTACGACGGGATGTTTGGATGATTATTTCAAGCATAAGGATCCCTCGCTTGAAATAAAAAGAAAAATTCCACTCCAGTTCGCTAATATAAAAAAGGAGAAACGTAGCCGACCTTGAACATATTTCATTATATTTCTCCATCTCTGTGTAACGTATGAATTGAGATTTTTTTTCATGATTTCCTCCTGCAAGGTCTGGATACCATTGAGTGCTTTGAAAACTCCTAAATCTTCTTTGGATTGGTCTAAATCGCTTTCCCAAATTGAAATAAAAAGTTTTAATGGGAATTCATAAGGTATGTTTTTAACAGACTGTTCGACGATTCTGCGAGAAAAAGAGACATGAAAGATAATTTCGTACGTAAAAAAAAGGGTTCTTCAGTAGAATCTCGTTATTACGAACAACAGCCTGCAACGAACTCGCTTTTTATATCCCTACAAATTGACAATATGCTACAGTAGTTGCATTTCTTTATACCGAAGCGTTCTTGGTTTACTCGCTTTGTTGTACTGTAGTCAGAGTAGTGAGATTTTACTGTACTAAAACGTTTCCCATCTCTAATTTCCTAACACTCTCTCTACAAAGAATTCTTTTCTGGCTCTGGACCCGCATTGACTATTTTAAAATGATAGCTGAAGGTTTTAAGGGAAAGGATTTTCCTAAACAAATGGGTAGATATTTCTTCTGAATTCGCTCGGATTTCGGGCAACATCCGTATTCTTTACTTTACCGTTCATTTGTGTGTTAAATTTGGACTTTCAGCAATTGATTTTGAGTTTCTTTCGATAGTCAACGATGAAGGAACAGCACAGCGGAGGCTGTCCGATTTTGCGATCGCACCCAAGGATGATTTGCTCTGGAAATTCTCGAGGAGGCGTTCGATTGCACGACCCGAATTCCCTGGACGTAATCAATGTTATCGAATGTCACTCGGGAACATTGTCTGACGTTGACGTTCAAGGTGACACGGTTGTCACTGTTGGCTATCATACAAAGTGAGTAATTTTCTGTTGTTGATATTCTTTGACCGGCGACGATATTTTTCTTGTTGAAAGGACGAGTCGACTTTTTTGTTTTCGCCCCAACTCACTGATTTTCCGTCTTGATTATTTTAATTTCGCATGGATTTCTTTGATGGAGATTTTCGGGGAGGTTGTTGGATAAGCTTCTCGTGGATCAGTGATTTTCAGTCAACATTCTATGCATCAATTTCGGACTTCGTAGTGAAAAAGAGTCTTAACAGTTTTTATGCAAGCCTGTCACAATTTGCTATTTTATGTATATTTTGTCGAGTAAATTTTTCGTTTAAGGTACATTTGTTGGATCTTCGTTCTTTTCCCGCCTTATGAAGCGTGCCTATGTTTCATTGGAACGTAAATTTTTCCTTGCACTGTTTATCTTCTTGAAAGATGAGACATGGGTGATGTAAACGTCACTCGATGTATGAGCGAGTTTCTCGTAACGTGTTTCTGTTCTTTTGTCAGTACTTACGGAACTATGAGTGTGGACAAGTTCGTCAAAGTGTACGACGTGCGGATGATGAAGGTGTTGCCTCCAGCTCCAGTCGTGGTGGATCAACCGGTTCTCATCAGGTTTCTTCCTTCGTACTCGTCGAGATTGCTCGTCATGTCGTCGACAGGACAAGCTCAGATCATTGACCCATCCCATCAGAAAACTGAGTCGAGTTCACATCTACAAGTGAGTGTTACTTTTGTTCCTTTATTGAATCTCTGTGCCGTTTTTATTCTCCCATCAAAAATGATTGAGCGACCATATCTTTTGATTTATCGTGTCTCGAAAAGAAAAATATTTTTCCCGTCGAGAGTAGAATGGTAGTTCATTAAATTATTTTTCTTTGCATTCTGAGGTGTGTGATGATTCTACCCAAGTTTATTTTCTAGCTCAATTTCCTCGAAAATAACTACGGATCCTATGAGTTTGAATTGTAAATTGCGTCAAAGATATGCTGTTTTTCGCCTTGGAACCTTGCCATGCGCTGTGATTGATTTTGAATCGATAGATTGTGTCGGTCAAAAGCCATTGTGAACTTCAAGACGACATCGAAGGTAATATCTGCCCTCATTCGTTCGCCGAATTTCAAAGAAGTGCGTCTTGCTTTCGAGGAAATGCGGTCGTCAGGATCGTGATATTCGTGATCAATCGTCTGGGGCTCTGGGCTGAGCAATGTTCGCTTTTCAACTTTTGGAACATGCAGTTTCAGTGTCCGGCTTTTTTTCTGTTTTGCAGCATTAGGCATTTCATTCGCGAAATATCTTATGAAAAGATCTCTTGATAAACATTGCCAGATAAGCTTAAGCTGAAAGATCTATTTTATTATCAAAAATAAAAAAGAATATGTACCTCCTGTATTAATTGTGCTATATCCTACTCGAAAATGATGGCTTTTTTCGCAAGGTCTAGTTGGCTAACGAAATATTTCCGTTTTCAGAAGTTATACTCATGTACGAGGGCTCTTTTTCGAGGTAGAAATTGAAACGGCAAATGATTGAGCTGAAAAACGATTATTACTGTTCGATGAAAAAAAGATTTCTTCTGACCCTAAAAACGAAGCCCTGTTTGACATATTTTGCGAAAAATATCTCAGAGGGCTGCATTTTTTCTTTTGCTTTTTTTTAACAAAATTGTTTTTCAGCTCAGTCGTATGCTTTTCAGTTTATGTTCAGAGAACATCTGTTCGACCCCTGGTATGTCGCAGGAGGTGAGGAATATTGAATGTACAGTATGATGTTCTTTGAGGTTCTCCCTGAATTCACTTAAAAACTGGACCCATCTGGGAAGACTGGCAACGGACAAATCATACGCTTACGTTTACGAAGCATACGTTTACGAAGGCGTGACTCGTGCGATTACCTAAATCCGCAATTTTGTAATCTTGTTGATCAGGTGAATATATCCCCTGGATCCGTCGTGGAAACTCTTTCGATTTCTCCGTCTTGTCAATGCTTCGCTGTGGGCACTTCGGACGGATACCTTCATCTGAGCATCACGAATGACGGTGCAGTTTTCCACACGCATCCCGAAGAAACTGAATTCGGGATTTACCCGTACCCCACTCCGGTTGCGCCGATTGCCTACAACGACTTTCTCCAGTCCCTGGCTGCTGTTCCGTTTCCGATCCCAATGCGAACGTATGAAGAGGACATCAGCCATTTGCGTCCAATGAGCGCTTGGCCCGAAAATACGGCCAATAAGATTTATCGGTGGGTCTTTCTTAAACTTATTGGAAATGAGCTTAGAATTAACGTACCGTATACCCGCATCTAACTTTCCCTCGAGCAAGATGCGCACCCAGGTTCTTCAGTCAAAAATTTTGATTGCATTTTATCTCCGCATAATACGAGCACACAATTTTCAGTAAATCTAAAACTGCTATATTTCGAAAATGAGAACTCTTGAATTTGAATTTGGAATCAACTGAACCTGAATCCAACTACAGTACTATATTTACTCGAGTTCCACGCGCCCTTTTTTTCTCAAAATTGAGAAGCAAAAAGGGAAAGCGCATCATAGACGGGTATACGTTTTTTCAAGCTTCATAAGTTTGGGTATGCATATTTGATTCTATTCGAAAATGTTGACACATTTCAATAGAAAATTCACTAAAATAATCGAAATTTAGTTAAATTCCGAATTCAATCATGTCTAAATCAAAATTTGGGTGTTGAAAATTTTTTGAAAACTTGCACTTTTAGAGCCACTAAAAATCGGGTACCGGTCTTACTTGGGGATAGAATTTTATGAAGATTTTAGACTGAAAAACCATGATGCGCGTCTTCCTCGAGGGCGCGTGCTATTCGAGAAAATGCTGTGATTTTCAATTGTTTCAAATCGAATAAGTTTTTATGATAAAATCGGTCCACAATTTCCCATTAGAATCAAATATAATGCGCATCTCAACTTCTACAACTTTTTGAAAAAGTGTACACTTGTCTGACGCTCACCCCCTTTTTGACTCTAAATTTTGAGAAAAAAGTCCGCTTGGCATTCCAGTAAATTCTTCGAGTCCGATTATCTGGGCTCTTGATCCATGGTATAACGTCATTTTTCTTTTTAAAAATCAAGTTGGTAAGAATCAATGTTGCAGTCCCGTTTGAATCTGAGACTCCGTCGAATGTAAAACTCGCATTAATTATTTATTCCTTTATTTTTTGTTGTTGAAAAGTGCTAAATTTGGTAAAATACTTGGAAATTAAATTGGTTGCAATAATGTCGAAGCGAAGCAGTTACTGTGTGCTTTTCTTTCCGTCAGAACCTTTATTGGAATCAAATATTTAATTCAAGTATTAAATTCAACGCAACATACGGTATATTCTCTGTTTTAGACGAACTCCGCCAATCGATCCGGATATTGTGAAGGCTATGAAGATAGTACAATCCATCGGGCACTATCTCAACACAGGAGCGAATTATCGAGCCCGACAAATCCCGTATAAGTTGAAAGAAACTCCGACCCAGCGTGGTGTTCGTCACTCTGGACGGAGACCTGAAGGCGCCGAAGGTGATTCCGGAAACACGGATTCCGAGCAGAAGCCTCTGGTGGACGTACCGAAAAGGTACAGGAAAACGGAAGTGAAGTACACCAAGCTCGGCTACGAGGAATTTGACTTTTCGCGGTTCAATCAAACGGCGTTTTGCGGCTTGGAGTCCATGCTGCCGAATGCGTACTGTAACGCCATGTTGCATGTAAGTTGTTCGTTTATTCAAATACCCGTTCAGTATTTACTCAAGTACCACGCGCCTTCATTCATTTTTTTTTTCAAAACTAGTGAAAAGAGAATGTGCGTCATGCGGAAGTGTACGATTCTTCGAAATTTTCAAAGGTTTTGTGTTCATAATACTTGATCCGTATGGAAAATATTCAAAAAAAAAAAGCAAGAAAGCATGTTTCCATTGGAAACAATTGGAAAGGGATTTAATTTGTGTTTAATTCGAGTCGAAATTGTGATATCGATGTACAGTATTTTATTTTCGAAACTGTGTCCATTTTTAGTCAGTAAATATTGGGTGCGCTTCATACTGCGGATAGGATTTTAGCTAAATTTTAGGACCAGAAAACCGGCTGTGCGTCTTACTCGAGGGTGCGTGGTACTCGAAGTATTTACGGTACGTCGTCAATTATTGAACTTTGTTTTTCATTAAGAAAGAGATTCGGGGTGGCTTCTTTAATTATCATGTCTCAAAAGCGCCTTCATTATGGCAAGAACGACTTCCTAAAAATGAGCGTACGATAGTTGGTAGATTCGGTTTATGCTCTACTTGGCAGTTTAAATTTCTCAAACGCTTCATGCAAAAATAAGGATGGTCCTGCATATTCGTTGATTCGATTGAAGACTTGACTGATACTTTAAAATGCAACAAGGGGAAGATAGAGAGGGAGGTGAGGCAATATATAGGTGGATATTCGGGGAAGTGAATGTCAACGGCCATACCACGTTGAAAGCACCCGTTCTCGTTCGATCACGGCAGTTAAGCAACGTTGGGCCCGGTTAGTACTTGGATGGGAGACCGCCTGGGAACACCGGGTGCTGTTGACTTTTTCGAACATTTTCTTTTATATATATACAGTACCTTCTCTCTGTGTGTTTTTTTTTATTGACTTCCCTGCAAGGTTTCGCCTAAAATTATCGTGCCGGATACATTCTCATGCGAGCGGAAAAATTCGCAGCATTTTAAATTCAAGTTTTCTGAAAAAAACGAATGTTCCTGCAACTTTCAAGACCGATATCCCGTATAGGTTGCATTATGCTGCAGTAGATGAAAATTACAGACAATCTCCGCTTGTACTTGGGGCTGCGGATGGTAATCACGGTTCAGTTCATAAAATTAGACAGGAATACTGATCAGAAAATTTAAATTGTAGACCACCGTTTAAATCGAACATTCTTTATTCCCGTGGAGAATGATGATCAAATTTACATGTTCGGGTCTTGAATAATGAAGAAAGACGAGAGCGTATGCAGTAGAAGGGGAAGCAGAAAGCCATTTGGAATCAACGAAATTTTTGAATGTGCTGATGTACCGTTGACTCTGTGGATTAGTATTGTCAACGGCCATACCACGTTGAAAGCACCCGTTCTCGTTCGATCACGGCAGTTAAGCAACGTTGGGCCCGGTTAGTACTTGGATGGGAGACCGCCTGGGAACACCGGGTGCTGTTGACTTTTTCAAAATTTTTCTACTCATTTTAAGCGTAAATCAACTGGTACCTGTGTTATATTCTTATATATCACTTCTGTGTGTTTTTTTATTGATTTCCCTGCAAGGTTTCGCCTGAAATTATCGTGCCGGATACATTCTCATGCGAGCGAAAAAATGTTCAGCATATTAAATTCAAGTTTTCTGGAAAAAACGGATGATCCTGCAACTTTCAAGACTTATGCCGCATAGGTTGCATTATGCTGCGGTAGATGAAAATTACGGACAACCCCTCCTTGTACTTGGGGCTGCGGATGGTATTCACAGTTCAGTTCATAAAATTATTCAGGAATACTGGTCAGATAATTTAAATTGCAGACCACCGTTTGAATAGAACATTTTTGATTCCCTTCGAGAATGATGATCAAATTTACATGTGTGGGTCTTGAATAATGAAGAACGACGAGAGGGTATGCAATAGAAGGGGAAGCAGAAAGCCATTTGGAATCAACGAAATTTTTGTATGTGGGGATGTACCGTTGACTGTGGTGACAGGATGTGTCAACGGCCATACCACGTTGAAAACACCCGTTCTCGTTCGATCACGGTAGTTAAGCAACGTTGGGCCCGGTTAGTACTTGGATGGGAGACCGCCTGGGAACACCGGGTGCTGTTGACATTTTCGAAAAAAAACTTTCTTGAAGCTTTGCTGCGTGCAACATTCAAATCTCTCCATCTTTTCCAGTATTTGCTTCCATGCGCTAGCAAGAAATTACTGTATGAAACCTGCACTAAAATCGGAAAAAACAATTTCTGAAATAAGTTATTTGTCGAGCTTTGACGGCGTCCTTATTTTTCGAGATTCTGCAGGTCCTTTTTGATTGATGAGTTCCATCATCTAAAAATTTTCTTGAATACTGAATTATCTTCAGATGGAATGAAAGATTGGTGTACAGTATATTCCCCGAATTGCAATGCCCCAATTCTTCGGCGTTCGGTTCATATGGGCAAAATAAACGCAAACGTATGCTGTGTCGTTCTCGGGACACATGAATTAGGCTTTTTTTGTTTTGCTCATTTTCCAAAATAATTTTGATCAATTAATCATTTATTTTATTTTTTGTCGATTAATCGTAATATTGATTTTCTACAAATCGCTAAATTGATGACGAGGTTCTCAGAACATTTTGCGGAGTTTCGCGGGACTTCGAATTTAGTCGAACTAAACTTTGAGAGACAAAAAAATCCGAGTTCGGAAAACAGCTGTTTTGTGCGTGATATAAATGTAAATAATAACACGAAACTATAATACAGTATATGATTTTTGTCCTTGAACTACGGAATAAATTAATAGCAGGATGCACAATTCGGAAGCAAGGCTTCTTTTGCCGAATTAGTCCTTCATTTCCAATCGAAACACATCAAGTTACATTTTTACCACGTTTTTATGAAAATTTCGAAGAATCGTACACTTCCGCATGACGCACATTCTCTTTTCACTAGTTTTGAAAAAAAAAATGANGCAATTCGTCGACATTTGCACACTTCCAAACAATTCCGACAATTCACTAACTCCATCGTCACCCTGGCCGCCTTTGCTTTCCGTTTCCTCGGTCGCTTTCTCCTCTGATCTTTCACCTATGAAAAATAAATAAATATAAAATCAATTCGATGAAATCTATTCGTGAACTGCACATTTTTTTTAAATTGTTTGCTGGCTGATCAGCAGGTGTGGTGTTACCGTATTTCCTCGAGGACCACGCTCTTGAGAATTTAAAAAAAATGGAATTCTCGAGTAAGAAACTCACCTCATCTTTAATGACTCTATGACAGCACTATTCTAAAAATAAAGAGACTCAATTTGAATTTAGACATAAATTGATCCGGAACTTCAACTAATTTTCAATTGTTTCCAAATTAAGTTTTTCTGGTAAAATTGGTCCAAAATTTCCCAAAAAAATTCAAATATAATGCACACCTGAACTTCCAAAATTTATTTCCCCCCTTTTTTCAATTTTGAGAAAAAAAAAGCGCGCGTGGTATTTAAGTAAACATAATATTTTTTTCAAGCACTCACGTTTTTCTTCAGCGACATTTTCCTCCGGATCCAACGATCGCTTGACCGTATCCATGAAAGAAACTCCGCGCTTGTTCCACTCTTTAACCTCGGCATGTATTTGCTGCAACACGAATCGGTTCCAGTTCTGCACAAGTAGCTTCAAATTGGCGTTTTTCCTGGCTCCTTGATCCTGGTCGTTGAGTATGAGAGACAAAGCTTGCGCTTCTGGCAAAGTGCGGAATGCACGCAGGAAATTTGCCGGTTGACACGGGAATTCCCCGCTTTGGTCCAGCATGTGAAACAAGAAACCCAGTTCGCAGGCAAGACAGAACTCTCGCTCACACACGTGCGCCAGCAATGCTCCACGTAACGGTGACACGAAGTACAGGACCTTCAGAGAGAAAAGTTGACAAAAAATTGGGGAAATTAAAGATTCGTACTGTATTCAAGATACCGTGTTTAATAAAATGCGGTTGAATCTTTATAACTAACACCTCCCAAAATCGCATTACCTACCCATGTTGATTTTTTCGTAGTCCAGGTCTGAAACCCCCTTAGAAATAATGCATTAAAAACCTCCTTAACTCGAAGGCTTTCCCTCTTGAACCTCAATAACTGAAATTTTCTGAAAGCCTTTTGGCTATTATTTCACTGGCATAGGAAAGAGAAAAGGAATAAAATAAAATAATTATAGTAGATTAAAAAATTAATCTAAAAAACCACGTTTTCAAAAAGCAAAAAATAACCTTAAACGTGGTGCGCATGGAGATTGTTGAGAAGAAGTGAAATACAAATGAAATAGATGCGCACCACGTTTAAGCATGGAGATTGTTGAGAAGAAGTGAAATACAAATGAAATAGATGCGCACCACGTTTAAGGTTATTTTTTGCTTTTTGAAAACGTGGTTTTTTAGATTAATTTTTTAATCTACTATAATTATTTTATTTTATTCCTTTTCTCTTTCCTATGCCAGTGAAATAATAGCCAAAAGGCTTTCAGAAAATTTCAGTTATTGAGGTTCAAGAGGGAAAGCCTTCGAGTTAAGGAGGTTTTTAATGCATTATTTCTAAGGGGGTTTCAGACCTGGACTACGAAAAAATCAACATGGGTAGGTAATGCGATTTTGGGAGGTGTTAGTTATAAAGATTCAACCGCATTTTATTAAACACGGTATCTTGAATACAGTACGAATCTTTAATTTCCCCAATTTTTTGTCAACTTTTCTCTCTGAAGGTCCTGTACTTCGTGTCACCGTTACGTGGAGCATTGCTGGCGCACGTGTGTGAGCGAGAGTTCTGTCTTGCCTGCGAACTGGGTTTCTTGTTTCACATGCTGGACCAAAGCGGGGAATTCCCGTGTCAACCGGCAAATTTCCTGCGTGCATTCCGCACTTTGCCAGAAGCGCAAGCTTTGTCTCTCATACTCAACGACCAGGATCAAGGAGCCAGGAAAAACGCCAATTTGAAGCTACTTGTGCAGAACTGGAACCGATTCGTGTTGCAGCAAATACATGCCGAGGTTAAAGAGTGGAACAAGCGCGGAGTTTCTTTCATGGATACGGTCAAGCGATCGTTGGATCCGGAGGAAAATGTCGCTGAAGAAAAACGTGAGTGCTTGAAAAAAATATTATGTTTACTTAAATACCACGCGCGCTTTTTTTTTCTCAAAATTGAAAAAAGGGGGGAAATAAATTTTGGAAGTTCAGGTGTGCATTATATTTGAATTTTTTTGGGAAATTTTGGACCAATTTTACCAGAAAAACTTAATTTGGAAACAATTGAAAATTAGTTGAAGTTCCGGATCAATTTATGTCTAAATTCAAATTGAGTCTCTTTATTTTTAGAATAGTGCTGTCATAGAGTCATTAAAGATGAGGTGAGTTTCTTACTCGAGAATTCCATTTTTTTTAAATTCTCAAGAGCGTGGTCCTCGAGGAAATACGGTAACACCACACCTGCTGATCAGCCAGCAAACAATTTAAAAAAAATGTGCAGTTCACGAATAGATTTCATCGAATTGATTTTATATTTATTTATTTTTCATAGGTGAAAGATCAGAGGAGAAAGCGACCGAGGAAACGGAAAGCAAAGGCGGCCAGGGTGACGATGGAGTTAGTGAATTGTCGGAATTGTTTGGAAGTGTGCAAATGTCGACGAATTGCTGTACCACTTGCAAGACGCTGTCGTCTAAGAGAAATCTACATCTCTCCTGTCACGTGTCGTATCCTGGAAAAAGATGTAAGTGAATGAATGCACTTTTCGGGAGCATTTGGTATCATTTCAACATGTTTGCGGATTTTCTGCAGCGAAAAATTTGGAGTCTCCGCCGGAAAGAGTGACATTCCACCAAGTGCTGGAGAAAAGCTTGAATTTTGACCAGACGAATTCGTGCTGGTGCGAAACGTGTCACAAGTACAGGCCCACGAAAATGACGCGACGATTCGAGTCCATTCCTTTTGTCTTCGCCATGAACTGTGGCCTGACTACCGACGATGATGTGGAGTTTTTCAAGGAGCAACTGGAGTTGTTGAAGGAAAATCAGGATGCGAAACATGCTGCTGAATCTGCTCGGGGTGTTTCCAAGCCGATCGCTTGTCGATTCGGAATCAACTGCAATCGTCCCATGTGTCGGTACAGTCATGATAATCCAGCAAGTGGTGAGACTTTTTTTTTCGTTTCTGAATGACATTTTAAAAATTAATATTTGATCAAGTCGTTTCGTTTGCGGAATAGTTTCGAACTTTTTTTTTTCTTCAGTTGTTCTGAATTTTTGATGCGTTGATTATTTTTTAATCTGAAGTTCAAGGTGAGCCTACAATAAATTTAACGATAAACGGCTGTGCGTGAAGAATTATCATAAACCAAACGGATGAATGGAATTATTCCAGTGACGGGAACTTTTACTGGTGGAGTAGCCGGCTTTACGGGTGGAACGTCAACTTCATGGATTCCGGAATATTTCATTGTTCGCTGGATGAAGGACGGACGCGTCGAAATCCTTCCTTTGGACGCGAAAGAGGTTTGAAAGTATTTCTATTTAAATTTTGGTCTGTTTTTTTTTTTTTAAATTATTGGCGATGCAATTTCATTTTCCTTACCCCTTCTTCAGTTTTTCGAATCATCGGTCAGACTCGTTTCCTGGCTTGCGTTTCCTTTATTGTGTAAAAGATTTTTGTCGATCTGATATCGCGTCACAGAAAATTTTTTTTCAAGCATGCTTATAATGTTCAATTCTTCTTTTCATGTTATAGCTTCCGAAAACGATGAAAAATCTGCGGGAAGAGTCGGCGAAGAAGGAGGCGAATGAAACGCCGAAAGCTGGGGGAGAAGTTGATGCGAATGATCCTGAAATTTCGGGTGTCAAAGAAGCTATAGTGTATGCGTTGTCGTCTGTGGTGTCGCATGTTTCTGATCCCGCGCACCCAGACAAGAACAACCTTGTGGCTGCTATAAATGTCGGACCGACTTACCATCAACGTATGGTCGGCAGCCCGGTGAACCAGTGGTACTTGTTCAACGACTTCTGGTGAGATTTTTCTTCCTAGGCTTTTATTCAAATACTGTAATTTTTATTTGTCCCTCATGTAACACCTTGTGTGCAGCATTTGCTTTTTTTTCTTTATTTCCTAAGCGTTCTGTTCAGTTGATACAGTTGAATCTCTTGAACTCAAACCTCCCCACCTCGAAAGCCACCCTAACTCGAAATTTTTGATAGTCTCTGTACAAGGTCTCTTTAAAAAATGTAACCCGAATCTCCTTAACTCGAAATGTTTCAACTGTGAACCTCCCAACTTGAAATATTTAAAGACAGAAAATTCGGAAGATAAGGCTTTTGGACAGGAAGGTGAGTACAGTATAGTATTGTACTTCTAATTGGTCCATAAAATCCTTGCTTGATGTTCTGCCTCCAGTAGACTCATTCATACTGTTGTTTCCTGTGGTTGGGTTTTTTTAATTACAGTATTGGGAATAATTACGGAGATGTCTCTGAGTCAAATTGTTCGTATGTCGGGGTGTCCGCATTTCGGGGTCTCACTGTATTTAATTCTAGCACTCACGTAAGAATGTTGAAACCCGCTGAAGAATGTTCAAGACAAATTTATCTACGTACAGTATTTTCCGTTTTTATTGCGTTCATCTTAAAAGTCGATCTTGTCAGTTTTCCGTCTTCCTTTTATTCAATGCTTCAAGCATCTTAATGTCGAGAAAATTGTTTTGCTTTTGTTTTATAAACTCATTTTAAAAATGGTCTTCGTGTGTTCGGTGTTCATTTATAATTTGATTACCCTGATTTTTTGTCGAAAAAGAGCTGACGGTATTGCGAAAAAATGTTGTTCGCACTTGAACGAATAATTTAATACTGTACTTCATTCCGTACCATTGTTCTGCCTCCGTTTTTCTGCTGCCAATCATTTATAACTTGGAATTATTCCGGGCTCTGTTTGCTTAATGTTCTCTCCTTTTTTCTGCCTTCATTTTTAAAATTTGAAACATTCTCTTAATGCTTGTTGTCTGCAGTATCACTCCGATTTCAAAAGAGGAAGCGACGTGGTTTGATCCGAAATGGAAGCTGCCAGCAGTACTATATTTCTCCCGTTTGACGGGCGATGATGCGTTGATGCAGAGGATCGAAAGGATGGAAAAGCTGTCTTTCCCGGACTTGTCCGTTGAGGTTTTGCGGTCACGTTCTCTGGTTCCACGTCCTTTGTCCAACGACACAAACACTTTTTTGCCTGTTCAGCCTGACGAAAACTTCAAGAAAGGTGAAAAGAAAAAAATCTGTACTCCGTATTGATCCTAATGAAAGACATCATTGACTATCCTATTTAATTTTATTTTTGCCCCAAAAATGTAAGCGATGAGATCTGTAAATACACGACTCACTTTCTTCGTCTTTATTTTTTTATCATGCTTTAATTAACAGCTCAAACTCCTGGAAAAAATTTAAAAGTTCCAGCTAATATTTCTTTATTTTATTTTTGCCCCAAAAACGTAAGCAATGAGATCAGTAAATACACAACTCACTTTCTTTGTCTTTTTTTTTATCATGTGAATGCTTTAATTGACAGCTCAAACTCCTGGAAAAAACTTTAAAGTTCCAGCTCATGTACCTTCGAACTGAAAATGGCGGCAAGGAGTTATTGAAATTTATTTCAGGCGATATTTATTCAAAAGACTGTTGGTGATGGTCTCACAAATTCATGGCCTTTATCTTCGAAACTAGATCGCCATCAAATATTATTTCCCTCGTCCGCAGGAAGGAAAAAAAGTAGCATTTGATTGAGGTGATTTTCTATGAAATATTTACGGAGGTTTTGATGATTAAAAGAATGTTTGTCCTTGCAATTATAGGAGATGTAGTTGCGATTGATGCGGAATTTGTTACTCTGAACCAAGAGGACATGGAATTGCGCTCAGATGGTACGAAAGCCACCCTGAAGCCATCCTTGCTGTCGGTCGCCAGGATTTCTGTTCTTCGAGGGTAAGTCTCGGTTTTTTCTTTCAAATTCTATTGTGAAGTGAAAATAAAAATAAAATGTGTTGCGTTTAAAGTTATTATTCTTAAATTTTTATAGTAGGAATTGGTAGTAAAATTGCAATTTCTACGTCAAAAACTTTAAAAAAATTGCAAATAAAAAGGAGTTTGTGATCTGGAAAAAGGTGAAAATCCGCTTTGATTTCACGGAAATTTTTATTAATTCTAGGTGCAGTACTGTATAACAAACTCGACGATGCATTGTTTATCTAATTTTGCGTTCCGATATTACTCTGAATTTTTTCTTTTTCTCGTTTTTTGACGGAAGAATCGAAAAATATTGTGAAAATGAGAATTAGAAGAGCTGTGCCCCAAAATTCTTAACGCTGCGTGTGCTGGTGAATTTTTCAATTTAACTTCTTACCTTGATTAGGTCGGGGCCTATGAATGGAGTTCCTTTCATAGACGACTACATTTCCACTCAGAGCTGTCAGGTAGTGGATTACCTGACAAAGTTTTCCGGGATCATGCCCGGAGACTTAGACGCGAATTTTTCTTCCAAGCACCTGACGACGCTGAAGAATGCGTATCTGAAGCTGCGCTATTTGGCTGATCTCGGGGTCATCTTTCTTGGACATGGTTTGAAGAATGACTTCCGGTGAGATAATTAGTTATCTCCTTCAAAGGCGTGTTGAATTTGCTGACGATTTTTTTTTTTTTTTTCTCTTTTAGGGTAATAAATTTAGTTGTGAAACCAGAGCAGTTGGTGGACACGGTCATCATCTATCGTCTGCCTCATCAGCGCATGGTGTCCCTGCGTTTCCTGGCCTGGTTCTTCCTCAAACGCAAAATCCAGTCATTCAACCACGATTCGATTGAAGACGCCCGCGCCGCACTCGACCTACATCGACACTATGAAAAGCTGGTCAGCGAAGGAGACATTGATTCCATGCTTCGAAATTTGTACGCTGTTGGACGCGAACGCAACTGGAAAGTCCCTGGAGTTGATAACGATTGAAATTATATTTTATTTTAATTTCCCACCCCCTGTGAAGTGGGCGAAGCTCCCGTTTTCATTTGCGAATTTCCGGATTCGAGATCCCAGCACTGAAAAAAGTTTTTCTGAACGGTTCAAAATCGATGGAAATCCGTTTCTTGTTGTCGGATCCGGAAAATTGAGGAATGAAGAGCGGTTGGATTCTTTCTTATCTCCTCTTAAGATCACACCTCTAAACGATTTCTGAAAATGTTGCTGAGTCCCGGGGGTACTTCTCTATTAGCCTCGGCAAAAGAAATTTTTGAGCCTTCGATTTTTGTTCGTTGAAACCCAGTGAAACTGCTCATTCACGGGGGTTGGTGTGGGTTGCGTTCTTACTCTTTTTTTTTATCTCTTCCCGTCGGATTTGTCTGAAAGCACAGGACAGAAGAAAACCGGACGAAATATGGGTGTCGCGTACCTGGATTTTTTTTTCTCTCTTGGCGCAAATTGTTGTACGGTGTCTCAAACTCTACCGAGATTCTATTTATTTTTTGGGAGGAACTCGAATTCCCCGAATAAATTAATTTTGCAAGGTTTTTTTTCTTTCTACGGAAAATCGCTCACTGTGTTTCTGATTGTTTAAGGAAAATTGAAGTCGCGCGGCAACATGGCATCCTTCTGAGCGGAAATTCGTGGTAAACTCGACGTGTGGTATATTCTGCTTTTTTATCAGTTTACATAAAGGGAGAAAAACGTGTATCAGTGTAACAAACAGAATATCGTAAGATTGGAACCTAGAGTGACCTGATTGTCCCGAGAACATAGGTGTGTATTTTGCGCAAGTTGTGGCACATTTGATGCTTCATCCAGTTCTTTTGTACTCGATCGCATCATCAATCAATGAGAGCAAGGTAGTGAATTGATCATCTTTTTTTTTCCTTGGTCAGTAAGATTTCAGTCTATAGATATAAAACTAAAAAACAATGCCATTCGACTTCTGTTCACATTTCTAGCATGAAAGTTATCATCCTGCAATTGACAGCATCGTGCTAGGATCCACTGAAACGCGGTTTGAATTTTTAGGCAGAACTTTTTCCTTGTCAGAAAAAAATGTTCTGCTTTCCAAAAAGAATATTTCACTCAAATATTTGAGAAATGTTGTGAAGAATGTCTTTGTTGGAACTTGAAACACCCTTTGCTCTGCGGTAATCTAATATTTTTTGGCAGCAGATCTGGTCTGAAATTTGCTTTCTCTTGTAACCCAGCATTAATTTTTGGCGGACAATACTAAAAGCTTCTCTCAATAGCTAAACTGAACCAAGGAACGTGTTGGTCAATTTCAGATTTAAGACATGCTATGAAATATTTCAGTTACGACGTAGTTGACTTAATTTGTGTCTTAATCCACGCTCGTGAGTTTCGATTGATTCAGTTGCTGAAGTATTTCAGAACAAGGTCCAATCGGAAACAGCGTACTGACTGTTAGTTGATGGAATACGCATCAGTCAAATAAATTTTAATATTTCAAGCATGCGGGTGCATCTTCGAGTTAAAATATGTTCAGAGCACAGTACAATACTTGTTGAGGAGGTTCATCAGCACCACACCAATTTTCAGTCAGAGGGAAGGGACCTTTTTCCGACTTACCGTGTATTTTTACAGTTGCGGTGTGTTCGAGTTGATTCAGGATCTTGAACTGCGCGTCTTAATTTTCTTCACATCTCGGAAAGCGTTTCAAATGTTGTGTCTTGACATGTTCCAGCAGCGGTGTGTTAAGGAGGATGTGCGAGTTCTTGGTCCCGCTGGGACATATCTTCGATGAAATGTTAGATTTTTAGCCATGCCTTTGAATATCCCAGATGCGATAAGTGTTGAAGGCGTAGTTTTAGTTTAAACTAAGTTTCAGTTCCACGTAGCTCAATTGGGAGGTAGATTAACCTTAGCCAGTGGCAACAACGTTCAAAAAGTTAGATGTGCTGTTTCTTGAGCGAGTGGGATAGTCGTGTAGGCGTCGTTTTTAGCCTCGGAACGTTGGTTGTTGTAAGCAAAAGCATTGAGAAAGTGCACGGTAAATCATTGATCGCGACTCCTTTTTTTTTTCTTTGTCCGCACTGTACAGATTTGTTTTTTGTTGACGCGAAAAAGGAAAGAAAAAGAAATTGAGGGGGGTTTAAATCCAATATGTGATAGTGGTGTTTTGTTTCGATTTCTTCCAAAAAAAATTGAAAAAAGGTCTCCGCGGGAAGAGTCAGGGGGGGGGGGGTTGTAACAACGGGTGGGGGAAAAAGCGAACATTCGTGCGTGGGGAGCTGGTCCTTGCACCACTATATATTTTAATTTTAAACTCACCTGTCTGTGATGAGCATGTGAATCTTCTTTTTTTTTGCGTCGGGTTCATGACATCGGATTGAGGCAGGCGAAAAAAGTAAATTCGGTTTCGGTAAAAGGGGTCAAAAAGAAAAGGAACGCGGGAAAAAATTTTAATCTTTTGGAGATCGTTTTTTTATTTTAAGGACGAAGACATCATGGCAGACTATTTCCCTTTTTTCCAAGGCGCATTTCTTTCTGGTTTTCCCCCGGCGTCGTGATTTCGAAAATTTCTCAATTCTCACCTTTCGTTTCCAGAAGCGGGTCTTTGCATATTTATTTTATGTGAAGGAGAGTGCATATACACCGTCGTTTGTGTCTCTTCATGGGGATCAATGATTATTTGAGGCCACACAGTTGGGGCTGAAAGGCGGAGTTTGAGAGGGAGTAGCTTCACGGAATGCTTCGGATAATGGACTTATTTGTTCTGATGATCTGTCTATAAAAAATCCTACCATAATTACTTGAATATTACATGCACCTTTTTTCTGTAAATTGATACTTCACAGTAACTGTACCATAATTACTTGCATATTACATGCACCTTCTCCTGGAAATTGTTACTGTATAGTAACTGTACCACAAAATTGTGTGTGTATCGTACTGAATTGAGTAAGGAAAAAATTTCACGAAGTATAACATTTTATTGTGTAATACTGGATTCAAGGCATCAATTTCAGAGCTTTAAAAAAAGCTACAATACATAAAAAAAATTTCAAGTTCAGAAAAAAAAATATAATTTTTCATATATGGCTTTGTTTCATATTTTAACTTGTATTTAATTTAAATTTGTATCTAGTGTAGATTTAAATACTGTACAGTATTGATCCAAACAATCACTGGAGCTGCCTTATGCTGGGATAAAATTTACCAAGATTTTCCTATTCAAAATCAAGATGTGTTGCATATGGTCCTTGAGTAAATGTGGTATTAATGCACCAGCATAGTGGGAAGTTAGGTGGACGGACTTAGTTAAGCTGTCCGCTTATTATAAACCCCAAAGAATTATTTTGGTGGAGTTATCATAACTTTACAAAAAGATCAATCCACTTCTGATGAGAAGTACTTGATTGAAAATTTTGCAGAGACTTCACGAATTAAATACCATATACAGTATATATGTCCAACATAAAATCAAAATTATTATACTGTACAATCAATTTCAAGTAATGTTTACTGAATATCTGTTATAACAAAGATGTTTTCAGGCAAATCAACTTTAGGTTGAAAACAAGCTGACCTATGTGATGTGCCATCTTCATCAGGCGGTGTTCTGCATTTATATAAGAGCTCAACGACAGGGCATCGTAAATAAATCATGAGTACAGTAGTTTTTTTTTAATGGCTGTATGATGGGCTGAACGAACATGGAAAAGGGTTATTGTATTTGAATTTGCATCATGGAGTAGAAAAAAGCTTTCATCTCATTTATTATAGCATTATGAGAACTCAAGATCAGCAAGCATTCCCGTGCGCCAAAATTCCATAGAATGAAAAAAATTTCTCACTTTTGAATCCCAGCATTATTAGACCTTGTTCAACATGTATGTCGTTTTATTCATCAGTGTACTCTTAGAATTTTAGTATCAGAATGTATAGTTGATCAGGTGATAGCATGTATAGACAAATAATGCAACATACGTGTGAATGCTGGTTGATCAGTGAAGAATAAGGGGCACTACGAAAGCCAGAAGGGCAAAAATAGTTGCCGGATTATTTTGGCTCATAAGTGAAGGGGATGAATTGCAGTAGTCGGTTTTGCAAACACACGTTTGTATCTTCCGGGATGGCATGTCTTCGTCTCCCTGGAAAGTTTTACAGATTAGGTCTGAGCTCGTTGCATTATCCTTGTTTTCAGTATTCTCATTTTCAACATTGAAATGAGTGGAATCGGCGCAAGCTCGGAAGGCAACGTCGCCGGCCATCGCTGCGGCAGAGAACAAAACGTTATTATGAGGTCTTTTAAGTTTGTTTTTAAGATGTCGCTGTTTTCTGACCAAATTCGTTGTGTCTCTTCATGCAAGAATCTGCTTCTTCTGGGCATTCACATGCACCTTGGGCTTCACAAATGAAGCGTCCCTGCTCAGGAGTGCAGCTCTTGCAAGACAAGCACTTCAATGTCCACCCTGAAACGCAGTATCTTTGAAAAAGGGCCTGGGAAAATAATGGCAGCTTCAGAAAATACCATCTTACCTGGTGCTAAAAGCAAGGTGATGACGAGGGCATGGTAAAGGCATTCAACAAGGAAATGTTGGGAAGCCATTCTGGTCACGAGGAGCGAATTTGGTACTGCTAAAGGTTATAATCTTAAGCACTCAAGCCCGCAATTAGTGGGGGATTTCTACCTGATGAAACTTTTGTTGTCCTCGGGCTGCGGTTCGCATTCCTGGAAAAGCATCTGCACAAGCCATTTGTAGCCCTGTGATGGCGCTAATAGGTAATTCGTTATTTCTCAAGATGGCGCTGTACCGGGAGAAAGTCTTGTTTACCCGTCAATTTGAAATGAGTCCTGTCCTGCGTTCGGCTGAGCGAGAAAATAAGTGCGCTTAATTATTTGCAAGAATTGAACGATATTAAATTCAAGCCTAAGAAACGTTTTTTTCTTATAACTGGTGAGATCAGTCTCCGCAAGGTGACTTATGTACAGTATTGATACAATTTAGATGCTGCATACAGCTATCTTTAACTGTTAAGGGTTATTGTATTCTTGCGGTGATTTCATGTCTCGTCTTACAACTTCATTGTTGATTGGTATGTATTTTTCATCCAGATTTTGTTCTCATACTCGATTTTATGTTGTCCGATTTGGACAGGTGAAATTATGAAGTCAGCCAGAAATTCATTCTACGGATTCAGTAAGGCTTATTGCGCTTGCCATGCGTTGAGAAACGGCGTCCTATACTGCGTAATATTCCTTTAAATCGCATGAAGTTGTGTGGACATTAATGTGTGCTGCGGTTAATTATTGATTAATTATCATCCGTTTTCAGGTGTTTTTAAATGTAATGTACCTTCTGTAGTGAGTGTTTGCGTTCGTAAGGAAAAGTGCTTTCGTAAAATGGCTGCTTTGTCAGCTATCCTCAAAGACTGGGTGAGTTAATATTTTTTGCGCACTCCACTGCTGAAAATCGATGACAAACCCCTTTTTTCAGATTGCGGATCTGAATCTTGGTTCCTCACCTGCGAAGCAGTTTCTTGAACTATTGCTGCGGATCGACAAGAGCAATAATGTGCTCATTTTGCATCGAAGGAAGCATGATTGTGATTTTTCCACCACGTCGGGGATTGTTGTGTCTGAGCTTAAAAGAAGTAAGATTTGATGTGTTTCTAGTTTTCTTCGTTGCATCGGATCATTTGTAATGTCTAATTATTGTCATTGCTTGTCATCATCATGTGTTCGACATTGATTCAAAACAACATTCCAGTGATGGATGCTGAAAACGTCCAATTTGACGCGGACGCCATCAGACGAGCCGATTGGAATCCGGAAAAGGCTAAATTTGTCTTAGGATGGCTGTACGTGGTTCTATATTGCAAACGCATACAATGTCCGGAACTGCTGAAACTGACGAACCTTCCGCAAGAAAAACAAATCGTCGTTGAAGATTGCTTGAAGAAACTGGACGTCTCCAGAAACCAGCTCACTGACGCTCTGTTGAATAAATTGGTAGGGATTGTTGCTGTGAAACGTCCGTTATTTGCAAGTCCTACTCCAAGGAAACGTGGTCGGTCACCAAGTCGCTTCTCTTCTTCACTTGCAGGTGTTCCTGAGGTTAGTTCTGAATATTTTCGTGTTTCCACTGTGCGATTTCTTATATGTCTCACTGAAACAAAGTTGAAGGTCTACTGAATAAACCATTAACATGAGAAATTCGTTGAAGAGGCGATTATTTCTAAAATGCCACGAATGGAAATATAGTCGCTGTATGGGAAATATACTGTACCAAAAAGAGCATTCACTGCAACGACATAGTTTCCCTGGGAATTATTTGACTTCTTCCGAGTCATTATACTCGCCAGTCAATTGATAATGCGTAAGACGGTTCATGTCAATTTTGCGTGGAAATTTAATCGCTGAACGGGAGAAAAAGTCTGCACCTAATTTTTTGACTAGTGATGTTCGCAAAAAATTTAATTAATTGTTTATATTTCAGTCGTCAAGTGTTCCAGCACAGTTTGTATCTGCTCAAAAGCGTCGTGACAATAAAATAGTCGTCCTGGAACAGGAGCTGCGTGTCGTCAAAGAAGAGAATGAAGAACTATGTCGGAAATGTGATTCGCTGTCTTCTCAAGTGTCCGCTCTTCAAGAAGACGTCAAACAAAAATCAAACACCATCAAGTCCAAGACCCACGACATTGAAACCCTGGAAAGCTTGCTTAATGCGAAAGAATCTTCGGACGATGCCGAGGAACGGACTGACCGTCTTCTTGCCCAATTGAAGACTTTGAAGGCTGACCTCAAGAATGAAACCGAAACCAGACAACTTGAGGAAGCTGCGAGAAACACGGCTGAACTCAAGGTATTATTACTTTAAGAGGTGGTGTCTGTTTGAAGTGTGTACCGAAAACATTCTTTCCATCTAGACTTTTTTAGTCGAAAATTGAATGTTATATTTTAGCCTTTTTTGATACATTCAATATGATTCTGTCGTACAATTTTTTTTTTAAATCTATCTTCAGGTTCTTCAACTCGAGGAAAATCAAAGGGTGTTGATCAGTGACAATTTGGAAATCAAAGCTGCCCTCAAGAATCTCAAGGATGCACTTGAAGTCGCAGAAAAATCAGCTGAAATATCAGCAGCTCAATTTGCAGAGCTCGAAAAAGCAAACAATGAATTGAAAGAAGAATTGGGATCCTATCAGAACGGTTTTGATTCCCAGCCACCAGCAAAACTGAGGCGATTGTCAGAAGAATGCCGACGCTCTTTTGGAAATTCGTCGTTGAATGCATCTCATGACAGTAACAACCTGTATATGGCGTTACTGGAGGATAAAAACGAGGAGCTCATCAAGATTTTGGAAGAAAGTAAAATACAAGTCGGAAAATTAGAGGAAGCGGAAGCAGCTGTGAAGTCGCAACTGAGGTTTGTTTCCCCGAGTATCCTCTGAATCAATCAAATGTTTCAGTGAACTTTTTCTGTCTGTTCAATGATTATCACAGTGGTGCGGTATTTTTCTGATAACAAATCATTTCTTGATTCCTTGATTAATCTTGTAGATAAGCATTCCTTCTGAATTGCTTCCCATTTTTACCTTTTCTTTTTGATGAAGTAATTAAATCTGCTTCAGAACTCGGATTGATTACTTTTTTCGCAAAATTTTGAAGCAAGTCAAAACAGAATATGTCAGGCTCATATGATCAAGAAATAACGAATCTTCTGCTGTATTCTATTTGAAGAACTGTGCTTTATTTTCTAGGGATACTGTTCTAGAAAAATGTGAACTAGAGAAAGCATTCGAAGACTACAGAGCTGCGACTGAAATTTCTGCTGCAACCATGGAAGAAAAAATTTGCCGACTCACCTCTGAGGTTTGTATACTTTGAATCTAAATTTTCAAATGATCAAAATCACTTTGAAAGCATTCGAAGACTACAGAGCTGCGACTGAAATTTCTGCTGCAACCATGGAAGAAAAAATTTGCCGACTCACCTCTGAGGTTTGTATACTTCGAATCTAAATTTTCAAATGATCAAAATCACTTTCATTTCTCTTTGTAGACAAAAGCTCTTGAGAAAGCCAAAGGTGAGCACATGAGTGCTATCAACTCACTGAATACGGAGCTGAAAATTCAAGGAAATGAGATTGACGCTTTGACAAAGCTTCGCGAAGAGCAGGAGAAAAAGCTCGCGGAAGCTTCTGAAAAAATTGCTTTCGGTGACTCTGCCATTGAAGAACTCCGGTACCAATGGTCTGACACCGAAAATCGCCTAAATAAGACAGCGAGTGAAGCAGCCTGTCTTCAAAAATCTCTCCAAAGATCACAAGATGAAAAAGAAAAATTGCAGACGACGTGGAACTCCGAACGAGATTTTTTGCAGCGAGAACTGAAGAGAACAGACGAAGTTTTATCCGAAGTTAAATTGGATTATGAGACCCTCAAAGACGAATATGAGTCCCGTAACAAACAACTGCAAGCAGTGCAATCTCACCTCGAACATCTTCAAAAATTGAAAATCGAATCTGATTCGCAAATGGTGGTACTTCGCGAGAGTGCTTCAAATTTGGAGACAGAGCTTCAATCGTCCCAAGAGAATTTCCGACAAGCGTCTGAAAAAATTATGAATCTCGAAACCGAACTTCTGAGCTCTGTGGAACAGAAGAAGCAATTTGAGTCACTCTCAAGTTCCCTTCAAAATCAAGTTTATACCTTGGAAACTACTCTGGAGAATGTACGGAATCGGTTGAGTCAAGAGCGTGATGAAGCCCAGCGCTCGTTACATGAAACTCGTGATTCTCTCGCAGCTTCAGAAATCCTTGTAGAAAACTTGCAGAAGTGTGTTGAAGAGAATGCTCAAATGCTGGAATCAGTTGAAGACGAGTTGACTCAAATACAGGCAGAATTGGCTGATTCTAAGAAGCACCAAGAAATCTTGAAAAGTCAACTGCAAGAGCTGAAAATGACGCGTGCCCAACTTGAAAAAGACCTGGAAGTTGGAAATCAGCGTGAAGCGGATCTCTGTGAGAAGTTGGCAGTCACAACTGAGAAAATTTTATTTTTGAGTGGAACATTGGACCAAGAAAAAGCCCTTCGTGGTGATGAGAAGAAAGTTTTCGAATCAAATTGTGCTGATTTTGAAAGAACAATTGTAGGGCTCCGCGCAGATCTTCTTTCCTCTGAGAAGCATGTCGAATGCGTGAGAACTGAACTTGAAATTTTGTCGCAGAGTTCTGAGAGTATGACTGCAGAATTGAAAGAAAGGTGAGATAATTTTTGTTTTTAAATTCAACTTCGAACTTTCCACTTGATTTAAAACATCCATCAGGGAAAATTTCAACTCATGCAGGATAATTAGCAAATTCAAGCTAACCATCATTAATGTCAAAAATGAATTTCAGACTAAACATTTGCGTTTTCGCAGACTTTGTCAATTGGAAACGGACCTGTTGTCTGCTAGGGCAACGTGTCAAACTACCTGCGAAGCCCTTGAGGAAGCTCAATCTTCCCTCGAAAGTGAACAGTCTTCAAGGATAGAAATCACCTCAGATTTCAAAATCCAGATATCACAGTTGCAGAACCAAATTTCGGACCTTGAACAGCAAAAACTGGAAGTGTTCGCATCTTTGAAAGCATGTGAAGAGAAACTGTGTGCTGCCAATAATTCTGTTGAAGATGTGCGAGCTGAATTGGTTTCTGAAGTCCAGAAGAAACAGAAAGTGACTGAAGAAATGCAGGTTCTTCTAGGAGTGGCCCATGAGGAAAAGTTGGCTTTGAGTGAACAGCTGAAAGTTACCAAGGAGGAGGCGGCTTGCTCGTTACGTGAAATGGAAGCAAGGTTGCTAAACTTTTCGGAATTCTCAAATTTCAAATTTAGTTCTTATATTATACGGTACCCTGGCAAATTTTGAATACGGTAATTCTTTTGAGTTTTCGAATGAAACGCTTTTTTTTCTGGAGAACATCGTGAAATATGGGCTGATGTTGGTAACTTTTTCCTTAATTTATTCATTTTTTTTAAATTTACGAATTAATTAAATTAATTTAGGATGTCGACGAAGTCATTTTCATATAATTTATTGTACTTTTCTACGGTTCCCTCAGTCTTACACCATAAATTTGAGGAAATTATAATCACTCAATTGTTCAAAAACGCTTCTTCTGACACTAATAATTCCTGACTTTATCTTTATAGAATATTCCAGCTGGACAAGGACCTGGTCTCCGCTATAGAGGAATCTACTATTACTCGCGAAGCCCTTGAAGCAGCACAAGCTTCTCTCAAAAGGGAAAACTCTTCAAAGGAAGAAATTATTACAAACTTGGAAACCGAGAAATCAGAATTGAAGCGCCAAATTTCAGAGCTTGAAGAAAAAAGACAAGAAGTTTGCCGTTCTCTCGAAGAATCTGCGGAAGAATTGTCTGTTGCAAGAACGTCCATTGAATCTCTGCGGACTGAATTGTCATCTGAAATTGAAAGGAAGCAGCAGCTGGTTGGAGAATTGACGGACCTTCAAAAATCCGTCCAGGATGAAAAGTTGTCTTTGACTGAAAAGCTGGAAGTTGCCGAAGAACAAGCTGTTAGTGCTTTGCAGGAAATGGAAGAAAGGTATGGCAACGATTTGTCAATGCTATTGTCGAGGGTTTCAGCGTTGTGAGAATGTTTCGTGGTAAAAATTGCCAAATTCAAGCTGCAGATTCGCATAAAAGAAACCTTGTGAACGTGTATTCAGTCATCTTAGCTTATGGTCGGAACAGATGTCTGTGGCACTAAATTGATTTATAGGTTGCCTGATGGAGGAAAAGTTGAAAACAAAAATTGAATCTAGTAGTTAGATAGCAGTTGTCAATCGATAAAAATAAATTCATCATTACTTTTTCAACAGAATATGTCAACTGGAAACGGACCTTCTCTCCGCCAAGACCACGTCTGAAGATACCCGCGAAGCTCTTGAAGCATCTCAAGCTTTGCTCGAAAGCGAGAAATCTTCCAAGAAAGAAATGATCTTAAATTTTGAAACCCAGTTATCAGAATTGCAGAGCCGAATTTCGGAGCTTGAAAAACAAAAGCGAGGAGTTTGCGATTCTCTGGAAGCAACGGAGAAGAAACTGTCCGATGCAAAAAGATCCTTTGAGGACTTGCAATCTGAATTGATTTCTGAAATCCAGAAGAAGGAGGATCTGGCTGGAGATATGGAGGTCCTTCGAAAATCGGCTCAAGATGAGAAATTGGCATTGAATGATATTCTTAAGGCTGCTGAAGAAAAAGCAGCTTCCTCTTCGCTCGAACTAAAAGAAAGGTATGAGACATCTCATTTCTTAAGGCCGTCTTCAAAAGTTTCAATAATGTAGGCATATTTCGTATTGATTCATCCCTAAACGACAGGGTTTCAAAATTGCATTATTATTTTTTTCAAGTTTTGAATTTAGAAAAACTGCTAGTCAATTTGGTAATTGAAAAAAGCCTTTCAATTATTTTTTGAAATAAAAATAATTCAATGGAGTCGTGAACGTGAAACCATGTTTTTTTTAGACGGATGCTGAAAATCAAAATACATTTTAGTTTAATGGACATTCGGTGTAACCAGCATTGAAAAGTTTTCCTCCTCTTCAAGCATTGTACAATAAGTTTTTTTTAATGCTATTTTCGAGATTTAAAATCTTGGAAGAATTAACCTCCGAAATTCATGATTACTTTGTTAACCAGAATAAGTCGATTGGAGGTGGACCTGCTCTCTGCTAGGACCACGTCTGAAGATACCCGCGAAGCCCTTGAATCATCTCAAGCCCTTCTCGAAAGAGAAAAATCTTCGAAGAAAGAAATGGTCTTGGATTTTGAAACCCAGTTATCAGAATTGCAGAGCCGAATTTCGGAGCTTGAAAAACAAAAGCGAGGAGTTCGCGATTCTCTGGAAGCAACGGAGAAGAAACTGTCCGATGCAAATAGATCCTTTGAGGACTTGCAATCTGAATTGATTTCTGAAATCCAGAAGAAGAAGGATCTGGCTCGAGATATGGAGGTCCTTCGAAAATCGGCTCACGATGAGAAATTGGCTTTGATTGAGCAGCTGAAGCTCAAGGAAGAGAAAGCAGCTTCCGCATTCAACGAAATGAAAGAAAGGTATGAGACATATCATTTCTTAAGGCCGTCTTCAAAAGTTTCAATAATGTAGGCATATTTCGTATTGATTCATCCCTAAACGACAGGGTTTCAAAATTGCATTATTATTTTTTTTTTCAAGTTTTGAATTCAGAAAAACTGCATTTTACAGCCAATTCAGTCATTGAAAGAAGCCTTTCAGTTATTTTTTGAAATAAAAATAATTCAATGGTGATAAACGTGAACGGGAAACCATGTTTTTGAGACGGATTCTGAAAATCAAAATACGTTTTAGTTTAATGGACATCCGGTGTAATCAACATTGAAAAATTGTCCTCCTCTTCAAGCATTGTATAAGTGTTTTTGATGCTATTTTCGAGATTAAAATCTTGAAAGAATTAATCTCCGAAATTCATGATTACTTTGTTGACAGAATAAGTCAATTGGAGGTGGACCTGCTCTCTGCTAGGACCACGTCTGAAGATACCCGCGAAGCCCTTGAATCATCTCAAGCCCTTCTCGAAAGAGAAAAATCTTCGAAGAAAGCATTGATCTCAAAATTTGAAGCCCAAATAATCGAATTGCATGAGCGAATTTCGGAGCTCGAAAAACAAAAACAAGGATTCACCGATTCAGTGGAAGCATTAGAGGAGAAACTGTCCACTGCAAATGGTTGCATTGAGTCCTTGAAGTCTGAATTGATCTCTGAAATCCAGAAGAAAAACGATCTGGTTGAAGAAATGGAGATCTTACAAAAATCTGCTGGCGATGAAAAATTGGCGCTGACTGAAAAGCTGAATGTTATCAATGAAGAAGCAGTTTGTTCATTGCGTGAACAAAAGACGAGGTAGGATATCTTTCACCTTGGAGCATATCTTAGCAATAAACAAGTTGACGAACTCGGCTGAAACAACTTCGGTTGCATTGACTGCGTATAGATGCGATCAGTTTTGAAGTGCAAAAGTAATTTGTGTACATCCAATTGCAATGCAAAACTTACTGCCTAAACTGAGAATAATCGGTTGAAAATTTGCACTAAACTTTATCTAACCGAGGGGAATAACATTTCAACGAGTTTCATTCAACTACAGTATAAACATTTTTCAAACGTCAAGCATCGAAATGACGGAGTTTAAATCAAGATGAATTGATGTACAGTACCGTGGAAGTAGAACACGCAGAATCAATTTTTATAGCGCTTAGAAACAAAGGATACTTTACTGATATGTCCATTTGTAGTAAATTACTGAACATTCAAGTGGATGTTTTCGCACGGTATAATTGGAATTCCCCAGGTTTTCTGTGTTCAGTTCCGATCCTGTTTTAATATGCAGTAATATTTGTTTGCGTTGGAGAATTTGTGATGTGCACTGCTGTTATCCTGGTATTAATTTTAAAAACTCTAAATAACGTAAGAGTGTCATAACCAAATTTAGAATGAAGGAAAATACCTTCTTGCTGTGCTGTGCGAAACAATGAAAACCACCCTGGGAATTTTCTCGAACTTTGTGAACAGGATTCAGAGAGGGATCCGGAATGCGGATCTGAAAAGGATTCGTAAAAGTTGAAAGTGTGACATTTCAAGGCAGCTTTAATCCATCAACAGACAATTTTTCCGAAGATAACGTTCTATTTTTTGTATTCCGTTGATAGAATACATCAGTTGGAATCAGAATTGCTTTCTGCAAGGGCGACATCTGATGATACCCGCAAAACCCTCGAAGCAACGCAAGCTTCTCTCGACAAGGAACAATCGTCGAAGAAGGAAATCATTTCAAAGGTTGAACAGCAATTATCTGGATTGCAAGATCGGATTTCGGAACTTGAAAAGCAGAAGCAAGACGTTCGAGATTCATTGGAAGCAACTACGGAGAAACTATCAGCCGCAGATTGTTCCATTAAAACCCTACAAACTGAAATGCTCTCTGAAATTGAAACAAAGGAAGAACTGGTCAATAAAATAGAAGTCCTAGAAAAATCGGCTCACGATGAAAAGTTGGCTTCAGTCGAACAGTTGAAGGTTACCAAGGAAGAAGCAGCTTCTGTGTTGCGTGAAATGACTGACAGGTATGTGAAGTCCCTTTAGTTACTTTTTTCAGTTGTTCAATAATGCAAGAATATTACAAAGAAACCATACTGAAACTGCGGAGACACATTAATAATTAATACATTCTGAATCTTTTGAGAATGTTAAGCGCGTAAATACATGCTTGTGACAGTTGATTTTTTTCTATCTCGTTTACATTTTTGAACGATTTCTGGTGCCATCAACTCTAACATGCAGTAATTAAATTTGTGTGGCCTCTGAGTTTGACAAAATGTCTTCGGCTCAACAAAACGTAGCTGAACTCATCTTCATTTCAAATATTTGATATATCAGTTTGCTAAGAGGAAATAATTTTAAATGGACAGGGTATTTCTTTCCAAAATCTTCTTTATGGCAATAATACAGTGAGACCCCCAGATGCGGATGTAATTGGTGCATCAAGAGTGTCCCCAAGTCAAAATGTCCGTAAATCAAGTCTTGTTTTCCCATAGACTCACATTATATAATTTTTAATTGGTGTTTTATGGAAGAAATATTTTGCCCAAGAACTTTTCTTACATCAATTTTAGAGTCAGAAATATCTGTTTCTTGTAATTTGGCCTGAAATGTATTTGCAATTTTCTAACAAAATGTCCCTATGTTGAGTCTATGTCCTCATGTCAGGCCTTATTTATTGATTTTTTTTTCTGGGAAAATAAGTGTCCCTATTTCGAATTTTCCACAGGTTGAGGCGTCCGCATCTGGGGGTCTCACTGTATTTATAGTTTTGCTGAACAAGCATTGGTTAAGTTTGTTTGGGAAATTTTAAGTGATAACTTAATTTAAAATTTAATTTGGAATAATTAATTCAATAATAATTCTATGAATTATATACAGCACATCAATTATTAGTATCTGAAGCCATAAAATTCATAATTCTAAATTCCTGAGGCGGATATTCTTTTCTAGCTTTTACATTCAAAATAAATGCGTCTTGTACTCAATTAAAAGTGTCAATATTAAAATAAAAAGAATTTTCAGATGTTGGATTGTAGTTTTTTAGACGAGGGAGGATGAATTTCATTTGTAGTTAGCGTCAAGAAATTGTCGTTGAACTCGACAAAAATTCATTCATTTTTTTGGGTTGACAGGATATGCCAATTGGAAGCAGACCTACTCTCCGCCAGGACCATGTCTGATGATTCTCGCGAAGCCCTTGAAGCATATCAGGCTTCGCTCGAAAGCGAGAAATCTTCAAAGAAAGAAATGATGTCAAACTATGAATCCCAGATGTCAGAATTTCAACGTCAAATTTTGGAACTTGAAAGACAAAAACAAGGAGTTCGCGATTCTCTGGAAGCAACGGAGAAGAAACTATTCAATGCAAATAGATCGTTTGAGGACTTGCAATCTGAGTTGATTTCTGAAATCCAGAAGAAAAAGGACTTGGCTGGAGATATGGAGGTCCTTCGAAAATCGGCCCATGATGAAAAATTGGCTTTGATTGAACAGCTGAAACTCAAGGAAGAAAAAGCAGCTTCCTCATTGAACGAACTGAAAGAAAGGTTTGAAACGTATTCAGTTTTGATGTTAGAGAAATTGCAAGTTTTTATCAAATTTGGTAATGTTTGTCAAAAAGAGTTATTTTTCATGGAAAAATTTAATGATAAAACTTGAAAGCATATGTCTGAAATGGGTCTTGAAGCATGTCATTAATTTGCATATAATTAATATTGTAAAGTCACATTTTTCATTGATTGACGTATTGATTGATCTTTAAGAGATTACTTGTATTTCTCGATTGTTTTGTTAAAATAAAGGAGTAAAGCAAAAAGTTTTGAATAACCCGCACTTAAACATCAACAGAGTTGCACAAATACGGTACATAATGAAGATTGTGTAAATGTTTTCAGAGTAACAAGTTTGGAGCAGATGCTTGCATCCTCAAACGAAGAATCCACATCCCTTACAAGAACACTGGATGACCTGAAGGATTCTTTTGCTCAAGAACGTGCACAAAGATCCGCACTAATGAAGAGTCTGGAAGATCAACTTTCAAGTTTGCAAGTTGAAATTTCTGGGTACATTCAAGAAAAGCAAGCTGTTGCTCTTGCTTTGGAAGATGCACAATCATTGCTGGCAACTTCAAGAGAGGAGGTTCAAACGTTGTCCTCTAAACTTGCCGCCAAAGACGAGGCGCTCATCACGCAGGAAAAAAACTCGGGAGCTGAGAAAGAATCCCTGAAATTGCAACTAGAGTCGGTTTCTGCTCTAGCAGAAAATCTAAAAGGGGAACTCAAGACAAAGACAGGGGAGATTGCGAAGTTGAAGGCCATTCAGGATGAGGCTACAGCATCATGCATCACCTTTGCTACTAAATACAATGTGAGTGCACCCATTTTTTGGTGAAAAAATAGGGATAGTTTTCAATGGTTTTTTCTTTTTTTTCAATAGTTGGCACGTCCCGAGAAGTTCTCAAACCCTGAGTTCTTAGCGTCTGTCTTCAAAAAGTTGGACACTTTCATGTCAACTGTGTTGGCAGATGTGAAGTCTGCGGATGAAAAAATGGACTGCATGGAAGTAAGTTGTGTTCCTGGCCTGCTAGAATATTTTTGAAATCCAGAATGCACGTTTTTTTTCTGAGTTTGAAATTTCCAAGTTATCATCAAGAAATTTAGTGCAGTACATTCAAATGGTAAATTATTTTCTGCCCATGTGGGAATTTTTTGATGGAATTTGAGTTGATTGAGCATTTTTGATTTTTTCTCAAAGAAAGAGAACAGGAAGCTGAAAAAAGCCATGGAGAATGCAGAGGCGCAATGGAAGCAAAAAGAAGTGTCAATGCTGAGCATGGTCTCTGATGCATCAATGTCCGAGCTCAACAAAGTTATTTCAGACAAAGACAAGAGAATAGCGGACATCAAGAATGAGAGGAACTCTGTTGTCCATCACCTGGAGGACTTGAAAAGCAAATTGGACAGTTACTCCACTGAAATTCAACGGCAGCGCGAACAAGTTAGTACAGAATAGCAACAATGCTTTTGTCAATGATTCAATTTTTAGGATTGTGCAGTTTTGCATTTTTTTTCTTTGTTTTATTTTTATCATGGAGTAACTGCTGCTGGCGGCCATAAAAACCTGCACATTGCCCACTGCTTGCATACTTGACTGTTTTATATATTTACTACTGTATAGTTGAAAAATAAGGATTTCAATAAGAGGAGGAGGTTTTTAAATTGCGCTGACAAGTGCATGAATCAATGTTTGTGTTTTTCCTCACAACAGATCAGTACTCTGAGCAAGGACAAGAATTTCCATGAACAAAGAGTTCAATCCATGAAGGCAAACTTCGAAGAAAAACTCAAGTCTCTAAACCACGCATATGAAAGAGAGTTGAAGAAGAAGGATGGGGAGCTGTTGAAAGTCAGCAATCAACTCAGTTTTGCTGAAACAAAACTGAAAGAGCGCCGGAAGCCCAACAATGACCATATTTATGAGACAATAGACGAAGCCTGCAGCAGGGATTTTATGCGACCACCGGCCAGACGTGAATCAGCGGTGTCCACGCGTTCAAATCTTAGCGTGTAAGTTTTTTCACTTCCAATTACTGTTTAAAATCACCTAATTCACCCTTTGTAAAATCACAAGGTAATGGACATTAAAATATAATATTTTTTATAATATAAAAAATTATATATGTAACTTGAAATACAGTGTAGTAGTTTTGTTATTGGTTGTTTTCTTTTCCCTCAATGAATAAAAACTCTTTCTATTGTTAGTCTATGCTTGTGAATACAGTTGAACCCTGTTAAACTGCCCCTGATAAACCGCCACCCTTGGTTGCTGCCAAAATTTCATCACTCACAAATCTTCCTAAGCATGAAGGGACGGCAAAACCCCTGTAAACCGCCATCTGCCAACAATTTTTATCCCCCCAAACTGGATTGCCCTATTGTTTTTCTCAGGGACTTGGAGCGGAGCCCGGAGCAGAGCAATTTTAGCCAGAGTGGAGCCCAGAGCAGGCAAAATTTTTGGCTGCCCTGGGCTCCAGGCCTCAAATAAAATTTGAAAAATTTGGGGAGAACCCCCAGCCATATGTTACTGTTTGGCTGGCACCAGTCAACAAAACTACCTCCCTCCAATGCAGTCAAGTCCTCAAACCCTGAGCAATCTTCCCCTTTTTGCTCTTATTATTAGGTTGAGAGAGGGGTTATCCTGAATCCATTTTTTTCTCAACATCCTCAAAGATGTGTATGCTTGTGTGCTACACAAGTATCCCATGGTTAAGTTGTATTTATTTTTCAATGAAATCTAAAAAAATGGGTTAGTTGGTGAGATATACAAGGGGTCTAACAAAAGTTCTTGGAATATAAATTGAAAATGCCTACACATGAGCTGAAAAACAATTATTCTTTAGGGAAAATATGTTCTTTGGCACAAGAAAAAAGTCAGCCCTGTTTGACCCATTTTTTGAATGTTTTGCAAAAGTCACCCTGGCAGAGTTCCACTCAAAAGATAAGGCCCCCTTCCTGCAGATTTTGTTGTTGTAGCCCAGCTTTCCTCTCAGAATTCTTGAAATCAAGATAGCATTAATTCCAGTTGCCTCCAGGTCTTCCAAGGTAATTCCACCATATACACATTATAGTTTGGTTGGTGCCAGCCAACAGTAGTCCCTCCCCTTGAATAAGTCATTAACATCTTGCTGGAAATATGCATCCTCTGGTTGCTCTACTGCAGTAAAGGTGGACACTTCATACTCAATAGTCTGGACCAGTGTCCCCCAAATGTTTTGGCCCACAGACCAAGAAATTTTCAGAAAATTTTTTTTTGTGGACTGGCACATTTCAGAAATAATTTCTGCACACTGGCAAAGTTTCATAACATTTTTGCGCTTGAAATGTTTTGCTTGAAGGACTTGGTGGGAGGTATTTAAAAACTTGCTTGATTGAAAAAATTAAGCCAAGAACCAATGATGCAGCTACAGTACAGTGGAATTTCTTCAGAAATTTAGAGAAGTCAGCTTAAAGAAAGGTTTCTCTGAATAAAAATCAAAGTAATTTGTTTCAGCAGGTGAAATTTTATCTGAAGTATCATTAGGAGAAAAGCCAACTTTTATTTTTCATCATTAATTCAAATTGCTATTATCTTTCTGTAATTTCAGATAAAAATAACAGACTTCTCTGCTCCTTTTGATTGATTATGCAGAGGAAAATTTCCTGCAGACTGGCAAAAAATTTCTGCTGACTGGCACTGGTCTGTGGGCCATGGGTTGAGGAACACCATTCTATCAATGAAGATGCAGGGGACCAGAAAAAAAATCTTACTCAGATAATGCTTTTACAGAACCTCTTAAATATAGGTAGTGGCCCATATGTGCCTCTACCTATATTATAGCTGAATATAAACCTATATTATAGCTGAATATAAACCTATATTATAGCTGAATATAAACCTATATTATAGCTGAATATAAACCTATATTATAGCTGAATATAAACCTATATCATAGCTGAATATAAATTCACAAAGATTATAATTTCCATACCATATTGTGATGAAGTTTTATTACCATACATTCAAGTCAGATTTTCCTGGTATGTGACAAAAATTTAAAAATTTGTATTGCCTATAGAGCAAAAATATATACCGTAATAAAAATCTATATAATGAGATTATTGATGAAAATTAGTTTGCAAAAGTAAAATCTTCATAGCATTGTTCCTGTGGAACAAGTGCTGGGACTGAGAAAAAATTGTTATTGCAAAAAAAGTTATGAAGAGATTCATTGTTATGGTGAAAAGAGTCCGGAGCCCTGGAGCAGAGCAGCAGCCCCCAGCTGGGATTACCGGATTGTGTCTGGGAGCCCAGCAGAGCAAATTTTTTTTTTACCCTGCTCCAAGTCCCTGGTTTTTCTTTCTCTATATAAACCGCCAGTTTTTTCCTCTTTCCCAGACTTCCATTTCACCAATATTTTTCTCTTCCCAACCATCCATTTCTAACCTTTTATTTATTAAAATACCAACATTTTCCTCCTTCCCAGCCTCCTCTGCAGTTTATTTTGTTAAAAAATTTCTGGGGTACTGTTTTATTGTCAGCCTCTTGAAAATTTGGGCAACTTTTCTGAGGAAATATAGATCAAACAAGTACTGGTCATGCAGAAATCTCCACTCCAAGCAAAAATGTATTCTTGGCTTCTTGGATACATCTATCCCCTAATCTGTGCTTCTTGAAATAGAAAAACTACCAATAAATTTTTTTGTCTGTGTTTCCAAAAACTTTGATGAAATTTTTAGTTGTTTTGATTCAACTTGAATAAAATGAATTATTGCATTTATTGACTGCAATTCTCAGAAAACTTGACAAAAGAATTGCTGCAAGAATCTTCAGAATTTCTTTAGGTATCTTTAAAATCATACAATGAAGGAAAAATATTGATGGGGAATAAGAGAACATGAGTCAAAAACTTGCTGGAACTTTCTGTTGCAAAATTTGAACACAAAATCTATTCCAAGATGGCAGGGTAAGAAAACCCAGATCAAATGTTATTCAAGAATAAATCACATATTGATCAAGTTGGTGAATTATTGAATTTTGAAGTATCAGAATACAACGGTTATTGTGGTTTAAATGTAAAAATTGAATGGCCTCCCCTTAATGAATTTTGCCATTGAGACATGGCTGATCAATTCTATGCTCCAGTTTCCACCAAAAACATTCCTGCTAGCTTCTGTCCCACGCTATCTGCACCTCAATATTTTTACTGTCCTCATCTTTATTTTTTCGGGGATATCCAAAATACATTTCCAAATATTTTTGCATAGAATGTCATTGTGAAACATCTGGAAAAATACAGCATTGATAACCTTTACAACCTAAATAAACCAAAGCTATCCTAAATGAGCCTGACCAACCCAAAATTAACCCAGCCTGATCAAGGTTGAAGAATTTTCTCTTGAAGCATGATTATAAATTTAATTGGTTTACTCAATTTTGATATATGCTTGTAATGAAGAAAAAATCTCCCCAAAAAGCAGAGAATGAAAATTACTTCAGCTAGGTTGAAACAGAGGTGGCAGGGGTAGAACCTTTTCTTTATCTGCTTCATCCTTCCCTCTATAAACTGCCAACCCCATTAAACTGCCAAAATTCTGCTGCACAAATGTTGGCGGTTGAACCTGGGTTGACTGTACTGTTTTATGACATGTATCTACTGACAGTTTCTTTTTTAAATTTTCAGGTTGGATCGAAGCACTGCATCTAATGCATCCTCTGGTCGATCTGCAAGATTATCTACAGCGTCCACGTTGACTCTTCCCTGCGCCGATGAGCTTGGGGAACTGTTGAGTTCGACTGAGATTGCAAAGCTTCAATTTGGTCGTGGTACAATTGAAACAGCCTTGGCCTCTGATCCATTTGGCCGTGTTTCCGAATTGCAGCGAAGAAATTCGGTGCTGCCCATGCACTTGAGGTCGTGCTATCCTTCCGAAATGGATGTTACAAGTGTGGTTGGCGAGCGAGAGTTGAAGGTATTGATTCAGTTTTTATGGTTATTTGTTTGCAACAATTTTGATAGCGGAGGTGTCATGGTTTATTGAATCAATTTGTTTCCCCTATGGGATGTCCATAAACCACAGGAAATTTGATGCTTTAGAATTTACAATCAGCCCTTGATTACATTTGTGTTTGGCAAGTGAGAGTTAAATATGTTCTGATTTAGTTTTTCTGGTTTTTTTCCGAAAATTTTGATCATGGGGGTTTTGTTTATAGGAGCAATTTTTCCCCTGAGATGTCCATGAACCAAATAAAATGCGTTAGGGCCAATTGGCCCTGAGTCACTTCTGAGTTGGCAAATTACAAAATTGATCTCAGTAATTCCATGATAATCCATTAGATTATGAGGAAATAATTGGCTTTGTGGGGATACAGCAATTTTCACATCACCACTACAATTTGTCGCAGTAATTATTGACCTGGATGACGGATGATGATACTGCAGGACTTTTTTCTTGGTTTGCAAAATCCAGGGAGAAATCTATTTCTCGAAAATTACGAACATTTCCTTCCTAAAAGCTTTGTTAAATAAAGAACAGTATTTATGTCCAGATGCTGCCTGTTGCTAATTTTATCATTATTCATTTCTGAAACGTTGATGGTTTTGCAAATGAAATAGCGCAGGAATTATCCTGTATTTTCGTGTCAATGTGACATTTGAATTTTTTCTTGAAATTTTTGAACGATTCTTGCAGAATATAAATGTTGAAGCCATGGCTTTGGATGTACTGGATCGATTGCCCGCTGATTCCCTGCAGCAAAGGGTGAGAAGAGGTAGGAGGAGCCGTTCAATGTCTCCACAAGCTCCGTCTCTACCACCTCGTCGTCCTCTTGGACAAATTGATCACAACAGTCCTGTAAGTACTTCAAATCTTGAAAATATACACTGTACTGTACTGTAAATTATAATATATTTAAAAGAGATGGTCATTGACATGAGATATTTTTTTCTCTGTACTGTAGTTGGCTTCGAGGTCCGGAGCAGCATCCAAGAGAGGAGCAGATGTCAAGAATGACACGTTTTCTGCTTTCGATGCGGATTCCTCGTTTGTTTCAGAAAAGAGACAAAGAATGGAACAAGTGAGAGCCAGGGTGGATAGTAGTTGATGTAGAAGCTTTCGACTCTTTTTCTTGACGATTTTGAAGATACTGCGGACTCATCTTGAACCATTTTTTTTTTCAAGCTTTGACTGTGGATGGTGCAACATATGATTGGTCTTCTACTTTTATTTGGACTTCTGGCCATTTTTAGCTTCATTTATTTTTTTAATGCTGGGGGAATTAGATGGTGGCAGCTTGAATATTATGTAGCTATATTTTATTGGATTTTGAATTGAATGACCTGCTGGTTCTTGCTCTGCCTGGCTTTAAATGTTTGTAGTTTGTGAAAGCCAAATAAATTAGCTGATGATGTAGATGTTTTTCTTTGCATGCTTTTGTGGGCTGAGTTGTTTTTGTGCACAGTGTAACATATTTTCTAGGAATTCAAGGAAATGGTTATCATTTTTACAAGCCGCTGAGATAACTTATTTTGTGTGTATTTTCCAATTATTTACTGCCAAGTGTAAAGTATGTGGTCATGTTGAGAAATGCACTGATAAGGTGCCGATAAGTGACCATCAGGAGTCTATTAGTTTGAATGTACCGGGCATCAACGATGTTCTTGGTTCTCTTAATGGTGTATGCTGAATGATGGATCCGGTGCCATAAAATCTTATGTTACAAAGCCATGGGGACCAGTGTATGAAGGCTTTGTTGAAACAAAAGTTCGTTATAAAGTAATTAAATTAATATTGAAGCGGCCAAGCAGGGACCTGAAGAACAACTTTGTTGTACGCAGTTATTTTTTTGTGACGAGCTTCTTTCGTACTTCTCTTTGAATCAGAAAAAAATATTTCTTCAGAAATTATGCAATTTTGATGATATATCAGTGGGTGTTATATTTTTTTTTAGCGTTCTAAAATGCCGTTTCAAGCTCTCTTGGAAAAATATATAATTTTAGGTGAAGCTGGATGGACTTGTACGTTATGAATAAGATGAAAAATTGAATCATATTTCTCTTGCTCGATTATAAGCGCGATGAGGCCTTCTTTCCAGCGTTCAACACTTGGTTGTAACACTTGTAAAAGCAAACAAATGTCTCGAATTCATTTTTTTTCACTTAGAGTTAAAAACTAGCGGAGATGAATTCAACACATAGATTTCTGTATGAGAACATGTTCTACCTTGTCAACAACAGAAAATCGTGGTCCACTCGTATATTCTATTTTTTTCATTAGTGCCGTATTTCAAGTATTTTTGGTTTTTGCGTTTTTCCTTCTAGGCTTCAATCCCAGGAAAAGCTGCTGCCCTTACCCCAGGAAACAATTTTGCCGCATCGGGTCGTCCTCGTCTGAGCCTTGCCGTACCCAGCGGTTCCAGCAAATCAGCCAAGCGAAATATGCTGAATTTGAGCAATTTGTCCACCTCGACGACACCGAGTAGTTTGCGAAAGTTGATGAGAGGATCTCTGCGTGTCAGTCGTCCAGCGGCTGACAAGGAAAACGTCTCGCTGCTGGAAAATTCGGACGGTTCTCCCGCGACGAGAACCAGAGCGAAATTGAACTCAAGCAAGGCCCACGTATTTCGGAATCCGTTTTCAGGACGTTGAGATTTGTATTTTTCATAGTCAGACGTGTGTGAATTGATCCTTTTTTCATGTGGGAATTCTGGTGTATTTATCACGAATAGTTTTCTTTAATATACTTTCGTTATGGTTATAAACTGCCCCGCATTTTCGTTTTGTTGATATCTTCTTATCTATCATGAAGCAAGGAAGTGGGATTAATTCTGCTCTTATAAGAAATGGTAAGATCGAATACACAATATTTACTACTGTACGTAAAAAATCTTGAAAACAGGGAGCTGCTTAATTAGCTGTCTTAATTTGTTGAGGATTCTCAAAACAGGAGAGAAAAAAACAATTGTGAGTTCATCTTAAGTACAATGTCAACCATTTATTTCAGACAAACTGGTGCGTTCTCTAACAAAAAAATCCCTGCTCAACAAACTCCAGGCAAAAACTGACTCGCCTATCAATGTCTCTGCACTGGGATGTGAATCAGTGCAGAAATGTTCTTTCCTTTCATTGATTGCAGTATTTTTTTTAAGTCTTGAAAGGGCATAAAGAGGCTAACTCGTATCTTAATTATAAAGACATTCTGGTTGCAGTGGAGCAAGTGAAACTTTAAAAAAAGATAGAAAATTGCTGAGAGCCTTACAATACTGTACTAGCAACAGCTTAACATTATCGTGGAAGTATTTGCAAGAGGTTTCATTTGCTTTGTACTTGGATTTAAATGTAGAAACTACAATTAATGGGCCAAGCAGTAATCCGTCAGGGAAAATCTGGGCTTCCAGCACGGAGTGTGCCCTTTTGAAAAAGCTGTTTGTTGGCTCTGCTGCATAAAAATTGTATTGTAATTTTTATGCAGCTCCACTAAATGGGAAAATGCAGCACTGTACCCCATATCTCAAGATTCACATTTCATGCATAATATTAGCTGAAAAACATTTTGTATAGAGGGGGAGTTGTCATGACATGAATGGGAAGCTGGCTCAACTATACACTGTGTACAGTAGCAGTATACTGTATAAATTTGTGATTTCTCTTCGCCACAAAATTCCTGGGGCCAGAAAAATGTGATGTTGAGAACCCCTGTGATATGTTGAGAGAACTCTATGCATGACCAAGAAAAAAAATTGGTTACACAGATAATTTATTAGAGGAAGTTTACCTGTATAGTGTAAGCAGTATATAATGTAATTCACAAATTTTGATATACTGAACAGTACTTTAACAAACACTTGGTATGAACAGGTCACTATTCCCACCCGAGTTCCAGTTGATCAAGTACAGTACAGAACAGTTTCCTATCCCTGCTGATCGATTCAAGCTTGCCGTAAATCACGTCAGCCTTCCCAGTTCGTGAAGGACCATGCTACACTTCCGTGGCCTGTTCTCGAGGAGTAATGTGTTTAAATTTACCAAATAAGCACACTCAAAATGTAAGTTCCTTTTTGTGCGATTCAGTACAAAGGAAACACCACAACCAGACACGAACGAAGGCAGATTCACTTTCAGTTGCACCTCTAATGCAGTACTGCGGACTGACTATATCTGTGTCGTGTATTTGCCTGACGTACAGACAAGGCCAAGAATGCGAATTTGGAATTCTTCGTTCAGTGATTCGATTGAAGTGCGCGGTGTATCGTCCTTGAATGAGGTGCTGGATCACGTGCGAAATGACTACCATGTGCCTCCTTCTGTTCCATTGAACATCGCCCTTGTGGAAGATGGCACAATAGTTGATGACGACGAATACTTCGGAACCCTTGCGAGGAATTCGGAATTAGTTTTTCTTTCGCCATGGGAAAAGTTCAACCCATGGCTTCGTAAGCTCAGAGATGCATTTTCCAGAGATCCACAAATATCATCTATGGAGCGTGTCGTGGGGGATTTCCTTAGTCAGAAGCGTGAAGCCAAGACGAAGCTATTAAATTCTTATGTATCAAGGCTGCCTGTGAACCGTTCTTTGAATTCTCGTGAAGAGGATCCTAGTTGGTTCCAGGGATTGCCGGGTAGATTCAAAAGTAAAGATCAAGTCATGAAAGATAGGGCCAGAAGTCGGATGAGGAACTATTTGCGTGAGACGAAAGAGTATTTGCGGAACCGTTATTCTGTGAACGAGAAAGAAGTGCAGTTTTCCTTTTCCATCATCCGTGAGTTGACTGATATGTTGAAGGAGAGAGATTATCATGGCCATTATTTTAATCGTGAGGAACTCGCTAGAGATTTGCGGTTATGTGACAGCCACGGTTAGTATTATTTAACGTTCGATTCCTGTTCTGTAGTTATTGATTGATGCTGCGATTTCCCCAGGTTCCTTCAAATGCCAAGGACCATTCAATTCGGATATATGCTCCTACGTCGATCACCAAATCAATCCCTACGACAACCGCGAAAGTTTAATACTTTTTCAGAATTGGAATCTCGATCATGGTATCGAGAAATCGAGAACCATTCTACCTGGCATGATACAAGCTATGAAATCTTGTATGACAAAAGGCTTTATATTGAATACGTTGTATTTTTTCAACTTGCTTTTCACGACTGTGAATTTGAAATTGGTCCATACAGTTTGTCATGATAAAACAGGGCATAAAACTAAGCAGTTGGATTCCTCGAATTTTTTTGTCGGTGACCAAAAAATATCGAGAAGTGGCAATGGAATCCGTGCTTAGTTCGTGTACGTATGTGTTACATTTTTCCGTGCAAGACTTCTACTCAGTGGCTTTACTGAAATTATTTCGAAGAAAAGCTGTGATCCTTTCAGCATTAAACGTAGTGGGAAAGCTTTGTAATTCAACTTTTGTTCATGTAGAACACGTTTAAGGTATCGTTTAAATTGACTGCGATGGAGAAGGTTCAAGTGAATTTCAGTAAATTGTACAATATTGAGGGCTCATGTAACAAATGTGTTTGGCAATTCGAGGACATCCCTGAAGAATACTGCAGTATATAATCTTTTTACAATGGATATTCCAGCTATACAACGTGCAATTTTTTCTTTCTCAATATCCGCCGTACTCGCAATTTCATTTATTTTCTCACTGCACAGTCGGTCGATGGACAGCAAACCTGCTCTTTATTTGTACGCTCAAAATTTGAGTTGATTAGTGAAAGCATATAATTCCGGATGTCACGCTTCGGAATTTGCAATTGTAGCTCGGAATCCTGTGAAATGTGTTCTTTTTATATATTTATATGCATTACAATTGTTTTCACCTCAGTGATGCATTCTTCTCGCAATATTGATCAATGTTCGTTTTTGACCTGTTCTAGGGTTTTTTACGATGGCTCTGAGTGTCCTGGAGTTGTTTTCGGGAATCGGAGGAATGCATTGCGCGTTAAAGGCATCTGCGATTGATGCTAACGTTGTGGCCGCAGCAGATATTCATCCTGTCGCGAATGCAGTTTATTCACACAATTTCCCATCAGTTCCAGTCCTAAATAAGAACATCGAGTCCTTCGACAGTGAAAAAATGCTCAAAGAAATCGATTTGGTGACTATGAGTCCTCCATGCCAGCCTTTTTCACGACTGGGTTTGCAGCGTGGTTTAGTTGATGCGCGAACAAAATCATTAGTAGCTGTCATTGAAGCATTCAGAAAAGTGAAACGGGCCGTTCCGTTTATTTTCTTGGAAAACGTCAAAGGATTTGAGGAGTCCAGTGCGAGAGAGCTTTTGTTGGAAGTTCTGAAGGGGCGAGGATATTTTGTTCAGGAGTTTTTATTAAGCCCTGTTCAATTCGGAATTTGTAACTCGAGGTGAGATATTTCTTAAGATTCAAAACACGATGTTCGTGCATTCCGTGGAATTCTTGGGGATCTTCTCCAAATCTTTGTAATATTCCGATGGGCGAACCCCGTATCATATGTTTGCCGTGTGTCTTTCAGATTAAGATACTACCTGCTTGCGAGAACAGCGAAGCCATTTCCCTGCCAAAATGTTGGCATTTTGACGGACTTACCTGAAGAATTTAGGGAAGAGAACTCTCGTTACCGGTCAGATGTTCGCGCTAGTCTCTGTCCTCCAACGAAGGTCCAGGATGCTCTGGATTCAAATCCAGAACAAACTTTCTTGTCAGATGCTTGTTTGAGAAAGCATACCGAAGTGCTTGATATTGTGAACCCATGTTCTACGAATACGTGCTGTTTCACGAAGGCTTACTCGCGGTATTTCGAAGGAACGGGTTCTGTGCTTGCGGCGGATTCTTCCGTGATGGATTCTCTGGGAGCGTGTTTGAAACTGCCGGACTGTGATGAAAGACTTTACATGTTGAGAGCATTGAAACTGCGGTTTTTCACACCGAGTGAAGTGGCGCGATTCATGTGCTTTCCGAAGAGTTTCGGTTTCCCCGCGAGCGTGACGGACTCTCAAAAGCATAAGTTACTCGGAAACAGTGTGAATGTTTTTGTTGTGGGCGTGCTTTTGAAATTCCTTATCGACTCCTGACGGATTTTTCGTCTTCGTAATTTTTGTTTAATGCGGTAAAATTTTTGTTCGCCAGATTATAATTGTTCGTAATATTTTTCGGGGACATTCTTCGATTCAGGCATGACCGACGTGCAAACGTGGTTTAAAAATCTGCCAACCGTAACCAGGTACTGGTTCGGTTTGACCGTTTTGTTTTCTCTTGCGGGTCGGTTTGGGATCTTACCCAACAGTCTTCTTGTCTTGGATTATCCATCGTTGTATTACAAATTTCAGGTTTGTTACTTTTTCTTATAAAGTGTGTCGAAGAAATTTTTGTATAACGAGAATTTTTAAAATTTGAGTGATAGCTTTTCGTTTATCTGTTGATTTTGAAAGAACCTGACTACAACCATCTACAGTGACCGTGTCAGATTTGACTTAAATCACGGCAGTAAAAAAGACCGCGTAGAACAAACATACTCTCCTTCCAAGTACACTCCCAAAGATTACATACGTTTTTTTCATTGTTCATGTAATTTTTAGGTCACTGAGTTCGTTTTATGGGAGAGAAAATCACAAGAAACAATGTGAAGCTGACATGTACTGTATTATTTTTCTAGCGTGCTGTATTTTCCAATAAATGCCCGGCCTCTAATGAAGACTGGGTGTCAGAAAAGCTTTCAAATAATAACCGGTCGCTTAATAGTAGCCAGGTCAAAAAAGGGGGTATTGAAAGAATTCTAAGAATTTTATTGAGCCAAAAAAGCTGTTACACCCATTTATCGAGTGTCGAAGAAAGAAATCCTTCCCCAGTATCAATTTCGAAGCATTCCTCTCTGATTATCCAAGAAAAATTTGCGATCAAAGGGTTTATCATTTTATTGGTCTGAGTTTATCCCGCTTTTCTTCTTATTTCTCAATCTCTTGTATGGCAGTCTTGACTGTTGTAAAGAAGTGATCGTCTCTAATAAACGCCAGGAGAGAAATTCTATATTTAAAATAAATGCTGGGGCATCTATTAGATAAGGTATATGGTATAAGTTTCATGTCGAACATAATTCTGCATAACCTAAAAGCGAACATGTCATAACACAGTTCCTTTTGAGGGTGAGAATACTTTGCAAGTAAATATTTCAAAAATTAAAACTTGTTACATTTAAGTCTTATAAAATATTCAAAATTTCCCTAAGTTTCTATGTCAGCATGGGCATGTTATCAGTAAGAACACAATAATATCCCTAAAATAGAATGTAATTTCTTTAGATTTTGGCCCATTTTCAATTCAGGACAAGACATTTTTGGTGACATAGAGTGATTCGACTGTGAAGTGGGGTTTCCCTTAATATTGTACTGTATAACATTGGAGGGAGATTTTTTCCAGGGAAATTAGTGGTGCTCCGCAAATGTGACACTAAATTGAGGGTTTACTGTCCCTGCAATTCAATTTTAATTTTTGCATTTCAATATTGAAAATACTGTATATTAAATATTTTATTATACCTCACTGCATTCAGAAATTATTTTAGCAATATATAATATATTTTAATGTTCCCATATCCCAGTGAGCTGAAATATTGCTGAACTATGCAAATTTTGTAGGTGTTTGGTTGGTCACAACAGTATTGTAGGTGAAAATGTAATAATGTGTACCATTTAGAAGGAATTTATTTGAATTTATGTTCGATCTTAAAGTCAGTGTTTGTATTTTTTATACGTTTTCATTTGTAGATGAATTCGAAATTGTATCATCCATCCTATACATGGAATGCTTGACTAATGCTTCATTTTTGTATTTTTTAAAGATATGGCGTCCGATCACGGCAGCATTTTATTATCCAATCACGCCGCAAACCGCCAAAGTAAAAGACCAGTTGGACATGAAAAACATGTTGATAAGAGTCGCTGAACTTTGTCCAGGAATAGAACCAGCATGACGTCTGATGGAGAAGTACGTCAACAAGCAGACCCGGACACGCCACCATGCTGGAATCATGATGAATATTTTGGTGAGTTTTTTTTAACGGTTTTCAAACAGAATTTCAGCGTTTGTTTCCAGTTTATCTTGATATTCGAAGCCGATAGTATTTCTGCGTTTGCGCAAAAAATGAGACATGCTTTCAGTCCCTTGTCAAGGAAGATGCATGAAAAAAGTCATATTTGTGGACTTGATTCAAAAAAAAAAAACTTGCCTCAGTGAGCAGGAAGTGAAGAAATATTTTTTTTTTTTCAGGTTCTCATGGACGTACTTGTTCACCGCTGAAACATGCAGACCACAGTCGATATATTCCTAGTTTAACAGGTCAAAACCAAACCGTGCGTTAAAGGGCGACAAAAGAACGGTACCCAAAACAAGCCGAAGTTAAAGTAGAACAGACCTCCGTTAGTGAGGAGTCCGAAGAATTTTTTGATTCGTACGTCTGATGAATTGTTAATTTATTCATTTGTTTTTCTTTGCAGAGGTCTCGGAGAACTTCTTGGATAGTAATATCCCGTACACATAAAGAAGGACTACAAGTTCATAGGGGTCCTAAAACCTCCTCGCTCAAAGAACTCGTGTGGTAGTTAGGACACTCACCTATAAAAGCTACAAGAGACCAGAACGAAAGTTTTTTCTGCAGAATTTTAGCCCATGTTGAATGTTTGTCATATCTTGTATCATGACAATTTTGAATAGTATCCTTATTAAGTCGAATATTTGAAATACTGTACAATGAGTCCCCGCATAACAAAAGACCCTCGCAAAATGCATAACAAAAATTTTTGATGGAATAAAGTGTCTCGAGGAACAAAAATATTTCACATGATTTTTTGGCCAAAAAAACGCTTGAATTAAAAAAAAATGCTGAGCGAAAACTTCGGAATTAAAAAAATGCTAGGAAATGACCGAAGGCGGGCATAGTTTTGTCTCTTTTTGTGTGTAGAATTTGTGAAATTTTGAATCTTCGGAGCACAAACGTGCCAGGATTACTGAAATTAAATGCAACTCTATTCAAAATGCACTGTTTCATTCTGAAAACGAGGAAAAATGAACAGTAACAAAGTTTATTATGGTCTTTGGGTGAATTTCTGAACCGACTGTAGCCTTAACGGAAATTGCGTTTTGCATTATGAAAATTTGGCATCACAAAATGGATCCAGGAATTAATTTGTTTGTTTATGCCGGGACCCACTACACTGTATTTACCATATGTTGTCCCAAATTCTACGAAGAGTGTAATTTTAATTTACTTCGATATAAGGTCGTGTTGACGTCGACTTCAGGATTTTTTATTTATTCCTGATTTTCATTTTATTTTATATTTTCTTGTGTGGCAGATTGCGATACTTTCCGAATGATCGTGCCGGACCTACTGGATCGAGCCAAGGGACAGGAACAAGAGCAGAAGGACGACAGACATGGGGACGCGGAAACGTCCTAGGGAGTTGAAATGTGGCTCAAGAAAAAAAAAAACAAATGCAAAAATTTTGTTACCTTAAGCACATTTCTCATTTAAATGTATCCTTCCTCTTCTTGACCGACTTGAACTTGTGCAGAGAAGTCAATGTTCTGCTTGTGATCTGTATTTAGTTTCTGGCCAAATTCTGCTGCAGATCAACGTGTGATTTTGCGGGATTGTCACAATAAATGTTGAGTTATCTGAAATTATTTATTTGTGTTGCGATTTTTTAAAACTTTCATATCTTACAAGGATGTCATGTGTTCAAACCGTTGCTTGCCGTTTATCTGGTTTGACTAGCTCAGGGTTCAGTGCTGCTGCAAGTTGGGTGGATGAATGTGATCCATGTAAGTCAACAGGTGGCAATATACAAGTAAGAATACCAGGTGCAAGTTTAACATGTTCAGGCAGTACTCAGCCTGTCCTGACCCTGGCCCATCAATAAGAGGAGTGCAAATACATCTGTACGGTACAAGAGCATCTGGCGAGTAGCAATGGCCACCATCTTGTAGAATTGGGTTGGAAAGGTGGGTTGCATAAAATGGTCATCTATGTGGTGAACGTCATGTGCTCTAGCAAAATATGGCGATGTCCATGAGATTGTGGAAGTTGTCCTCAAAGAATTTTAAAAACCAGGTAGAAGTGAGAATCATTTGGAATTATAAATTCTTAACCTGTGTTGATTCGTTGGAAGTGACTTTCTCTTTGCACAGTGCTTGCGAGGCCTGCTTCATGTCTTGCATCAATTCAAGTTATGAGATACCTGACTCTCCGTAGCAATTGCCGGCCGGCTGTTTCTGCCGCGAGGATTTCGGATATCGGCGTTTGGTCTTGTGGAGTGGTGTTCGTGAGAATGATGTGATTTTAGAAGTATTTCTTACCTGTAGTTTCTTACTTAGCGACGTCAATCTGATCATTGAAGTGTAGGAATGCCACCCGCGCTCGACGGTGACGAAAACGACAGTGGTGCGAAACTTATTTTTTCTAATGGTTCCTCTCGAGGGTAAGTCTTCTTAGTCGACTAAAATGTTGAATTTCATCCGGAAATTTCGAATTTTCCTCATTTGCTCGGTAGAGAGGATGACGAAGATCTGTCAGCAAACGAGAAGATGAGCTCGAAAAGCAGTACAACTTCGGCAATGCCTGAAAGTGTGAGCCACTCTTCGGTAGGCGAGCTAATTGATGCTCGTAATGTCCGAAGAGGTAAAGAACTGGGATAGTTTTCTTTTCCACACGTGTTATACGTGCTACGATTTTTCAGCTCCCCATCGGCATTTATCTCCTAGTCCGTCAGGACGCAATAGGCAGCGGACTTCGTCCATGTCGCAGCTTTCTGGGTCTACTCGAACAGCAGCTCCAGAACCTCTGATACGAGCATTAAACCGTACTATCTATACTGCTGGCCGGCCTCCTTGGTATGATTCTGATGGACAGTTGGCAGAGCCGTGTTTCATAGGGATTTGTGGAGGTTCCGCCTCCGGAAAAACGACGGTAGCGAAGGCTATCATCGAAGCTTTACATGTCCCCTGGGTTACCCTGCTTAGCATGGACTCATTTTACAAGGTAGGTTTTTGCTCAATTGTGAATTGATTCCATGCAAGTTTACGCTATCATGCCGTTTGTTCCGCGATCATTCACTCTCGCAGATTCTGACTCCCGAGCAGAGCGCCAAGGCGAACAACAATGAATACAACTTTGATCATCCCGATGCTTTCGATTTTGATTTGCTTTGTGATACCCTCATCAAGCTGAAGGAAGGCAAGAAGGTTGAGGTTCCAATTTATAATTTTCTTACGCACTCCCGCGAGGAAAAGACCGTGAGTTCAAATTCTTCCGTTGCGATGAGAGTTACTTTGAATTTCTGGTTGATTTCTCTTCCAGAAAACTATGTACGGCGCAAATGTAGTTATTTTTGAAGGAATCATGTCGTTTCATCATCCAGGAGTTCTGCGTGTGAGTTGAAGTTTTGGAAAGTGTTCCTGAATCCCTCTATTTCCATTGATTCCTAAACCATTCCTCATTCTCATCTCTGGTGATCAGCTGCTGGATGTGAAGGTATTTGTGGATACGGATTCGGATATCCGATTGGCGAGACGCCTGGAAAGGGATATTGCTCAGCGTGGGCGGGATTTGCAAGGCGTTTTGTCGCAATACGAACGCTTTGTCAAACCGGCGTATGACTTTTACATTGCACCCTTGAAATCGCATGCAGACATCGTTGTTCCTCGCGGTGGCGAGAACGAAGTTGCCATCAGTTTGATAGTGCAACACGTTCAATCTCAACTACAATCGCATTCAAACTCAACTTCTATGCTTTAAATACAAACCGACAAAATAAATCGTGCATTTAGCGTATCTGACCGTTCGCATATAAAAAGTCGTTTTAGCTTTTGGTTGGGGATGCGCAAAATGACACATGAGTATTTGTTCCTCATACGAAAGACTCGATTAGTTCCACCATTCGGATTCTTCCGTAAAAATGTCTTGAAGACAATGATGGGTTCCGACGTGAAAATTTTAGAATAAGAAGTCCTAAATTGAGTAATAACTGGAAACGGCTTGTGTGTTCATCAACAGCACGGTTTCCAGCCGCATTCCGTCAGCGGTCAGTTGACTAAATTACTAATGAATGGTACGAATTATAGATCGGCGTGAACAATACCCACAGATTTTCGTAATTTTTTGAACTCAGTGTTGCAGGAACGAAGGAAAGGTCTTTTGTATGATTTCTAACAAAGTGTACCCGTTCTGCGATTTAATTAAATTTTTTTTTCCAAGCGAGGATTCAAAGTTCGAGGGAAGTTGTTGGCGAATGAATTTCACGAGGAGCAGCCGCTGCCTTCGCAAGTGTACCTATTGCCCAGCACGCCCCAAATCATCGGCATGCATACGTACATTAGATCAAAAGAAACCAGCCGAGACGAGTTCATTTTCTACAGTCAAAGGCTGATGCGGCTCTTAATGGAGTACGCTTTAACGTTTTTGCCGCACAAAGACGTAACCGTCGAAACGGCCATCGGGATACCGTACAAAGGTAAAGCAATGGCTACGGAAAACATCTGCGGAGTTTCCATCGTCAGGGCTGGCGAAACAATGGAGCAGGCCTTGACTGATGTCCTAAAGGTTATTTGCATGATTTTGTTGTACACCATCGGAAACTGATACAGGAATTATTTGATAGAATATCGCGAGTGGAATTTCCTAAATTTACGCGAATATCAGCTTCTCCCTAGAAATTCATGTACAAAATTTACATTCCATTAATTGGCGAATTTAAGTACCCTGGACTTTCCAGGAACCTAAAATTTCTGTTTAAAAAATCCCGAAGGGGTCTTTTACTCTTTATCACAGTGTTTTGGGGACGAGGAGGGGGCAGTCACTTACTGAGTACATGGAACTTCACGCTTTTTGACTGTTAAAGAACTAATAACAACCGAAGTTAAGCAAAAGAACTGAAAAAGAAGTGATTGATCGTTTTGTGGGCTACAAGCAAAAAGATTTCATGATACTTCATATACGCACATTTACGCGAATTGCATACATTTTCAAGTATGAGCCATATCCCAGTTTTTGAGCGTCTAAAATTGGAAAAGGTGTGCTTATATTTGCGTAAATACAGCTATTGTATATTATTTCAGTAATATTGGGAGTGGGATCTACAGCTCATCGGAACACTTGATTTTTCGGAACAATGATTTTTTTTTTACTTTTTCAGCTAGTTCGGTTTATGTTTTACGACGAAGATTTTCTGGGCTGTGAGAGATTTCATCTACAGTGTCCTGACGCTTCAACATTAGAAGCACTCATTAAATAATAAGTATTTAGTTCCACTGTGTATCCGGCGAATAATGGAAAAGCTTGCACTTGATTTTTCATTTCACTAATAATGTGGAAAGATAGAAAAAGTGGAATCTGAAGCGTATTTCATTTTTGCGAAGCTAAGCTCGTTGGAATTTCCAAACCAACTTGCCGTAAATAATTTTGTGCTTACAAAATTCTAGAAAGTTTGATGCGCAATATTTAATTTTTGCGATGAAAATTTTGTTTATCTTATCGAAACTTTCAGGGATTTGCTTCCATGTTGAAACCTAATAGTTTTCAAACATGGGATACAAATACAGACTTTCGTATTTAAAAAACAGCTTATTTATATCCCGGCGAAAAGGCTAATGCCTTTTGATCCATCTGTGTGCGGGGTCTGATTGGTTTTGCTGATTATTCCTCGTAGGATGTACGGATCGGAAAGATCTTGATTCAGACGAATCTGGAAACTGGCGAAGCTGAGCTTTATTACTTGCGGTTGCCCGATGATATAAAAGATTATCACATCATGGTGATGGATGCCACAGTGGCGACAGGAGCTGCTGCGATGATGGCGATTCGAATTTTGCTGGATCACGATGTTCCCGAGGAGAACATACTACTTCTTTCGCTGTTGATGGCAAAAATTGGTCAGTCAATGAATTCATTCATATCAAGATCTAAGATAGACCAAGTATCTTATTTCTAGGTGTGCAAACAATCGCCTATGCCTTCCCGAGGGTAAAAATTTTGACAACTGCCATTGACGACAAAGTAAACGATCAATTCTATGTGGAACCTGGAATCGGAAATTTTGGAGACCGGTATTATGGCACTGAACCTGGGCCAGCTCTTGAAGACTGATTTTTTTTTTTAAGATCGTTTCATCTTTGTTTTCATAGTATTTCTGTGAGCTGTGCAACAAAGTTCTTCCGCGCTTCAACTCGTTTTCATGGATCATTCCTCTTTTCTGTTGTTCCGTGCGAAGGTATATTCTTCTTCTGCGTTTCTTTTGGGAGATATAACCGGGGATCAAGTATTGACGATTGGTTATGGAAGCTGTATTTTTGAATTGCTTCACCTTGGACGTTTCCTGATGCTCGGTTGCGTGTTGTTGGTGTTCCTGAAGTCAAAAAATATATACTGTGTGATGTTCACTTCTTTTAATGTGGTACGAAATCTTGAAATCCAAATTTTTATTCGCAGACTTCGTTTGATTAAATGTACCCGATGTTGTGTCCGCGGTGCAATGGAGGTGAAGAAAAAGAAACAAGATGAAACGCCTGTTCGTAAATTCGCGGCACTAAAGAAAATAACGAAAAGGAAACGCGAGAAAGTAACCGTGACGAAAAAGGACTGTCCGCCAAAAAGTAAAAATGATTGTGCATCTGGCAGTGGACAGACGAAGGCATCGCCTGAAATTCTACCAGGCCTCAGGAGATCCAATAATTCAATGGCAAATGCCCTGGATGAACTGGATACGTCTTCAGTGAGTTTCCAATCAATTTACGTGATAGAATTTAAGTAATTTGACGTCGCCGAATTTCGTGAACTTCGTTTCTCGCCTTTCAGCAGACGATAGTTTTTAAGCTTTGGGCACTTTCCTGATGAATGCTTTTTCATGGATTATGGCTTTTTTAATATAATTTTTCATTTACTTGATCTTGCAAAATTCGCAGTTTTTGATGCGTGGTTATTTTTAAAATTGTTTTCCTCGTCTCACGATGTATTCCCAGATTGCTTCTCTCGTTTTTATTCGGAAACTTTTGACAAGATTCTCATTTTCGGCGAAAAAGATTTGGCTCCCTTGAATGCATCTTTTAATGTTGGCATACCTTCTGCGTCCGTTTTTAAAATTTTATTTCGACAATTGTTCAACTTCGTTTTTTGGTGCATGGAATTGCAGGAAATGCCGGAAAGATCTTACGGGAAGGATAGGGCAAGAAACCTGAACACGAACGAAGTTGCTGACGAAAATCCAGAAAGAATAGTTTTTGAGGACGAAAAAGAGAACCTAGATTTGGAAGAAGACATTACCAGAACCCTTCGTGTTCTGTGTCATTCAGAATGGGAAGTTTCTCGTAACTTGCTTCCGTTGATCAAGAAACGCCATGAAGTGTTTCACGACCTAGTGTTTACATACTGGAATAATTTCATGGCTAGGAACAGAAAGGTTTTCGAGCATATCTTCATTCGTCAAGAAATGCTCAATGTACTACCTGATTTTGAGAAATACCTCAGTGATATCAAGCTTGAGAAACCTACCTCGGAGCCAGCTGTTTTCAAGAGCACGCTGCAAGAATCCAACAAGGATTCAGCTTGTTCTTCCATAGAAGAAAAACGAAGGGTTCCTGGTCCCCTTGTTCCGTGGTTGACAGAAGTTAAAATCCCGCCGCATTTCTCTTCAATGATTATAGCGGAAGAAAATCATTTCCGCTCGTTTTTCGATTACGAATCCAGCAAGTGGATAAAGAAGGAATTGAAGAGCATAGAAGCCATCTTCTTGCGAAAGGAGTTGGCCAGTATCTTGGCACATTTTGAAAAAGTATCAAAGCAATTGGATGTCGAGGAATCCATAGTTAGGAATAGCAAACAACCGGCGAGTACCGTGCGGAGTACAGATGATGACAGCGAAACAGGTAAAAATCAAGGCCCTTTCTCTTTTCATTTTAAATTTGTGAAATATTTTACTAGCAGAAACTTGTTGGATTTCTGTTTTCCTCCATTTTTTTACGCGTTGATGGTACTGTATATTTTTCCTCAACTCAATTATTTCTCGAATGTCGAGCAGGTGTTGCCAATACAAAAAAGAAACCTATCTAAATTTAACCGATCAGAAAGAAACTAAAATTGTGTATCCCAACAATCAAAAACATGTTTAAAACTTGAAATCCGCGAAGAAACTCGGGTGACACATGGTGATGAAAATCACAAAATCCTGGAGGTTGATTGGATTCATCCTCATTCTATCTTTACGGGGATATCACGTGGTCTGGCTTTTTTATAATTGGTATGATTGATCATTTTAAAATTTATATTCGAAAAATTCCGTGTGGAATCATCTGATAAGTTTTTTGACGTTTTAAATATTTAATTAACTAATTTTATTACTAACACGTTTTTATTAACTCGCTTTCTTGTCCATTTGTTTGTCCAGATCAAATTTTGCAACTCAAATTTTGTAAATGAAATAGATGCGCACCACGTTTAAGGTTATTTTTTGCTTTTTGAAAACGTGGTTTTTTAGATTAATTTTTTAATCTACTAAATTTTTATTGCTAATTTTATTTTGTGAGACTCCGGGGGACCCAGCTGTAGAGAAATAGCAGACCCAATTTTTCAAACGTCGGATTTTTGTAATAAATTAATAAGCACGATTATTGAAAAACTGGTATCGAAACGAGTTTACTATACATCCACTCCTTAACGATTCCGTCGGCTTCAAATCTTGGCCCATCGAAGCATTTCAAGTTTTGTCGTGAGGTGCACCTTGATTTTCTCAAGAATTTTCTGATTCTTCTTCGCAGAGGATCTTCTGGAGATTTTCAGATTTGGGATTGAAGGCTTCGTTAGATCGATTTCACTGACTTCTGAAGACGAACCGATGCCAACAGAGAAGTGCAACGCCTGGATTCGTGACGTAACTAGAAGATTTACTGAGGTTCCTACGGAGCTTCTGGAAGACGAAGACTTTTTGAAGGTTTTTGAGGACATATTAACGAGTGCTTCATTGATAAATCCCCCTAAAATCGAAGATGGAAATCTTTTGGCTGAACGAATCAGTTGGAACACGGAGTTTATGCTCAAGGTCAGTTGAAACTCTTCTTCAATGTCCGAAACTTTTATATGAAAGCCATACGGTTCTTCGCAGGCCGATCTTATCGAGACTTGGCTACGTTCTCAGGAGTCAATTCTGAGTTCACTGATGGAATGTCCGTCCTCCACGTTGATGGATGTTGAACCAGATGAGAAAGTTTCCGACGCTTGACATGATGGCAGTGAATTTGTTCTTGTCCCGAAGTGATTCCAAGCAACAGTCGATTTTTTACGGATTTCCAGAATTTTTTTACGGGCAGAATTTGCCTTTGCACCTGATTTGGTGCTGGAGTGCTGTGGAAGCGCTTCAACATTGAGATATGTAATATTTTGCGCAATTTTTTTTTTTTTGGTTTTGTTTTGAAGTGCTCGTGTGCGTGACGTGTTTATCGTTTTGACTTTCATGAGTGAAGTGGATTCATTTGCGGTGAATTGATTACTGAGACCATGAGACATTTTGAAATCAAACATATTTCAGGTATCATGTCGAGCTCTGTGCAGAGTGATTCTGATGTGCATATTTCGCGCATTGATCAAACTAAGATCAACGAGTTCGCCCGCATGAATGCTCGTTTGAATGATCTGAAAGAACTTGTGAGTAGCTTCATATTTTCAAGTTCTGTTTTGCGTAAACTTCTACTTTTCGATCTTTGGATCCATTTTTACAGATTCTTATTTAACCTGCCTGTGAGCGGCGTGTGTCCGATTTTTGTGCGCTCTCTTGTTTTTTTTTTCACATTCGAGCGAAAGAAGGGTCGTTTAAATCGTAGGATTATTTTGAAAAGAGGTCTGGTACATTTCCCATCTGTTACGTTCTTGTGGTGAAGTTCGGAATCAATAATTTTAAAAGAATACCCAGTGAAGAATACCCTTTTAAAGAAAAGAGATCAGTCCAATTTTTTAAACTGCTCCCAGAAATAAGCCATCCTTTGTGAAAGTGACGATCTTGTAATTATATTCCTATTGTCTCTATTAGTTGCATTGAGTTGAAAATTTGATAATTCATTTCAGGGAATTGCGAGTTAATCGGAGAAATACGATGATATTTATTTCGAAAAATTGAAAATTTTGGACCCAAATTCGCATTCATTTATCATTTATTCATTTTCTAAGTTATTCCCCTGAAAGTTGGACCCACTGGTGTAATAACAGTCGCTTGGAATCAAGTGCTCTGTTCGATCATCACGATATTGGTCCTTTATTCTTGTGTTGAACTTTTTAGAAGGTATTTTTTGCCTTTCGATGATCGAGACACACTATCAATTTATATTTTATCTGTAGATTAAAGTGAAGGAAAACGATTTGCGAAACTTGGAAGATGCCGTGGACGAAATAGCCTTGCTTGATGATGCTGATCCGGTGCCTTATTCTTACGGAGAGATCTTCGTGAGCTGCAGCTTAGATGAAGCTAATGGCTTGCTAGAGAAGGACAAAAGTCGCCTCACCGACGAACTCAAGCTGATGAAGTCTGAGGCCGGATCGCTGTTGGAAACCATGTCCGACTTGAAGACTCACCTTTATGCCAAGTTTGGCGACAACATAAACCTCGAACCCGATCCAGAAGACGATGATTGATTGCTTATGGCGTCTTGATTACGTGAAAGACGCGTTCTTCTTTAGCATCTGCCCGTTATTAATATTGTTCTTGATAACTGTCAATGTCAACATTTTTTTTTGTTGCTGCTTCAAGAACCACTTGTTTCACCGGATTAACGTTCATTGCTCCGTTTTTCATTTAGCTCGTTTTGAATTCGCAGAAAAAGAAATGATAAACCGTAACGATGAGTGATTCAGGAAAAACTCGTGACTCTTGTTTCGACTGGATTGACCAGGTCATTTATACAGTGACCAAAGAATTTCCCAAAGAAATCGTCGAAGATCGTGAGTGAATTTTGATTTTTTTTCCAAGCCCTTGAATTTCTTGATTAAATTATTCTATGTCATTAATTCTTATAACTTGAGGGACGTACAATTTTCTGAAATTTTATTCTGGTATGTTATATGTTAAATCAGGTTTGGTGTTAGATCAAGTTTCCTATTCACTCAAATATAGAACGCCATTGATTTATGATAAGCACATTCATTTATTTTGTTTATAGAAAGTCGAAACAAATGTACAGTATCTCTGGATGAAAGACGCACTTTCATTTTGTTCGAACGCTTTCAATAATATCAGCAATCTGACCTGTGTTTGCTTGAGTTGAAAATCGTGGTAAGGTTTTGTTAAATTTCATTTCGGACGTGGATTTCATTAAGATGCAAAATATTTTGTTGATCAGGAGCAGTCATTCGCTTCATTTATAACACTTCGTCAAAAGTAAGAAGCAACCTCATTTCTAGAGTAATATTTTGCGAAGAAATGGATCGAATTCAAGTAAATTCAATAGGGTCTTGGGTCAAATAACTTTTCGTCGGATTCAAAATTAGAGCGACGTATGACTTTCAAAAATTCGATGAGCTGGAATCAAGCATGGAAGTTCCGAATTTTGTCAAGTTCCCTGAATAAAGCTTTTATTTCCCCTGATCAGGATTTGGTTCCGTCTTGGAAAAGATCAATGCTGCCGAAGAACTACCTGATGACATCAAAGAAGAGCTGCTTCTGCTCTTGACGAAGCACCAACATGAATTGTGCCAGGCATTGCGTGAAGATATCAGGAGCTTCGTGCCGCCTGATGCGATACAAATGCTGTATTCTTCAACCCCCGACAACTGTGCCCCGATTAGTTCTTCGTTGGTGGAATCTGCCCAGGAGCGGTTGGTGAAGGACAATGCAACGTTGAACGAGGTTTGTGGGCTGGTACACTTCGGGAGTTTATGTGCCGTATTTTGAAGACGAGTTATACTTGTCCTCTTAATTATCGTTGCGGACAAGTTTGACTAAAATCCTGCAAGTACTGCTGCAGATTTGCTTCATAATTAATGACAAATTAAAACAAAATCCTCGTTAGCGGCAAACTGAGTCGCTGTAAGCGGTATATAGAAAAAATTGACTTTAAATCTTGCTTGTTAATTTTTTGCAGCTGGAGTCGCAGATCGCTGTGCTGAAACTCGAAAACTCGTTGCTAAAAGAAACAGTTCATGAGATGAAGAGTTATGTGAAAGAAGTGAAGAAGGCAGAAGAATTCATCTCGAAAGCTGGTGTCGCGACTGCGGCCGTGTCAGTCAATGAGGATTCTGGAATAGGTGACGATAGCATGCAAATGGAACCCAGTTCTAACGGTGACGAAGGCGAGGAAAGAGCCGAAGCGAAACCTGTTGCTCGAGACCCGTCTTCGGAACCCATAGCACGGAAAAAATCCCGAAAATGAGTCCCGCTTTTTTTCTGGATCCATTCCACAATTTTCTGCTTTGTACCTTTTCATCATCATCATTCGGGGAATTCCTGTATTTTTATAAATGGTTTTCGTATTTTTAAAAATATTTTATGACGTTGTTTGACCGATGAATTTGCTTTTTTGGAATTGTTATCACTCGAATGTGATCTCACTCATACGGTGGTACCTCTGATTTTAGGTGACTCGCACGATGGACTTATGAATGAAGAACTCCGGCTGCCATAAAAATTTTTTTTCGCACGATGGACCCTCCTCTGCAGAAAAGACCGTGCAAAATCGTTTGTAAAAATAAATTTGAAATTCCTATGGGAACTCTGGCTGCAGGCTCCGTTCTTCAATTAGAGAAAGGTTTTTGGATGCTAAGTATTTGACTTTTTCTCATTTCTGATGAGTCTTGTTTTTTTAATTTAACGCGCAATTTTGGACAATTCATTTATGCGTTTAAATTTATTAAAATTTATCCAAGACTTTCACAAGGAATCTGAGATGATCAGCTAATCTGTACAGCTTTAAATTCCAGCATTTGGTTAGTTTATTGTACTTCTCGTTTAGTGCACTTCCCCACCGGATTGGATCGAGTCCACTAACCGAGGGACCACTGTATTTTGTAGGTTGACTCGGAAATGTTCATGAGACGGAAATTTGGATGAATTATTTTCAATCTTAATTCTGAAATCTTCAGGATTTTTCTGACGAGCCTAAATTATTCCTGTCTTTAACGTTGGATGTGCGTAACTGTCCTTGGTCGAAGAGTGTACGAGTCTTTGACCCGTCTTCGTGATCGATTTCCGCGCAAAAATTCGAACATCGTGCGTCCGTTGAGTGTACATTCAGTGAACATGGCACCCATTGTTGAAGCTGGCGAACCGAAGAAGTATGATTACTTGGTGATTGGTGGCGGTTCTGGCGGAGTGGCGTCCGCCAGGCGAGCAGCTGAGTTTGGCATCCGCGCTGCTGTGATTGAAGGTGGCTCGTTGGGAGGAACATGTGTGAGTGTCAAATATTATGCGAGGGCTTGTTTATAAGCTTTTTATCCTCGTTCTTCCTCGTCGATTGAACCTAATTTTTACCGAATAATGTTTCAAAATGTCTTGGAGTTGAAAGTTACAGTGAGGAGATGAGGTTCATCGCCATACAGCCATGTTCTAAAAGTAAGGAGTCAGTTTCGAGTTCTAAGGAATGTTTTCTGTACAGGTGGACTCTCATTACAGTGAAATTGAAGAGACAAGAAAAACATCGTTGTAGAGAGCCCCTGTAAGATGGGTGAGAATCATATACACATATGGGACCAAAAAATAGTTTTATCGAGAATATTTTTGTGGACAAGATTGTTTTAGGGAGTATGTGTGTAATGTAAAAAGTTATTATCTGAGGAAAAATTTGTACTGATCTGAAATCGGAAATTTTTGTTTTTCATTGTGCATTTTTGAAACTTCTGGTAATGAAAACTTTCTTTTATTGTAACCATAAAGAGAACATGTCAAATTTTCAACCGTCTTGTGTGTCTCAGGCGCTGAAGATTTTTGTTATTTTTTCTTCAATGACGTTTTATTAAATTTACAAATTCTTCTCTCTAGGTGAATGTAGGTTGTGTCCCGAAGAAAGTGATGTTCACGGCCGCGTCGATGGCCGAGATGCTGAATCAAAAGCATTTTGAAGGCTACGGATTTGATGTCCAACTGAATAGCTTTGATCTTAAGCAAGTTGAGCGTTATTCTATAACTAACGTTTAGTGGTCTAATAACGAAATTTTCCCAACAATGCAATTTCAGGAAGTTGAAAACCGTCAGAGACGCTTACGTCACGAGGCTGAATGGTATTTACGAAAACCTGCTTAAGAATTCCAAGGTCGATTTGATTAAAGGCTGGGGGAAGTTTGTTGGTAAGTTTTGTTCCTTTTTGGTTAATTAATTTGAATGCTGAAATAAGCGCGTTAGAATACAGTTTTAATTATTGAATTTTTCACAGGTCCACGCTCGGTTGACGTTAATGGAACTGTGTACACAGCTGATAACATTTTGATCGCTGTTGGTGGACACGCTTTGGTTCCTGATATCTCCGGTGCCCATCATGGCGTGATTAGTGACGGAATTTTCGATTTGGATAAAGTTCCGAAGTAAGGACGACTCCTCATCTTGCGCAATTCCCACTTTTCCATGAATTTATTTTTCTAATTACTCTACCTTGGTATTGTACTGCGTAGGCTTTCAGAAAATTAATGCCTTGTTCAGAAATTAGAGTTTCCAGCTCGAATACATTTTTGAGTAAAACTCACGCATCACTGCAACCAAAACGGCAATTGATTATGTCGAGAAGGTATGAAACGAAATTGATGAAACTTGATCAATGTGATACTCTCAGCGAACGTTTTTATAACTGCTAGTGACATCTACTTGCGCTAGAACATATGTACTGCATTTAACTTGTGAAGGACAAGGTAGATAGAATAAGCGAAATAATTATGCATGTCTCGCTGTAGATTACCTTCTTTGATCCATAACATGATTTTTTGCTAATTTTTTCTTGAGTATCCCCTTTGATGAATCAATTCAGGGTTCGACTGATGAATGACTGATTTCTACAGACATGCAGTGGTCGTTGGGGCTGGTTACATCGCTGTTGAAATGGCGGGCATTTTGAAGTCCCTTGGTGCAGAAGTCAGTTTGGTCATACGATACGACAAAATCCTCCGCAGTTTTGATCAGATGCTGAGTGAGAAGGCGACTGAAAGCGTTGAGGAACTTGGGATTAACCTCATCAGACACGATACAGTGAGTATGCGGTTAACATCAGAGACATAGATGAAAATTAATCTCTTTTTTTTTTGGTTTGGAAAGATGTTCGATGAAACTTTATTTCGGGTCTGTTTGAAAAATGACTCTCTAGGCTAGAGTCTAGATGGCAATGTTTTTTTCTTCACCAGAACGGGGATGCTAACATTTTGAATTTTTTTGTCAATCGGATCAGAATTTGTGAACTTAATTATTCGCTCAACGGACTTGACTTGCAAAACTCGAAAGTTTTTGCGAATAGAGGCTCTTTTCGTCCGTCATTTTTGCAAATCAAATGTCATAAAGATCTTCGTCTGATTTTCTTCAAAAAATATTATTAAAAGTACAACGAATGTATAAAATGATATTTTCTGTTTTTCTTAAAAGGAAATTTCGAGTAGCCAAAATGCAATGCCCTTCAAAGAGTTCAAACCACTACTGTATTGAAAAAATTTGGAAGACTCACAGCGAGTCCCTGTTTGTTTGCTTAGAATTTTTCTGAAGTCCGGGCTGAATAAGTTCTGCTCACAATTCGACAGTCAGAGGCAACCTTCGCATTTGGATTGAGCAAAAATGTTCCCAAATCGAAAATGTTTTCACTGGAATGTTAGTTTAAATATGGGAAATTCCCATTACAATTTGTAAAATCTTCCAAGTTCGTTGCATGGGGTCTGCCTGCAAATTCATGGTGCTTAAAGCGAGTAAATTTTTTCGTCCTCGAAGTTGTGGCGCACACTTCAGACTCTCGATTTTTCTTTCAACGTCGATATCAAAATTTGGTGCAATTCTCAAGAACTTTTAGAACACGACTAAGCAAAAATTACATCTGCTATTCATCCAATCAACGAGGGAAGAGCGTAACCCAAGAAAACTCATTAAACCGGATTTCTGAATTTGGCAGGTGGAGAACGTTGAATGCGATGGAGCCGAGAAAGTTCTGACCATCACGACGAAAAACGGAAAGGTGCTCGAAGGGGTGGATTGCTTACTTTGGGCGATCGGTCGTGGCCCAGGAACCGAGAAACTTGGTTTGGAACACGTTCCTGGAATCAAGCTGGGCCCTAAAGGACACATCATTGTGAACGACTATCAGGAGACTGGGGAACCCGGTGTTTGTGCTCTTGGCGACGTTTGTGGCAGATGGGAACTGACTCCTGGTTTGTAAAGACATTTTTATTGCGCGACGATTTTGAACTATTGAAGATTATCCATTTATTTTTTGCAGTTGCGATTGCCGCGGGTCGCCAGTTGGCCCATCGACTTTTCGATAATAAGGCGCAGGCGAAGATTGATTATTGTGACATTCCGTCTGTCGTGTTTTCGCATCCTCCACTCGGTAAGAAAATGACTGATACCTCATTAAAAAAAATCGTGAGACACAATTTAATTTTTAATTCCTAGAAAAGTTGATCGCTAATTTTGAGGCATATTTTCACGGGTTTCACGATACAGTGCTGTTTTCAGAAAAATGGTGGGCAGAGTGAACCAAAAATATACCAATTTCTTTTATCACTCACGAACCACAATGCATTTCAGTGACGAACTGTACGTGTAAATAAAGGTTGTAGTCAAAAAAAGTAGAACTTTTTAGTACCATTCCTTAAGGTACTTTCCCTTACAATGAAGCTTGTTTAAGCATCTGTCACTTCAAAAAGCGGAAAGTTCACACCTTTCAGAAAAGGCACTTGGCTATGAACCGAGATCATAATTTAAATAAATAATATTTTACAGAAATATCTGTATTTTCAGTGAGTTAATAAATTTTCAATCTTTAAATCGTAATAAGCTTATCTAACACCTAAATTCCTGAGTTTGTTCAAATTTAGTGAACCTTCACTCCGCATGCAGAACCGAGACATCATTAATTATTAGAACCGTGATGATCGTGCGTGTCAAACTGAAAAACATATTTCTTTCATAATTTGTATAAATATTTTAGGTTAAAATTATTGATACGAAGTTTAAGCCCTTAAAGATTGTACGTCCTTCACAGCCGAACTGCCTTCTCCTTCGACACGCTTTCATGCCTCGTCTCTTTCACTCCTAAATAAGCCGTAGAAAGTGCAGTTACATAATGCGGCAGCTTGACCACAAGCCGAAGAATCATTTCAAGATGATTGTCCTGGGACCGGAGGAAAAGGTGATGACAGAATTTTTTTAGAGATGGACTCCAATTGTCTGAAACTTTCAATGATTTTCAGAATCATGTTCTTTCTAATGAGCGTTCTGGATGATTTTGTTGTTGTTTCCAATAGGTGATCGGATTGCATTTGTTTGGAATCAATTCGGACGAGATTTTGCAAGGCTTTGCTGTTGCTGTGAGAGCGGGTCTCACGAAGGCCGAATTTGACCGAACAGTCGCAATTCATCCAACTACTTCAGAAGAATTGGTTTTGATGCGAAATCCCACGCCTCCTACGGTTAAAGTGGACTGAATGCTGAAATCAGTTCGGGAAATTTCAAAGTTTATGGTACATTTATTCTTGGGATTTTGATTTTTTGGAACAAATATATTCAGCGATGAATGCTCGTGGAAATCGGCTTTAATATCAAGTCAAGACCTTAATAACAAACCCGGCACATCGGACTACCTTGAACTTACAAAAACAGGGCGTGTTAAGCAGGCACAACCGTACTCAACTGACACTTGCACTTGACCATTATTTTTCATGGATGTAAACGTTTCCGGTGTGGGAGAAATCCCTTGATTTTTCTCATTCATTGATGGATGTTTGTTTCCAATTCGCTTGTTATTCTGAATTTTTTAAAATCTTTTTCAAGGAATAATGGAAGTGGATGAAATAGCAGTTGATGAAGTAGTGCAAGACAGTGAGAATGGCGTCGACTCCGAACCCGCTTGGATTGAAGTGCCGGATATGTTTCAAACTGCAAAAGATCCCATTGTTCTGTTTGAAAGCTGGTTTGCTTCGAAGGATTTCACCAAGGGTGTCAAATGGTGAGCATTCCAAAGGCTCTTTGATATGATCGCTCAATTTCATTTGTAGTACTGTACTGTAATTTACAATACTGTATTTCTGAAACTCTCCATCCTGTTTTTCAAGGTTCAGGCCCTGATTTAGTGACTTCAACTTAACCAACAACAAAAATATTTTCCTCATGTTTAACCTAATCGAAAAAGTATCTAAGCTAACCTAACTTGATATCCAACTAACTTATCTGACACATTGGAAACCTGACGAACTTGTATACAGCCTGATGAGATTGACTAAAATTGAAGTTCCCCTCGCTGAAAACTTGATTGAACTAATAATAAACACCTAGGTAACCCGAACTAACTCCTGAATAATCTTGTCGAGCACCTAAAAACATTATTTGGCTCCCATGAATCTAATCTAAATCACCCAATTTTAAACGTTACGAACCCATGCGTCACCTAATCTGAGCGAACAAACCTTAACCGAACCTAAATTATTTTAACTCATCAACGCAAGTTAAAACTATACCCAACGAATTGGCTGATTCAAGATGAAGCTTAACAAAACTTGGTTCAACTAGTTGATGATTCATTCAATCAATGTTGCTTGACAAATGGTATTCATTGCTCATGAAAGCGAAATCAATGCTGGCTGAGTTGAAACAAGCGAAGAGCGTACTGGTATTTTGATTTCAGTGCCATGAAAGTTCATCATCGCTTCCTGAACTTGTCGATACATTTCACTTCGCCGATGCTTAGTTTTTCTTTGAAAATCTGGAATTTTTTTCTGAGATCAGTATGCTGATCTTTAAGTAAAACTACCACAACTTCTGCTGAAAAACAAAGGTCCAGAGGGCTACCTACCACAACAGACCAACCTAGGCCACTATACTTTGATGCTTATAAACTTGAAGGCGGTCGAAACGTAGGTGGTCAAGAATTATCCCTGTCTGGTTCGTCTTGGGGTTCTCCATTTTGTGAGATGGACGTTGGTGACGCTTTGTACGATTTCCAGTGGTTCCCGAACATGACCACCATCGATCCTGATAGTTATAAGTGAGTTGATTTTTGTGCATTTAATTTTGTTGCAATTTTTTTCTTCCAAAGCGTTGGGATTTCGAAGTGTTGTACTTCATAGTATTTTACGATCAAGTTGGCTTTGAAGGTGGAATATTGCCTCTCGGGTTGAAGTTTTCGTTCAGCTATGAGATTTTTCACTCAAGAGATTGCTTCTAAAACCAAGTGTCAATATTGGCTGTGTTTAATCTCTTGAGGTTAGGTTAGTTATGACTTAAATAGTGCTGTACCATGTTGGGTCCATTATGCATTATGGCATGCATTAGAATGTTAGTTTTGACGTACAGTGCATTACTGTATCAAGTCAGTTGTGGCTTATTTATTAATTTATGTAAGTTATTTCAACTTGTACATTGGGTTGGGTAGAGAAGATGTGTTGGGCATCAACAGAGTCCAGGATAAAAATGGAAAAAGGTGTAGTGCAAAGCAAAGCATGGGCAATCAGTCAATTTGCAGCCAAGATTACCAAGAACATATATTCAAGGGGATACCTTGAATATACAGGGTGGACAAAAATTTGATAAATTTTAAAACTTGAAATAGCTAGTTAGAAAATTGAGCTGCAGCAATGAAAAAAGAAGGAAAGCCTTTTCAATTCCCTTTCAGATGGTACAGTATATAGTTTTATGTTCAAAGTGCCACAGCATGGCCACAAGAACCATTTGAATGAAAACTTTCACAAAAGAAAAAGTTGTCAGGCAAATTCTTCCACTAATCTGCTGTTCTCCAGAGCTGTTTCTAAGGATGAATGGGTGCAGGACTAGTCATTTAACCAGTGAACTGCATGATGCCTTCAGAAGGGTGCACACATTTCCAAAAGGGGGTTGCAGGGTTACTCTCCCAATAAATAATTTTAATAGCTTAATATTTTAAAATATTTAGGTATAAGTTGAGAAAAACCAAATTGTTTTCAATTATTTACTCTCCCAATAAATACTTTTTAATAGCTTAATATTTTAAAATAACTATTTAATCTCCCAATAAATTATTTTTGATAGCTTAATATTTTAAAATAACTATTTACTCTCCCAATAAATAATTTTTAAATGGGGCCTGCAGTCTTTCATCATTGACTGCTAAATTGTTTGCACTTCTCCCTCCCACCTCCTAATATTTGAGAATGTGTGCACCCTCTTGAAGGCAACATGAAGTTGGCTGGCTAAATGACTAGTCCTGTACTGGTGTACCCCATGTATCCCTAAAAGCAACTGAGAACAGCAGCTTAGTGGAAGGAGTTGCCTGACAACTCTTTTTTAAAGTTTTCATTCAAATGGTTCATGTGACCATGTCGTGGCACTTGGGACCATACAAGTACATACCATTTGAAAGGGAATTCGACAGGCTTTCATTTTGTGTTTTTTCCATTGCTGCAGCTTGATTTTATACCAAGCTATTTGAAGTAAAAAATTGTCTCCTTTTTGGCCCGCCCTGTGTATGTTCCTAGTTTTTTCAGAATGATTTATTGCAGAATTTGATGGAAAAGAAATGAGGAAATTCACATGGAACACTGAAAGCAAAGCACGAGAGAAAAAAAATTAATTTGTGATGGTCTGGTCAATTGAGCTGCCGTTTTTGCTGATGCTGTACGTGGAAATACATTACTGTATACATTATATTACGACTACTGTAGCTGTAAAAGGGATCTCAATATTTTGATGCACTAAAAAATGTCATTTTTTTTTGGCTGAGTTAATGGGAAATTGCTGAATGACTTGTGCCTTAGCTTAACTTGAGTGCGATTTCTGACTTCTTTTTTTTTTTTCAAGATTGGCGACGACGTCGAAGGGATGTCCTATTCATATGTGGGATGCTTGTTCTGGAAAAATCCGCGAAACCTACGCTTGTTACGATGATGTGGACGAGGTGGTTGCTGCAAATAGCATTGCGTTTTCTCCCGACGGCCAATTTTTATTTTGCGGGTTGAGAGAAGAGTTCCGGTATTTTGACGTGAATCGACCAGGACGGAAATGCGTTCGCCGGAAGTTGAGAAGTACGATTTGCTTCTCGAATTTATGCTTCATGATCTTTTTTTTTTTTTTTGCTCTGATAAGCTGCAATTTTTCATGTAAAGAATTGCTCGAAATTGCTCCGTTTCTTTTCATCATTGACCGAACCGCAATTTAAAATTTTAAGCCTGAACTCAAGATGATGGGAAAGCGATACATTTTTTATTCACTGGCGCAGTGACCGACAAAAACCGGTGAAGCATTCTAAAGAAGCTAAATTCTTCTTCAGGTTTGAAATTCTTGTAAAAGAAAATTTTTCTTATTTCATCAGCCTATTTTTTTTCTTGGAAAAAATTCTGGTTTTGACTGAATGCGTCAATTTCCATGAAAACATGTTTCAATCGGTTTCTTGTTCATTCAATTTTCCTTCTTCAAAACGCTGTTGAAAAAAATTGAACTTAATTTTCAAAATTTTTGCTGATACGCTGTAGTTTTACCTGCTCCGAAGGTGCACAAAAAGAACTCTAAAAGGCGTATGTGCTTGGAAAATGTTTACCACCACAATGGAGAAACAATTTCTTCCAACTTTGGTTGTCGTTTAGAAGCGAAGGGAGACCCGGAACGGCTGTATCGACAAAGAGGAATTGTCTCCTGTTTTGCCTTCAACCCGACCGATGTTTCTCAATTCGCTATCGGATCTTATGACAAGTCTATTGGTGAGTGGAATTATTTATTTTCATAGGTATTTTGAAAGGCATTTTCAGTTTGTATGCTTGCCTAGGATGTATTATGGAGATCATTCTAGAGAGATAACTTTTGCTTCACATTGCACACATATTTTCAAAAGTCTGCTTTAAAGTGGGGGTCTTGGTTAACAAATGCCCTGGCTTACAAAATTTTTGGTTAACAAACTTTGGGTTTGGGCCTCAGCTGCCTTGGCTAACAAACCCTGACTTGGTTCACAAACTTTGGTTACTTCATGTATTGTGAGGGTGAATGGGTCAAAATTGTCTTAATAAAAGCCTGTGATTTCCTGACCAACACATTTCTCTTTTGATGCATGGATCAAAAGCATATCAATCTGAAATCCTGCATTGGAAGGATGAGAACAATCTTTTGATTTTAAACTATTGAGTTGAAATAAAAAAAATGTTAGAACTCTTCAAGATGCCCAAAAGTTGGGCAACTCTCAAATCTTTTGAAATTAAATATGTCCAAAGGACTGTTTTCCTTCAGTGAGCTACTCTAGATCAAGCAAAGTCAGTTCTGTCCCCACAAAACATTTCTAAAGAAACTTTTATTTTCAGGGGCATCTTCAATGTTTTGGAACCACTTTGAATTATTTCTATACTTTTTCAAGGGAAGATATGATTTGGTTAACAAACCAGGAAAGGTTTAAGTTTGGAAACCCCACTGTATTTGGTTTGCTTGGCGTGAATTGGTGTACAGTCGTCCCCCGCACAACAGCCTTAATATG